GTGTGTGTGTGTGTGTGTGTGTGTGTGTGTGTGTGTGTGTGTGTGTGTGGTGTGTGTATTTGTATATGTGGATCCTGATAATGTTGAGGCCGAAGACGTGGGAAAAGGATACATGTATACGTGTATATCCAGGATGTTCGATGTGCATTATAAGTTCTAAGTGTATGACGCCGCTTTAGGCCTTGATATATCCGGCCGGCACGTGGAAGACACTCTTCCTCTTCTTCCTCCTCCTCCTGCTCCGCTACCGCCTCTTCTTCTTTAGCTAACGGACCGATCAACAGAACCATCGTGTCTCGAGGAATAAATCTCTTCCAGAGTTATATATATGTGGGCCTGTATGTATATATGTCCGCAGTACCGTCAGCACTACTACTTCCTTTACTACTTACTACGTACTACGTAGGTATGTACAATGTTTTTGCTTTGTTTTTTTCTTTCTCTGTGCATCACTTTTCTCGTCCATCCGTCCGTCCGTACGTCGTCTGGTCAAATCTCGTGGGTTCGTAGCCGCATTAAATAAAGTGACAAAACTCTTTGATTTCTCTCTTCTCTCGTAATCTTCTTTCTTCCCTTCCCTTTCCTCAACCACCACCGCTTCTTGTAGCGCCCCACAAGATTCAAGGGGATGGTCGGTGAGGGAGAAGATCGGAAAATCTAATGTCCCGGGCCCTTCAATCCCATGCAATTGGCGTAAAAGGTGACGGTGGCGGACCAGTCAGAGAAGATGGCCTTGATGCCGATCTCGCGGGCGAGGACGTCGAGGGCCTCGTAGGCTTGGCCGTCGTAGGAGATGATGGGGGCGATGGACGACCAGTAGTAGTCTTCATTGGCGCGGACCTTGTCCAGCGGTCCCGAGCGTTCAAAGGACCAGGCGATGATGTCGAGCCCGGCCTCCATCGCCGTGGTGGCGTAGATGGAGGGCACGATGGCGCCATCGTTAGTGTAATTTAATAAATAGTTGTAAGGAGGCGAGATGATCCGCACTCCGCTGGCCTTGAGCGCAGGGAGGCGGTTCACTGCCGTGGTGAAGTTGGAGGCCACGTCGCCGTCCTCGTCCAAGAACACGGCCTGCTTGCCCCACTCGGGGAACTCGTTGAGCCACAGGTAGATATCGGCGGGGGTGAAGGACTGCGGCCACACCCGCTCAGGCGCGATGCCCTTCTTGATAAACGTGTTGATCATGTCTCGTGCATATTGCGCCTGCGTGTAGCCGTGAAAAGGCATGGGAACCTGCGACGGCGGCGTCTTCAGCTCCGGTGTGAACATGCGGTGGCCGGGTAGCGACTCGACCAGGTCGATCCAGCTCTCGAGCGTCAGGACCTGCGCGCACGTGTTGTACAGGTCGGTTCGGAATGAGGGCGTGCCGTGTTGGTAGTCTTCGGGGGTGGTGGCCGACGCGTTGAAGCCGTCCATCTTACTGCAGAGCGACAGGAACTCGGCCTCTGTAATGTCGCTGGTGCAACAGAGCGCATCCGCGTCGGCCGTCGCATTCGCTGGGGTAAACGGCTTCGTACACTTGGCGGCGAGATCGGGTCGGAGCAGAATGTCGGTGGTCGTGTGCAGGTCACAGATCGAGTGTCTGCAGACCAGACCCAAATCAGATGTGAAGGCCACGTCGCACTCGAGGATCCCGGCACCCATTCGTGCACCAGCCATGGTGGATTCGACCGTCTCTTCAGGGAACTGCAGGGTGCCGCCACCTCGATGGCCGATGCTCCAGTTGGTGACTTCGAAGGGGCCGTTGAAACACGACTCGAGCTTTTGCTTGAGCGGGCCTTCGGTCATGTTCTGGACGAGGTAGTAAGGGCGAGGTCCGAGATTGACGTAGTAGTCATCCTGAGTCGGGTGTTGCCCTCGAGGCTTGTTGACGGGCACTGACACAGCAATGTCGGCAGCCAAGGCCATCATGGCCAGATAACTCGTCGTGGCACGCATCTTCTAGGTCAGATTGAGATTGTACTTGGAAAGCTCTGAACTCTGCCCACCGCTGCCTGGGAAAGAAAGCTCGAGTCAAAGAAGATGTGCAGAAGACCGCGGACACCTACCTTTTTGTAGCTTACACCGGCCAGAGAAGCTACCCAGCAAGCTCATAGCTTCCTGCTCCATCAGCGGGCATTTGTCTGCGTCATGATCGCACGTGGTAGATTCGAGGGACGGCAACGTGCTCCAATCTGGAAATTTTTGGGAGCTCTCTGGTTTTAGCTCGTGTGAAGCTCAGTAGAACAATCCGTCGCTCTGCCCAAAGTCGCACCACCACTGCGGTACCTCCTGGTATCGAGCAAATAACATTCATTGATAGGCAACGTGGACTGTTGTACCTGCATCCTGAGGTCTCGGTCTCGGCGGAATCCCCGGCTGGACTGGGTGATATGGGTGGTACGTGGGCGATAGAAGCAGTTTGCTAGGCTGAAAATCGACATTGTGAATCTGTACCCCGCTGATGGGTGTGGTTCGATCAGCAGTCCTGGCCACGACGAGGTCTTGGCTGCATATGTCCTGTGGTCATTGTCGCTCTGTCTTCCAATGATAGACCATCTCCGCCTGAAGCGAATACCACAATATGGCCCGTAGCTCCTTGGCATGTCGGGGCGGAATGCCACCCCGCCAGGAAAACCCAGGAAGGAATCTCACGAGAGGGTTAGAGTTTCCCTTCCGGAGCTGGATCGTCAGCCTGTGCCTGCACTTGCGTCTGTCTCAGGCCAGCAATGCCGGTCATAGTTGTCCAATAGAGCTTGTCTTTGTTATCATGCCTTTAGGGTGATGATCGTCATTGGGTGTAATCTCAGTCGGTGAAGGAAGCAACTGAACGTCCACTGAGACAAGTCGTAGAAAAAGTTGGAGTTACGGCAACGGCATCAGAACCGAGAGCACCAGTAGTACCATAACAATTGCACAGGAAGCTTGATTCAAAGGCATTCGGTCGCGAAAGCATTGTCCAAGCTGCCAGCCAGCCTTGTTTACTAGGCTGATCCCTAGTACGAGGGCGCGCACCGAAAGTACAGTTTACGCTAATTCAAATGACAAATGTTACTTACTATGAAAGGAGATTTTCTGAGCTTGTAGGCACTCTTACCTATCTCTTAGCTATAAGTCAGATCTAATAGGCGGCCGCCTAAACTATATTCCCAGTCTCGCTAGGCGCTGTAGGCGTTGAGTACTAATCTCCGACATCTCCGGGGGCCGTCCTAGGGCTAACAAAAATCAAGTCTATCGTCTTTTGATCAGCTTGTCATTCTCTTACTAGCGGTAACAATACAGTTGAAGGACCCTAGTTCGGTGCCGGAAAAACATAACGGGCGATGATGAAGAGTGTTGTCACTTTCATCATTTCTTGTATCTCTACTAGGGGCTATACTGTTGCTGCTGGTCGACCTCTGCAGTTCAAACAATGCCCAGAATGGAAGACCTTGGTGGGTGAATCTCACCAACGTAAAATTTATTTGAGAGGGTCCGATGTGCTCCCCAAAGACACAAACGGGTCGATATCACCAGTTGATCTGGAGCGCTCCATCCACAAGGGCGAAGGAGCCGGTGGTGTCGTGATCATCATGGCCACCCCGTGCTCAGGTTCCAGCAAAACATTTGCTGGCACTGACGGACGTTTGTCTCCATTCATCACGGTCAGCATCTCCTTGTTCTGTCTCTTGGATGACAGATACCATGCCAAAAAGACCACAAAGGTGCACGCTCCAGTCAAGGCGAAGTATAGCCATATCCACTCTGAAACAACCTGGTCGGAATCTCGAGGGAGAAACATGAAGAAGCCAGAGCTGAATAGGGTCGCCATCTTGTGGACCCGAAAAGTTAGTTGCTGGTTCGAAGACTGACTTGATATATGGTCTTCGAACATTGCGAGGTTGGCTCTGATTCAGAGCCTCTGAATCAAAAAGGTTCGAGCGAGCCACGAGAAGTTGATGAGAAAAAGGACCTACAAAAGTGCCTGGAAGAAACAGCAAGGTCACAACTGCAATGATGCGCATATCAGTGCTGTCCTTGCGGGTGAGAATGGCAACATTCCTCGAATCTTCAGCCATGTCTCTCATGGCGTTGCTGTGATCAAGGCCTGTTCTAGCAATCGTTTGGGAAGTTGCCGCGGTCTCGATGTTGAGCTTATTATCCTTTTGACCGATCATGCTGTAGACCTGTACAGACGGATCAGCAATTTGACAAGCACAGAAGCGAGTCGAGGCTCTGACGGTCTGGACTTGAGCCCGCGTCCGGGCTGACAAGACCTGTCCATGAAGTTGAGCACCAACAATCAATTCACGCAGATACGAAATTCTCGTGTCAACGCCATTCTGGACGTTAGAGCCGATGCCATCGAGACGTTTGTGATTGAGTCGATTTCGGACAGTGCAAATCATCTCCAAAGCTCTAAGGCTAGAAGCAAATGTCATGTCGCAAAACGACAAAGTTCCAGTTACGCCTGTAAGCTGCGGGTTTCTGTCAGCCTTTTTGCCGACTTTGGCATATAGACGGTACCTTTTGAGTGATTTCATCAAAGTTGAGCTCTTTCAGGAGTCTTTCTCTTGCCCTATCTCTTGCTGCATTTCGGCTGGGATTGGTAGAGAAGCCATGTCTCATGCCAGTTCTATACTCAAGCTCCTCAATGCCTTGAGCGCGCGATTCAAGAAGCACGGCGAAATAGTGGACCTTTAGCTCCAGCAAAAATACTGGTAGCAGCATGGGATCTTGCAGATAGTCGGTGGACTCCTGGATACATTTGAGCATCAGTGTCGTCTCATCAGCTTGCATACCGTTCACGATGCCGGAGATGACTTTGGTGTCCTCATTATAGACAAGACCAAGGCAAAAATTCCAGTCTCTCGATCTTGCACTCCTGGCCATAAGCCCTGTGATCAATTCCCCTGTCAAAGTCTGGGTCTGGAATTCTGTGGCTATTGGTAGTGTGCTTAGCATCATGCGCAGCAGCTCTGTGGGCATATTCCAAGTGGTTCTGACGGCCTCAAAGGTGTTTTGAGAGATTGGCAGGGGTAGAATCTGCGCGTCGCTTTTATGCTGCTCTGGGCTGCCAATCAGAAGCTGGAGTCGGAGACGACGATTGCTGAGATCGTTGTCTACCGCCTTATCTGATTGTAAAGAGGCATGGGCAGCTATCTTGGTGGTGATCTCGGACTCGGCAATTTCGCGGTCAAGCAACACCAGCCCGCCGCCATCCTATGACAAGTCAGTCTGAGGTTCTGATGAAAACCTGGAAGCCTTGGCTCACATCAGGCTCCCACACCTCGACCCATCTGTTGCCCGCCCGAGGCTCAAATTTGGATGGGTCGTTCAGCAGTTTGGTGTAATAGAAGTCGTACATTGCGCCGACTCAGGATTTATTCGCGAGGAGTTTGAGTAACGTTGCCTGCTGTCAATCTCGTTGCCTACGAAGCGAGGCACAAAGTCTGCGGAGCGCTGGAGCAACATGAATCAGGTCCGACTGGAGGGCGGGGTGACACGCATTTATGAGGCTGAGCATTGCCAGCCGCAGTTTGCCTTGGGTTGCAAGGCGACGCATTAGACCATTTCAATTCAGCCGCTCTGCGGCCAAGATGGTAGTCGGCATGTAGGGGCCAGTGGGTGCAAACAGCACCTCGTATTGAAACGGACATTGTGATAGTATGCGCAGCGTGGGATGAATCAGATATGTTTGCCAGGAAGAAGACCTGAAGGTCACCAACCCTCAAGTGCCTGGCGAGCCCTGGAAACTCGAAGCGCCAAGCTGCCACGTGCGCCCCCGTTCCAAGTCACCTGAGCATCACTTTTTACTTGGATGCACCGAGTGTCGATTTGACTTGGTTCGTATCAGCCACTTATCCTGCTTCACAAAACCCTCTATCTAATGCAGGTATGTGCCGACTAGCCGAGCACCTCGGACGTACAAACAAGCCATCAACATGGTGTCTTGTGCGCCGGACATCAGTTGAGATGACCCGTCCTGGAGCCTCATCGTGACCTCTCGAGATCGTCACCAATACATTCATTACACGCGGGTAGACCTCAGGTTCTCCAGACAAATAGACGGACTCTAACGTCACAGCACCTCACAGCACATTGCTCACGACCCTTAGGAGCCCTAGAATATTCCGCCTCGTCCAGCTGGAAACGAAGACCACATGAAAAAGCCAGCAATTGGTTGCACATGGCTCTGCTGCGAGCACGCCTAGCGCGCACCTCACCATTGGTACATGTAATAGCCAGATCATCATCAAGACAGCTCCTTCAGGATGCCATCAACCCCGGTCGACCCGGACCAGTTGAATTGGCCATGGTCAAACAGCCAACCAGCTACCCATCAGACCGCCCTGTTTCCGCCGTTCAGCCTTGACATCTGGCATTGTTGATAACATTGTCCATTTGACGGAAGCGTCCGAGTGCATTCTTCGAGGAACATGCACTATGTTCACACTTGGTTCTGATGAACCCTGCTCCGTCGCAGCAGATGTTCTCGATCACTTGAAGAGGTGAACAACAGTGAACACCAAGCTCTCCCGCGCTGGAAAGACAAGCCCACAAGTGAAAAAGAACCCGGCAGCTCCGCTACCCAACCCGAGATTTTCCTCCACTCACATCGGAGGGGGTTTTCAATCGTTTCTTCTTCCGTTATCCTTGTCAAAAACCTCTTCCTCCCCCACCTCTCTAGTCCCCAGGAACGCTTGCTTGCATATGACCGCTGGCAGGAGGGGAATGGCGATCCGGCAACCTACCCGTCTCCCTCCCCTTAACCTACATATCCGATCGTTCCGGAGCGCCCGCACAGCCAGCCGTGCCCCATACGCAGGTACACATTCACCTTGCATCTCGATGTGATGGACCCATCCCCCCATCCCTGTATACATTGCGTAAGCTTTTCCGCAAGCTTTCTCCAAGCTTTTGCCAAACGGCACGTGGGCCCCGTTGGAGAAGATATCCGTGGTCAGTGGTTTCCCTTCGAGGCCCCCTTTCGGTTTAGACACTTTGCTTGTTTTCTCCGGCCCCCTTCATCACTGGTCCATTCGAGCAGCCACCAGCAGACCACTAATCATCCCGTCAGCATCACCCAGCGTTGTCAACCACCAGTGTTGATTCTTCTCCACGGACCCACGTCCAGATTAGCTGGCTGGAAGGGGGAGGTGATCGACCACCTGCACGAAATGTACGTACTTGTAGCTGCAGGTCCTGCGTGTCTCGCTTGTGCCACATCCTAAACAGACGTCAGCAACACTTTGTCCTAGACATACATGTCCAATGTCCGAAAGAGAGAAAGAGAGAGAAAAGTACAAGACCAAAGAACATAGAACGTGCAGATCATGGTCATACTATTGGTATTATTCTACACAGTCCCCCACTATTCAATCGTGGTGACTGCCACTAAAAGTTGAAAAAGGCTTTCTGCATCAAAGAGACTAACGACAGGAGAAATCGTCTAGAAATTCGTTCAAGCGGCCTTGTCACCCTCAACGACACCGTCGCTGGTCGGCTGGGCGACATATGAGTCCTTGCGGTGACCTGCAGTTTCAGGGTCATAGTTCTTGGTGCCCGGCACTTCACCAGCGAGTTCTTCGAGAGTCTTGCGCTTGGTCTCGGGAATGAGGAGAGTCGTGAAGACACCACAGAGCATAAAGAGAGCAAAGATCTCCATGACGTGGTCGAGCCAAGGAGACGGGTTGTCCTTGGTAGGGTGTCCCTTGGTTCGGAGAGGGCCAAAGACGGTCTGGGCGACAATGGCGCCAACTTTACCCGAGGCGGCCGAGAGACCGTGCGAAGTAGATCGGTAGCGAGTGGGGAAGCATTCGCCGGGGACGATAAACGTGGTTGCGTTGGGCCCAAAGTTGAAGAAGAACTGAGCCAAGACGTAGAGAGCCAGAAGCCCACCTTCATGAAGATGGTTGTAGGCAAAACCGATGATGATAAAGATGATGGTGAGGATGGTGAAGCCCATCAATTGGATAGGCTTGCGACCAATAGTATCAACTGTCGCTACCGTCACCCAGTAGCCTGGAATGGCGCCTGCGCAGACAATGATCAGGTTACCAACAGCCGTGTTGTAGAAAATCTCGTAGACGTTGTCACCCTTGGCGTAGCCAATGGCCTGGAGAATGATCGAGTTGTTGAGACCGAGACCGTAGAAAGCAACGTCGAGGAAGAACCATGAACCAGCAGTTCCGAGAAGGACCTTTCCATGCTTCCATTGGCTGTAGTGTCGCCAGAAATCATGCCAGCTGGCCTTGGGAGTTTCGAGACGCTGGCGGGAGTCTTGCAAGACAGCTGCGCGGCTAACTTCGTCGGGCTTGCCCTCATGCTGTCCGAGTCGGTAGGCCTTGACATCCTCGACAGCCTTTTCCGAGTCACGGGCAACATCGAAGGTATAACGGGGAGTCTCGGGGATGGTGAGACGGAAGTACAAGGCAATACAACCAGGGACTGCGCCAAACCCAATGATGACACGCCACATCTTGTCAACCGCAAGTTGGCAAACACCATCACAGAGGTCGACAGTCTTAGCAGTCTTGAGGGATTGATGGAAGCCAGTGACGACGATCAAAGCAATGATGGCAGCAGTGAATTGGCCAATACCTTGCATAGCAAAGACGGCACCCATCATGGCACCTCTCCACTTGGTCGTGGCGAACCTGTGAATGATGAGACACTTGCCCTGGATAAACATAGCTTGAGACGTGAAGACTTACTCAGAAGTGATGATGGAAGAAAGAGGATAATCACCTCCGATACCGATACCCATCATTACTCGCCAGAAAATGATGAGGCCGACAACTGAGATGGCAGGAGAATCCGAGGACAGAGCTTGGGCAAGAGTAGCGAAGATAATGAGGATCAATTCGAGACCGTACATCCGCTTGCGGCCAACGATATCGGCCAGCCAACCGAAACCAACCTGACCGATGACAGTACCACCAGAGGTTGCAACTTTGATGGCAGTATCCGAGTTGGTAGGGATCTTGCCGGCGTCTTTGGGGTTAGGTGTGTCCTGCCAGTAGACGACACCCAACATGGCCGTTACCAAGTTGATGGCAAAGATATCATAGGCATCGGTGAAGAAACCAATACCGGCGACCACAACGGCCCGGACATGATACCAGCCAAAAGGAGCCTTGTCGATCTCGGCGAGGGCAAGTCGTCGTCGCTCGTTGGGGTCCTGGATATGGGCAAAGTCGTTGTGGAAATTGTGGAATGCGGCGTTGCCGCCCGCTGTTTTCATCGCCATGGCAGTCAAGTTGTTTCAATAAAGGGTGGTCAACTTCCAAGAGTCTAAGAGGAAGTCAAGACAAGACAAGCTGTGGAAGAAGGCTTGCTCGAGGGACAAGACAAGAACCGAGCGAGAGTCCAAGACGGCAGGAATTGTACTACATATACCTTTTGGAAGATAGGTCACATCGCGTACATACCAAGGCTCTCGGCGCAGCATAGGCCAGGTGCATCTGAAAAAGTTCAACAGGGTGGAGTGCCAGTGGGCCGACGAGGCGAACTGCGAGGGTCAAGACAATACGATGACACAGTCCCCACTTGGACTGTCCCCTTTGATAGTGTCCAGGATGGCGTTGTGCGAGCCAATGGCTAAAGGCCACCGAGACACGCCATGAGCAGAAAGAAATAGGATTTCTCGTGAGCAGGCGCATCGAGATGAATCTGTCGAGGACCCCGGGATCAGCAGAAGGAACCAGGGAGGGATTTGCGAGGCAGAGGTGGGCTGCCCCATGCATACACCCTGGCTTCCTCCGCTGCAATTGGCCTCACCACCAATAAGATCTGTGGGCTTCGATCGGGCTGTCCTAGCTTTAGCCCCCTTCTCTCCCTGCCGTCTTTCAAGGGTTGTGTTGATCCATTGGATATCAAGGGCATCGCGATCCTTGTCGCTTCCAATAACCGCTTTGTTCGAGAAGCCTTCAAAGTCTCTTCTGGGCGCCAAGTAAACCAGTGAAATAGTCTTTCGGGAAGAGCCCAAATCTACACTGAAAGAACAAACCACAGACGCGGCGCTTGGAACGTGGCCACAGTGTTGCCAGATTTTGATATCATGAAAGCTTGGCTCTGATTTCGCCGTTTTCTTTCGAGATCCAATGGACAACCGAACACCAGTTGTAAGTCGAACGACCAGCAATCTCGCTGGACAAACCTCAGATGATGCATTTTGTCGACTACCGATCATGTTTGGTCCAATTACCTAATGGCAGAGAATCAAGACCCATCTACTCGTAGAGCCATCGAGACACTCGGTAGAAGGGCGAGACTAACGTCGCCGTGGCAATCTCACCGGCCGGCAATACTCTTCCATGATATTGTACCGAGTACGAGTAGCTTGGTGTGCGCTTCGTCGCGTCGCCCGGTCAGATTTGTTGTATATTCGCCTTTCCATTTGGGTTCTAGCTCCGCCAGGCCACAGGGTCAGAGCCTGCACAGATTTTAGTGCCGGCCCGGATGCAGGTAACACCATGAAGGGGGATGATAGGGCGCGCGACGAGTGGCTAGAGGAAACGAGCCTAAAGGGCCTGGAGCTAGGTTGGGGTTCGGGCTCATCAGGGGACGTCTTACGAGCGGCATTGGTGGCATTGGTGGCATTGGTAGCATTGGTGGCGGTGATAGTCTAGGCTCAGTCTCTTCAGAAAATTTCGTCTGCGACATCCAAACAGGTGGGAAAGTGGGATGGGTGGATTAGGCAGGATGGGCGGGGCGGAGAGTTTTCCTGAAAAAGACCTCGGAAGCGGCTGCCAAGCCGCACGTGCCAGCTAGTCATGGTGCTTGAACTGACCACGTTTCTTGTTGATTGGTGAAGATCCAACCTCAGTACAACTTCGTGCCAAGGCTCCGGTGTTATTGCCCTTGGGACCATGGCGAGGCTTGAGTGACAATGAAGCTTTCTTCCTGACACGGTAATCGGCCGGGATCCCCTCTATCACCCTATGCTGCCACCACCAACCTCGCGTGCAACATACTACCTTGGAGGCGAGGAACTCATGGCGGCGGCAGTCATGGCTGACTCCTTTTCAAGCAAAACTCAAATCGCGGAAGAAGCGAAGAAACAGAAAAAGAAAAGAAACCAGGAACATCTTCACGCAAGGATACCGCGTACCGAGGACTACCTCGTACTCGATGTGTTACTCGCCTTCCACTTATGGCCCAAAAGCACTGCGCATTAGTACGACTCCTGAGAATAGAGCCTGTGTCGGCTCGGTGGCATCGTCTCGGGATTCTATCTGCAGAGATCGAGCTACAAGTCATACAATCGTCGTATGATGTTGATCCTCCTCTCTGATCAGGAAGCCATGCGGGCCCGAAGATAATGGTCAATCCAGCAGATGCATACTTGTGCACTGAATCAACCACCAGGGATAGATGACAAGGTTTGCACAACAGCCGTCCAACTCCGCCATATCTCGATTCAGCTTCTTTGCTAGTCTCTGTTCCATCAAGCATGTCAATCAGCGCCTGGGCAGAAAGAAGCATTTCGATCGCCTCTGGGCAGATGTCAGAATGCTGGGCATACCTCAGAGTCCGTTCAAAGGTAAGATGGGACAACGACGAGTATATCACCCTGTCAGCTTCCAGTGGCGCATCTCAAGGCCCGGGTACCTAACGAGAACTCCACACCCACCAGTTCACGTTCTTTGCATGATCCATCTGAGTGCCTTTTCGGATTTATTGGCCTCAGTAACAATTACCTCAATTCGGTCACCACGGCCAAACATGCCACTTTTTTGAAGCCGTACCAGTACCGCCAGCATCGCCGTACCACTAAAACAACAACAGCAACTGATATTGTCTCGTTTAGGACCATGGGGTCCGAACTCCATGCGACGGAGGGTGCCCTCGCCATCCTCGTATTCTGACGGCCGCATTCGTTGCCTGGCCCAACCCCCACCCCCCCTTGTCCTAGTTGCATCCTTGCTTCCCTAAAAATCCCTGCTAGCGTCTGCGTGAGAAGCACGAGAGAACATTCCATGGACTTTCCTGAACCGGGACAGACACCGAAGGGGTCTCGGCTCGAATCTTTTCGCATTTTGGTCACAAGGAAAGGCCCCCTTCCTTGTAGTCTGAATTTCTTCTTCCACAAGTGATGCCTCCACCCGAAGTCAGCAGATTGGAAATGGGACGCTCATGCAGGTTCGCCACGTTCGAGATTGTCGCACTCTGCCCTAGGCGCCGCCAGTATCGTTGTGAGAAACGGCCGGTGCTGGGGGCCGCAGCAAGGCAGAACGCTGGCGCTCTCATCGTTGCTCAGACGCACTGGCAGTCTGAGAAGCACAACCACTGCCATGATGTTCCTGGAACTGAGCACGATCGCAGAGTTATGGCTGAGCACCTCCTGAGCATGTTCCTTCTTTACATGAAACGCTGTCCTTCCTCCTCAGTCTGCAAAGAGGCATGGTACAGAAAGAACTCTCGAGAGATGCACCCCTGAAACTATAGTCCTATACTCGATTGTCTCAAGGTTGACTGCAATGTTTATTGAGCGAAGGCTGATTCGACGCCGGCTGTCGGATTCAAGAATCTGTCTGAACGTCGACAGTCAAAGGAGCCAGGTACGACAAGTCATATGTTCCAACAAGGGTGATGAGGTCCAGGACAACTTCCAAAGCAGAGCTCACCGTGGAAAAAGCCCTTTTGTATTTACTTCACCATGCTGTGCTGAAAAACGGCATTGCTAGAGACAAGAGTCCACTGTCTATCCGAGAGCCAGCATCCACCGTCTTCCACTCAGTTCTCAACTCCACACGGCGAGACGGACGTGAGCACACCCTTTGACCTTGCTAGCGCTAACCCTCCACCTCTGTACAGGTCACATCGTGTCCAAGCTGTTATGATGACACGGGTTTTTCTCGTCCCTATATCTCGTGCCTCGACACTTTCGCCAGCATGCGCCGGACGGACACTTCGAGGAGGGGATGCTTTCAGCACTTTCGACTTCGGCAATGGGTGCTGTAAGGGCAGATTCAGCAGGTTACAGCCTAACTTTTCAAGAGAAGGGCAAAGGAGATGAATGATGATACCGTGCGAGACAGCGCCGGCGTCGGTATATATACATATTCACGTTGCCCGTTGTTCTATACCCGAAGTCTCAACCACTACCCCATTACCCATCCTTCGTGCAATAGCATACCGGCCCATAACAACGACAACTCCTTTTCGGAGGTGATAACAGGGACGCTGAGGTCGTCCGGGAACCCCCCGGCTAGCTAGATCCCTCTTCCTGTGAGACACACTGACACTGGTAAATAAACACCCTGTGTCCGCCCAACAAGAGACTGAGTGCCCAGTGCACGGGGATGATGACAGACATGCTGATGTCGATTTTGTGTTCTCCTTGAATTCTTACGCATTTACCATTGATAACAGCGAGTTATCGAGGACGACTTCCTCCACCAGCGCTAACGACTATATCACTCCCAATGTACCTATGTCCTTCAGGCAGAAAACAGTCCTCGCGATCATGTCAGGAGGTGCTTGTCCCTTGAAACCCGCTTTTGCCTGTTTTTGCTTGGGGAAAAAGTGGTCGTCAGCACCGTTTACCTCCTACATGGACCCGAGTTGTCTTTCTTCTGTTTACTTATTGAGACTGGGGTCTCGGGCTTGAAGCAGGATGCGCCGGAGAACAAGCGGTGAGTTGTAAATTACATGATCAGGGTAGAGTCAACGCTGATGATATAGTTTACGCACAGCTATGTGCAATCATATTAACTCTCATCAACCTACGGGGCGCAAATCTATCTCGACCTGAGGAGGTCGAAATGTACCTCGTACGTCTCAACTCTATCGATCATGCCGCATGATCCTTCAATGCTTGCCGGTGTCTCCAGTCTACACCGATAGATTCTGGGAGTTAAGCCGAAGGAGAATCCATCTCAAATCTGTACCCGCTCCGGAAAGACCTCTCTATCTCCTCGTCGTCTTGCAGCTTCAAAAGATCCGCTTCTTTGGTCAAAACAAGGATCTCCGGGGTCGGAAGTCGACATCGACTCACTCCAGCATTCGCCACCAGGTGCTTGGCTACCAGCTTTGCCAGGTCACGCCTATGCATGGCCATTGACTGCTTCGCCATTCTCCTTGACCGTGCCCTTTTCAGCCTTGATGTGTTCTTTGCCGGCTTGCAGCGCTCCTTGGAGGCCATATTGCTGTTTTATACCCTCGATACGGTGTGTTGAATTGATGTTCTTGACCAAGACAATCTGGAAACACGTCGCGGATCCTTGTCGGGCGATAATGGTGCTCCAGGCCAAGAAAAATTCCCAGATTCTGTACCATCTCACACCATATTTCGCCTTGACCTTGTCAGCATTGCCGAGCCAGTTCCTGTACCACCTCCAGAGTGTTGCGCTGTAGTGAACGCCGATAGTGTCGACGGATTTGACTTCAAAACCGGCTCCTTCGAGTTTATCAATCACGAATCCCAGAGGAGTCGATGCATCGGCGCCAGGAAAGATGTACTTGTTCATAAATAGTCCCCAAACGAGATCTTCGTATTGCCAGTACTTTCTCAACCCGGCAATTTGGAGGAAGAAAACTCCATCGTCGTCCAGTAGATCGTTGACTTGGCTGAGAAAACTCGACAAGTGTCTGACTCCCACATGCTCGGCCATTTCGAGACAAGTGATCTTTTTGTATTTCTCGCCAGACCTGTTGGGAGGGGAATGGGGAATATCACGATAGTCCATGCAGAGGATCCGAGACTGGGAGTCTGAGATGTTCAACTTTCGCAAACCATCGTTGCCCCATTTGGTCTGGTTGCGGCCCAGTGTGATGCCAGTTGTGTGTGCGCCATAGTGAGAGCTGGCGTATTTTGCCAGGGTTCCCCAGCCACAGCCGATGTCGAGAAGCGTCTCACCTTGCTTCAGGCCGATCTTTTCGCACACCACAGCGAGTTTGTTGTCTTGTAATTCCTCCAAAGATTCCTCACGGTTGATGTCCGAGATGATTCCCGACGTGTAAATCATCCGCGGGCCAAGGAACCATGCGTAGAAGTCATCACCACGGTCGTAGTGGTCACGGACTTGTTCTTCATCCTGGGAGCGGGTGTGCATGATAACTTCGGGAATCATACCAGTGAAAAAGAACTTGAACAACGAAAGCGTGAACCGGAAACTCGCCCAGTCGTGACGATATTCCATTGCTTCCAAGCAATCGCCTTTGAACGAAACCTTTTGATCAAAGTACATCTCGTGGAATGTCTCCATAGGAATTTTGTTCTTTCCATGGTATTTTGCCCGATCCTCCTCACTGTGGAATTCGAGGTAGTGTTCGACAGGACGACCCGGGTATGCGGCCTTTTCATTCATACGAGGAGAGATCGAAGAGGCAACGGACCAGAAGAGCATGAGGATGGGAATGCTGGTGAAGGCAGCCACGAAGAGGGTGGTGTAGAGCCCGCCATGCAATAGGCGAGCAAGGTACCATGGCACAGCAATCAGCAGGCCAATGAGCAGTATGTTGTTGAACGAGTCACTTCCCGCAGCGTCGGCAGGAAGAGGGGCATTCTTGATTGCAGGGTACTAAGGGAGACACAGATAAGCCAGGAGAACGTTTTGGAGCTTCCATTGAGCTGCACAACATACAGAAGTCAAGCGGACACCGCAATCCGAAGGGGTTTGCTCTGGAGCTGCAGGAGGAGTCTCAATGAACTCAATGTCCTCTTGGGACACAGAGGGTTTGCTGGTCATAGCGGCTGCTGTTGGGATGAGGAATGTGTGAAAGAAGGGGGGAGGTGGGAGGTCAATGCGGTGAACATTTGGCATTTAGGGGAGCATGTGCGGGTCGCGGGTTCGGTGTACCTGCATATTCCAAAAGTGGAGATGGCGGTGGCAGCGCCAATCTTTTGTTATCACCAACTATGAGGCCCTCAGTACCTCGTACTTGTACAGTCAGGCATCATTGCGATGCAAAACAATCTATCCACAACATCGTCCGGTCAATCTTCGTCGAGCTTCGCAGCGAACTCTCCAAGGAGCACGTCGTCCGTCGCAGGGCCTCGGTTGTTCCTTACCCACTCCGTTTCAACCCTGAAAAAGATCCATATCCATCTCCTCAATACTTCCAACAACTCCATGAGGAATATCCCACCCTCCAGGTCATTAAAATGATCCAAGTGTGGCGAAAGCTTGAAACTCCAGGTACATCGCAGGAGGAAATCTATAATAATGGCACTATAATACACCTCTTTTGCATGGAAGTAGCGGTAGCGTCGCAAACCCCAGGGATATTCTGGGTTGTTTCTCTCGCGGCTGGAGGAGAAAAGAGAAAGGTCCCAATCCTTGGCCACATCCCAGTAGAAGGAATAGAATGAGTTGACAAAAACGAAAAACATCCTGCAAAACGTTAGAGAGATGTGACACGCAAGTCTTCGGTAGTGCTCACCATAGTCTGAACAGCCCAGCCTCGCTCAGATTGGATTTGGTAGGGTCATAACCTCGTTGCAAAGCACTCAAGATGATCACTGGAAATGCACTGAAGTATTTCAAGGCATTGGCCAAGTGTTGGCCACCCCAGCCCGACGAGGTTGACTGACTCCTCCGGACCCGATAATACTCAATCAGACACTGCCGCAGTCGAATCATGCTCGGGATGCTGATGATCAAGGGCACAAGATATGCGCCTCCACAGCCGCGATTTGGCTTCGCCGTACTGCTTGTCTTCCTATCGAGGAGCATGCACGTAGCAACGAACAAATCTCCCAAGACTTTTGCATAACTCGTGAGAACATCAGCGAGTAGAATATCCCCGAACTTTCCATCCTGGACCTCCGCCAGACCTCCCAAGCTGATTCTCTTCAAGGATCTCAAAAAATGGAGTCGACCAGACCGTGACATGCGTTTGAGTGGAAGGAGAAAGCACACGACGAGAAGTAAAAGGTAGGACTGTGGAAGGATCTGCCATCGCAGGACTGCCTGCCGGTCACCCCGGGTGACCGCCCAGAACAGAAGGAGGGACGCAATCAATGGGATGGAGAGAAAGGAGGCCAAGCGGTACGTCGAGTGGTGGTGGTGCTCTGCTTGTCGAGGAGGATACCGGATGAGTGCTGGCACATCCTACAATCGTTAGCTGGAACCCGCCAGACATATTCTAGACAGTGGACTTACAATCTTGATGAGATGCAAATAGTGCAGATTGAGACCCCATGCCCAAATACCTAGTGCGGAATTAGATAATGTACAAGAGGCGCCCATCAAATCACCATACCGAGAACAATTATGATTGCGACTCTATAAGGGAGCGGCAGAACGAGACTAAACGAGTCGACCTCAGGCTCCACGGCGGCGTCTCCGTCCATATTGAATAGATAATATCATGCTTCGGACACTTATGAAGAGTCGAAGGGATTAAGAAGGAAGGGAAAGATAACAACACCATCAACACACGAGAGAATGGTCCCGGCGCGCGCATTCAAATCGCAGAAGTTGGCGCTCGGGGGGTTTGCGAAATGATATTTACCTGGCCTTGTTGGGAACTTGGCCGCAACCTAATGCGGCAATATGCCGCCGCCGCTTTACGATTGCCTGCGTAACTGATCTACTTTTGTACGCCTCTACAGTTTTATTCTTCGCTTCAAATACTAGTGGTTCTCAATAGCCAACACCAAAGTCACCAGGGGCGACTGTCCACTGTGTCGCAGGTTTCCATTCGGACAATCCTCAAGATGTCTTCGTATAATAGGGTTTGAAAGCCGTTGTTCTCACCTCCCCAACCAAACTTTCGCCAAAGTCTCCCTCATACCCGTGAGCTGCAAGATATTCTCTGAACTTAGCGTCCTCGCTCTCAAGCTCTCGATCTCGATCAGGGATGAAGATCCACGAGATGATGCCACCCGCAGCGGCAAAGCCGGCTCCAATCAGAAAGACTGCTTGAGTGCCCTTTTGCGTGTCGTCGAAGGAGTCCTGGATAGGCGTAAAAACTTGAGTTCCAATCGCAGCACCAGCCTTGCCGACCGCAGCAGCGAACCCCATGAAGTGTCCGCGCAACGGAGTGGGAAAGCTTTCTGCGGCGGTCAGGAAAGTGCAAACTCCAGGTCCCATCTCTCCAAGACTATTGAAAATCCCATAGAGGACGACAAACAAGGGAAAAACAGATTGGATAGGATTCAAAGCTCCACCCAGGATAAATCCTAAGACTGACCAGCACCCAAAACCGAGAGTCATAGTTTGCTTGCGACCGATTCTATCCATAAGGACTCCGCCCACAAGACAGCCAGGAAGATAGAAGCAGTTTACGACCGTACCGTATCCAATGTTCTGGATAAGGGTGTTGTTAGGGTTGAGTTGACCGATGATGGTAGAGCTGAAGATTCCAAAGGGGTAGGTGACACTTGCGAAGCGTTAGCAAGAACCGGAGACGGAAGACTGGCATCCAACTTACAAGTCATACATGAACCATGCTAGAGATGTTCCAACCATGGGCTTCCAATATCGCTTGATGATCAACCAATACGGTATGTTTCGCTTGATAGCATGTTTGCGATATTGACTTGACTCGACCATGCGAATTCGGAAGAAGAATAGCGTCAGGGGGAGGACAAAGCCCAACCCGAAGCAGATACGCCAGATTCCACTGGAGATCTTCTCGTTGTAGCATTCGATGACAATCAGCGCCACCACCCCAGCTACCACGAATCCGAAGTCAATGGCGAAGTCCGTGGCCACGGCGACCAGGAAACCTCGTCTGCGACGGACATATTCACTTTCATCTGAGGCTTCGGCACTGCCAGTTCCGCAGGTAGGGTACTCGCCTGAATACAACTGTCAGCACGTCGTTTGGCGCCTGAGCTTTCGAGTTGTCCTCACCTCCGGCACCGAAGCCGGCGACACCACGAGCAATGATCATCATCCAGAACATGCCGAGTTGAGTGGTGCCGTGAGCAGCCGTGGCCAAGACGATACCCAGGATAAGGAAAAAGGTTGCAAAGACGATGCCGGTACGACGGCCTATCTTGTCAATAAGAAAGCCAAAGAAGAGCATGCCAAAGATCTCCCCAATGAGGTATGCATTGGACAATCGGGTTTTGATGATGCTGGACATGCCGTCTTTGTATAGGTCTGTGAACAAGGGCTCCATGTACCTGCAGGACAATTGTGTCAATATCTATTCCAGACCTGCAAAGACATGGCACATACCCGATGATTTGTGCATTGTATCCATCAGAGAACAAGGCAAGTCCCGCAACTAGAACGGTAATAACAGACGAGACCTTGGTGATCCTGGCGACATCGACATGACTGAGTCTTCTTTCCCCGACTTCAACGTCCTGGGCATGGGATTGACTTCCATTCGACTCATTACCTGTGATTTCGTACGAAGGCTGAGACTTTTCAGTCGCCATTGTCGCGAAGTGGAAAGTGTATGGAGGCCCGAGGCGAAGTGCTTAGACGGTCGCCGAAACAGCTGATATGGGCGTCCATATATACATCCTCAATTAGGTCGCGAGGACATTCTATCTACCGCCTCATACTTCTCGACTTGATTCATCGACCTTATCGACCTCGACCGCCGCCTCGCCGTGACTCCGTTGCCTCTGGCCTGATGCATGACGCGAGAAAGGAAAAAAAAGGGGCATTGAAAGCCTTTGCATACTAATTGCCTGCCAGTTGTGTGGGAACGTGGCATATCCTTGTCTGCCAGATTCTGCTAAAGGCAGGCGACGAGGGACGTTCAGCCTCCTCCTCGAACAGTTGCTCCTCAAGAAAAGCTTACCTGAGCTTAACCCACGTGCCAAGGTCAAACAAGATGATTCGGATCTACAGGACCGGGAGGATGGCGATCCCTACGCAATGGAACGCCGTTGGGAGGTGCGTCAAGGTTGCATATTCTGCAGCCACTCGGTTTGAAGTGCGATGTTGCAGCGTCTGACAGCAAGAAACCCATACAGGGAGTACTGTGTGGTGCCGTCTGACGGGTGGAGTGAAGATCACACTGTCACATGCATATTTCGATCGCAGAGAAAGCATTTCAATGGCAGACCTCTCGATTGGCCACGGAGTGAGAAACTGCAAGGCAAGCATATGACTGGTCAAGTCAGCTTCTGTGCCAACATGTTCGAGACAGAGAGAGGCAGTCTTGGACATTGACCCAAAACCCTCTCGACATCGCAAATTTGGTCGGCGAGAGGATCAAGCAAAATGTTGTCTGAAGAGCTGGTCCAGTCCTTTCGCAGGAATGGTTACTTGGTGCTTGGTAACGTCCTGTCCAAGGCAGAGACCAGGGAACTTCAGCGATGGGCGCAGGAAGTCCATGACTGGACCACAGATGCGAACAGTCCATGGATGCCGTACGAGGTAAATGCTTTATCGAGCATCGAGCACCGAAAGGCTGAGGCTCGGACAGGAAATCAACGCTCGGAGAGAAACGGTGCTATGCCGGACTGAAAACTATGCAAATTCCCATGCTGGATTGAACAGTCTCCTTCGTGGACAGAAGTTGTTGGGTCTGCTCAAACAACTATCGGGCGAGGAGATGTTGCTGTTCAAGGAAAAGATAAACTACAAGCTCGCAGGGAGTGGTATGGACCTTTCCACACTAAGTTGACGATGACCTCCTACTTACCAAGGCATAGGCGGATTTGCACCCCATATCGATGCCACAGCATATACCCACATCAAAAACATCAAACACCTTGCCATCCTTCTGGCGGTTGATCCATCGAATATGTCCAACGGTGGCCTGGAGGTCGTTGAAGGGAGTCATGAAATGGACGTACCTATCGGTCCAGACAACTGCATCGAACTGGGGTGGGTTAAGCAACAGGAATGGACCCCAGTGGAGCTCAAAGCAGGCGAGTCGTACCGATAACTTTCTTTCTTGAGTGGTCTCTCTAAGCCAAAAGATCTGTCGGGAGCGCGTTTCCAACTTCTGACCAATGCTACAGGGCAAGTCCTTGTTTTTGGCTCATATCTTGCACACCGGAGTGGCGCCAACCATAGCAATCAGGATCGGAAAGCACTCTATGCCACATACAACTGTGCCAGAGAAGGTGATTTGCATGACGAGTATTATGCGCACAGAAAAGCCACATGGCCACCTGCACAACTGCGAAAACAGGGAGAGGAATATAAAGAAGGTGCCCTGCGTTACGGGTACGGAAGTCCGATGTTGAGTGTAGATGCTGGGAAGCAACTCGAGGTCTGGACCCAGTTGGTTGCCCTTGGTCTCGATCGGTTTTCTGACTTCATTGCTGGCAGTTCGATGAAGAAGAATGGAGATCTCAGCCCAGGGGTGCACAGGTTGCAGCCCAGATCATCAACATACTCAACCAGTATGGGAAAAGCGACTACATCGGCGAACCGATATCACAGATCGAACATTCATTACAGTGCGCACATCTTGCCACACAGAGTATGGCGGACCGTGAGACGATCGCTGCCGCTTTGCTCCATGACATTGGGCAGATTATTCCGGAGACGGATGCCGAGAAGATGTTGGGTGGAGTTCCGGTACAAAGCATGCGTCAGATAAACGCAGTTGGCCCAGATCAGAGAAGCTCTGATAGCGTCGGCAGGGTATCTCACGAGACATTGGGCGCTCAATATCTGCTGGCATTGGGGTTTCCAGCCAAGGTCGCTGAGCTCGTCGAGGCTCACGTCCCGGCAAAGCGTTATCTCTGTGCCACAGAAGATGGATACTATAATACGTTAAGCGACGCGAGCAAGGAGAGTCTGCGATTCCAAGGAGGCCCGATGAGCCAAGACGAGGTACGACAATGGAAGCAAGGGTCCTGGGCTGCCGAGAAAGCAAACCTGAGGAGATGGGACGACGGAGCCAAGGTGGTTGGCTTGAAAGTACCTGGGTTAGAGACATATCGACCGCTGTTGGAGCAAGTCTTAGGTTCTTGACATGTGGAGAATGGGATAGGTTAGTTGATGACGACGAGATTTACAGCCATATCGAATTTGTAATGTAATTCCCGATGGTAGAGACGGTGTGTTTGAGGAGAACGAAACATTGAAAAGGAGTCGTGGATGATACTTTGAATTGAGTAGGTTTGCCGGATTACATAATGCCGTCTTCACAATAGATGCCAAACTATCGCATTTCGTTTCAACGCTTCCCCAATGTGAAATCCAGACAATTACCCTTCCCCTACACAAGATCTGGCGTGCAGGATGAAGTGGTATGGAGTTGCATCCATATTGCCGTCTCTGTTCTGGCCGGCTTGTGCCATATTTGCCGACGATGCCTTCCACATAGACTTCCACCATGCCCTGATCGGAAGCCCGCAGCCTCATACTACCTTCTTCCACAAACCCCATTCGAACACCAACGCCTCTCTTCTCTATACCCTCTCCGACAAAACTGTTCTAGGCGCTGTTAACCCCAAGGACGGGTCAGCGCTGTGGCGCCAGCCCCTCGCAGGACAACCTATTGATATTGCGCCGAGCTTGTATCTGATTGCGGGGGAAAGAGATGGCCAGCTGGTCAGCGGATACGATAGGACTGTGGCATGTTGGGATGCTCTTGACGGGAGACTCGTGTGGGACTATACACTGCCGCCGGGGACTGTAATAGGTGGACTACAAGCCATTCCCCTTCAGGGCTCTGTCCCGGATGGAGTTCCACAAGACTTTGTGGTCCTAGCAGTCTCGACAGACTCTCAAACGCATACTTCCATCAGTCGAATCGCTGGCGACGGCGGCGGACAACGATGGCAACATGTAGATTCAAGCACCGCACATGGCTCCTCCGCGTCAATCGCCACCTCCGCTCAGCACGTCTACTATATAACAACGTCCCAGGGTTTGTTGACGAGCAGCAAGGCAAAGGTTATCACCTTGGACAGCGCGACAGGACATGAAGTCAGCCAAACAGGGGTTGCCGTCGACACGGAACCCCTGGCACCCGGTGGTCAATATGTGGCGGACGCTTGCTCCGGATCCCCCTTCCTGATTTCCGCTGAGAAACCGTTCAAGGCGGTGAAGTTCAGCCTGCTCAGCCATCCGAAAGGTTCATCTCTCACGTTAGATGACAAAGGAGAAGAAATTGAGGATGTTACAATTCACGCTGCTTGTCACCAGTCAACAGCAACTCATTTTCTCCTACATATCAAAGGGAAGACACGACAATGGGCCGAGGTCTTCCATGTGAACCCGAAATCGGGGGATGTTGCAAAGGTCTATTCATTACCTGCTACCGAAGAACGGAGCGTGTTTACTGCGAGCAGCTACGAGGGATCTGCCTTTTTCATTCGCTCCACAGAGTCCGAAGTCCTTCTGTACTCTTCAGAGTCTCACGGACAACTAGGGAGGTGGAAAAAGACTAACTTCAAGACTTCCCCTGGAAGCTTCCATTCACACGCAACCGCCGAGGTTGTCAGCAGAGGGAAAGCCAACTATGCGGTTCGAGTTGCTGAATTCTCTACCAGTGGAGATTGGTCTCTGATCCGCAATGGAGAATTGCAATGGAGTAGGCCCGAGATGCTCGCCTATGCGAACATTGCTGCCTGGGACGAAAATGGTGCTCCAGATGCTCTGGCAGAGGAGCTTGATCTTGAGTCTTCAGTTAACCCTTGGACGGCCTACATCCATCGTCTCAAACGCCATATTCACGATCTCGCATCCCTTCCGGAGTATCTGCGCAACCTTCCAGACACCATTTTGAAATCTACTCCCGATGCTGATGTGATCACACGCCAAAACCTGGTTGGAACAAAAGTCGTCATTGTTGCCACTACTCGAAAAGAGGTGATCGCGCTGGATGCTACCACTCCAGGCGTTCTCAGGTGGCAGTCAGATCTTTCCACCCACATCCCCGAAGGTACCGAGATCAAATCTGTTACGGTTAGCGGCGGAAGAGTTTCAGTTTATCTTTCGAATGGATCACTACTCGTCTTGGACGCCGACAACGGAAGCCTCATCGAAAATAAACCCGGCACCATTGCCATATCATATCTAATTCAAATTCCCGGCAGTCCTGCGCCAGCTGTCATCAAAGTCGGGTCCGATGGCGTACCTCGCCTTGCTGACGATGTCGTTCCTGGAACCGTCTCGGAAGGCAACGCTGTGGTAACAATAAGTCCAGACGGAAAAGCAATAGGATGGATCGTTGGCCGGAATGTCGAGAAGACATGGATATTGAATCCACAAGATGGTATGAAGATCGTGCGTGCCGTGGCTCGGGCGGAGCATGATTCTGTTGCATCGATCGGCCGTGTGCTCGGGAACAGATCTGTTCTGTACAAGTATCTTTCGCCAAACGTTGCACTTCTGCTGGCAACCTCGGAGTCCGGAGCATTGATGGTCTATTTGATCGACGCTGTGACAGGGGCAATTCTCCATACCGCAACCCACCATGGCGTCCTCTATTCAGACATACCCGCTGTGATATCCGAGAATTGGTACGCCTACACGTTCACGGTCCGCGATCCATTGACATCTGGCCTCTCCAACCAACTTGTCATCTCTGAACTGTACGAATCCTCGGCTCCGAACGATCGGGGCCTCCTGGCAGCGCGAACGAATTATTCCGTCTTCTCAGTTGACGGTGCTGCGGTCAAACCCTACGTGATATCTCAATCATACACAGTGGCAGAGCCGATATCACATCTGACAGTCTCGCAAACCGCGCAGGGAATAACCTCACGCCAACTCCTTGCGACCTTACCCAACAGCAACGCAATAGTCGGCATTCCCCGCGAAATCCTCGATCCCCGCCGCCCTGTCGAGCGGGATCCCAATGCTACAGAGCGAGAGGAAGGGCTCACCCGCTACATGCCTATCCTAGAGTTTGACCCAAAATACTACTTGACGCACTCACGCGAAGTATTGGGCATTAAAGAGGTTCTCTCGTCGCCATCTCTTCTGGAATCCACTTCCCGAGTCTTTGCTTTCGGGCACGACATTTTTGGCACCACGATCACGCCGAGTTTGGCCTTTGACGTGCTTGGAAAGGGTTTCAACAGGGTACAGTTGGTCCTCACGGTTGTGGCGTTATTTGCAGGTGTCGGGGCGCTGAGACCGTTGGTGAGAAAGAAGACGGTCGACGGCCGGTGGAGGTAGTGTTCCAACACGTTGAGCGGACACTTGATTCTGTGTATGATGGAAAGTTATTAGAGAGATCTGGTCAAACAGACTAATTATCTGGTCACTATGACACGAACTGCCTAAGGGAGCGCGAAAAAGGGCTTGTTGGCTTTTGCGGCATGTGATAGAATATTTCTCGGAGTGTAAAGACGAGAAAACTCGAGATCTTGGCGATAAGATTGAAGATTCGAATCTTCTGTGCTTGCTGTGCTTTCTCGTGCATGTGCTGGTTTGTACCTCGTATACGAAGAATACCTACCCATCTATCTACCTATGTATGTAGGTATCTATACTCTGACGCTCTCTTTCAGCCTGCTTTGCACTATTTTTTTGCATGAAGTCTTCCCAGACCACACAAGTTCCCATCTTGGAATTGGTTCCTCTTGTCATTCTCTTTCTCCCCTTCTCATTTCGGCGTACCGACCAACCGACCTGCCGAGCTATTAATCATCCAGGCGAGTGAGGCATGTACGAGGTACACCGCCACGGTTCAGGGTTCAAGGCTCAAGGCTCAAGCCATGTATCCATCCGTACGTCCGTCGCCAGGGGTGGGTGGCCGTTGCGAGACCCTTGTTGTCCTCTTGTTTCCCAAACTCAACTTCCTTAGTAATAGGACCCGATCTCTCCCTGGCTGTCAGCTCCGAAAACGAATCGATTACCTAAGTACTCCCAAGAAACTCTGCGTGCGCTGCGCTTGATCGTCCTTCCTGGAGGATTGCGTCTGCGTATCTTGGAGTCAGGTCTAGCGGAGACTAGCGGCCGCAAAGGGACGCTCGTCCTGATCGGGAAATGGGTAGTTCACTTATTGTACATAATATAACCCACTCTCAGAGGACTTGGGTGATTCCTGTTTTGTCAGGGTGGGAACAGGCAGCGTATTTTCGGATCAGGTCCATCTCCGTTGGGGCCCATGTCGAACACATATCTTTGTGATCATCTTCCGGTTCATGGGAGACAGTTTGCCTAGTTTGCCATTGCTGCCTGTGGGAGGGTTTTTTTCGGATTGAGAACTCTCGACGCCGGACAATGGCCGGTCGAACATCCGAGGGGCTTGGAGCCAAATACCCGATGAAGCTGAGACGCCAATTGTCGATGTATTTTGTACCAGGAGTTTCACAGCTTGGCTGCCACCTCAGGCTACCGTGCATCGCGAAAATCACCGGTGCTCGAGCTTCAGAATTCGACCAGTTTCCTCAAACTGTCGTCTTGCAGCCGTGGAAAATAAAGGTAATTCTCTCTCAGCAATTTCGTGACGTCGTCAAAGCTGTTGAATTCCAGGTTTGCGGCGACCAGATAACTGAACCGGGTGCTGAAAAATCGTCTCTGGGGCGGCACTGGATCTTCCTTTCTCTCCAACTCGGGCCGCATGAATACGTCCTCCACGTATGCGCCAACCGAATAGATCCATAGCAGGTCGCGTGTGTGCTGACCCGGGACAAGGGAGAAATCCTCGGCCGCAGGCCGCAGGGCTTCGATGATCGTGGTCATTTCCGTGTGGTACCGTTTGCTCTCGCGAAAGACGCCACCAGGTTGGTAATGCTCCTCGAAGATGCACCGATCAAAACAGCGCACAGCAAGGCATAACGCGACATCAAAAGTCAACGCGACCGGCGATGGCAGGCCGCCAGGCCCAACGACTGTGGCTACAGGCTTACCATCCTTCTTGGCTGCTTCAATCAAGTCGCACCAGTAGTGGAGAGATCGAGCTCGAACTGCGGTTTTGCGAGCAAAAGACCAGCGGAAAATCTCCGTTACGTCTGAGGCTTTCGAGGTCGCGTATCTGAATTTCAGCTCCTCAACGGCCAGAAGTTCCCTGATGTCAGCCATTATCGCCCTCAAGGCCGGGGCAATGGTGGTCGGGGTGGAAGCTTCTTCAAAGGGGGTTGATTCAGGGAACGCAACTTTCAGGTCCTCTTGCAAAGTGGGCGGATCCTCCATATCGGTGACCCAGGTGTGTGAACGCCACGGTCCAGGGTCGAAGTCGCCAATATCCATCACAGGGCGGGAGCGTAAGGCCGCAGCAAGACTGACCACCGCACCAAGCAGAACTTCCTTCTCCATACGTCCCATGACTGACCAGCCTCCTAAGGAATTGACAATCTTCTGTGACGCAGACAAATGAACAATTGCGGCATGAATGTTTCCGCTAAGCATTTCTGCTGCTCCAAGCCAGCAGCAAGATGAGAGGATTTTCCACAACTTCGCGGAGTCTCCAGTCTGCCGTTGCGCCTCCAGGGACTCTTGCAGCGCTCTGAGAGCCTGGAATTTGTGCTTTTCTGCGTATACCAACGTCTGCTCGTGAGGTTGGCCGTGGTTCCTCTGCCTGCTGCCACTGCTGTAGTAGGCGTGTGAGATGATTGCATGACTGGAAGCTTTGTCTGCGACAAAGGCCGGCATTTTTCTCATGGATTCAGCCGTAAGTGCACTGTGATTGTGACGCAGGGCTATCTCGGATGGCCAGGTGTTCAACATGGACTGTGCTCGAGCCTGTTGAAGTAACATGTGCTCGAGAGCACTGACCGGTATGATGGTCGCATTGAACGGATCGGTGTTTCCTTTGAAGATGGGAATGGAGGCATATGCAACAGCCTGCGTCCCTCCTTGCTCGGCTTGAGTCTCCCGTCTCTTACGTGCGGAATTGGTATCTCTGTCGGAGTTTCCGCCTGAGCTCCGGACAAAAAGGCGATACCTGGAAAAGGGTTGGTTCGACTGGCCCAATCTCTGTCGAGTTTTAGCGCTTGCTAGAGGGCATACTGCGGTGTCAACAGGCCGTGTCAGTAGAGGCTGGCCCACTTCTTCACTCGAAGATCGCTGCGAACGAGTAACGACAGTGGCAGCACTGGATTCTTTCTCTGGGGGCCGAGCGGCCTTTTTTCTGTAGCTAGGGTGTGACACAGTCGCAGCATGAGAACGTGCTTCAGCTCGGAGGAGTTCCTGTTCTCGTTTGCTGGCTGGGAAAGGATGAGAGTCGACGAAGCGGACCGCAGTTGCCTTCTTGGACGCCATCAGTCCCACTATCACCAAATAATAGTGGCTACTGAGAGAGCGGACATGCTGGGGAAGTCTAGCGCTCTAGGGCTCACGAGTAATATCCTAACCGGCGAGACGCGGCTAGGATTTGTGAGTCGAGATCTGGCCAGATTCGAGTTGATTGACAAGCTCCACAAAGCACCAGCGTAGCCAGAAGACAGCAACGTGGAAGTGTGCCAGCGTCGCAGCGCAGGACGAGAGATCGGCATAATAAGCTAGGGAAGTTTGAACAGACAGGCTGGATGGTTATATAATGGGATCGGACAAGGGCCGAGACTCGGATTCCAGTCCTTGGTATCGTTGGCTGCAGACAGGCAGCAGGGTGATAGTCACAAGCGGCAGGTGTTCGCAATCTGGAGCAATGTCCACCGAGGTGTGCCTAGCAGCACAACTTCCTGCAACAGACAACGGTCAACTAGTTCAGGAAAGTCAATGATTGGTAAAGGATCAAGCTCAGATCGAGGCCTGCTTTCGGATTGGCGATAAACCGCCATCCCACGTGTCGAGGGAAGGTGTTGAACGTCTCTGGAGAAGCGCGCCATCGCTCAAGATCCCTTTTCATTGTTCAAATCTCATTGCTTTTCGTTGTTTCACCGCAGAGACCCCTCGATGCTAACTGCGAAGCCCGGGATGGTGAGATGCAGTCAGACTCGATTCGGAAGCCCAAGAGCAGCCGAAGCATCTCCTATTGGCGCGTAGCAATGCCCAAATCCAGGCTAGTCGAGACCGGGTGCAATGTGGCACCCTTTCTGTACTCGTAAAGCCCGTCGGGGAGTCCTGGTGCCCGAATCATTGAGTCTGGCTGGAACCTCCCTTGCATGAGCTGAAATGCATTGATGTCGCGAGAGGAGGCTGCCGAAGCCCCTGCTCTCTTTTGCGAAATGGCTAATGTCTCATAGTCCATATTACTCGCATGGTTCAGATACCGGTTCAGGAATGTTCAGACCTCCCTAATCAAGGATAGCCTTTGTGGGTGACTTTTCAGGAGGTAGCTTAATTGTACGAGTCCTCCACGACATCCATACCAGAGCATTTCTCGATGTAGAGCTGCGCAGCAATAAGCCTCAGAAGACGGTGGTAAAGGCGAAACAATAGAGGCACCAGAACTATAGGACTGAGTACGAATGAAGTCGCAAACGTCTTCAGTGACAGGTTGGTCTTGTGAGCCCCCGGGAGGAACAGCACACAGCTTGTGTGTGTGACACGACGCTCTTTTCCTCGCCACCTTCTAGACGAGGGTAACATGACAGTGTCACTGCGTACGGAGAGGGCTATTGGATACGGAGATCTGATGGCTCCAGTACGCGGGCCGAAGGGACGGAGCCGCAGGATTGTCGTTAAACGTGGAATTGATCGTCGGTGATATCTGGGCTAGAGGCCTGGGGGTGTGTATGAAGTATGAGGACATGACAACGACGGTTGTTGTAGATGACGAGAAGCGTCTTTCATTGAATTGGCCTCTAGAGTTAGAGAACCCAAGTACCTCGTACAAACAGAGACAAAGGTTCTCAGAGGATGTCGTCGCGATGCACGCGCAGTTGTTGTAGAGGTTAGATTTTCCTGCTTAGTCTTAGATTACAGAGACGAGGCTGCGGTCCTGAGCTTGTTTCTACCTGAGCCTTAGTTGTCTTCAGATTGGGCCTGCCTGTGCTTGTAATAGGTGTTGAGGCCCCCCTTAATAAGGGGCCGCAGGGTGCCTAGTGGGTTGTTAGGGGTGCCTCATCAGCCTTGTGCGGGGAGCCTGTCTAGTTGTCCCTTCAGCCTCGTAGCCTCGCAAGTAGAAGCTTCTCGCACCTTCTGTGGTTGGATCCACGCACCGCGCCATGCGTCATTCGTCCAGCATCACCGTGTCGAGCTGCACTTGTTGTCAGAATTGTTCTTTTCTCTTCCGCAGTACTCGGTACCTTGCTCAGACGACGGAGAGATTGCTCTGAGATCAGCCCATAGTCTCAATGCCCTGATCTTCCCCCTTCCAGATACCCATCCGCTTGTACCAGAAAAGTTCTGCACTCCATTTCTATTGGGTTCTGCTCGATCATTCCATCGACTCCACAGGCACGAGCCCTAAATCCCGCAAACCGGAACCTGTTTGCCCTGCCAGCCTCGTCATTCCCTCCCATTTGACTTTATTTCTTCCCTCTCATCTACCCTCCTTCTTCTCTTTCAGAGCAGAGGACAACATTCAACATAACACTCACACTAATACTCGACCAATCACACCCTTACCTTCACCATGGTAGCAGAGACGAAACTCTACGATGCTCTCTCCATCTCCCCTTCGGCATCCCAGGATGAGATCAAGAAAGCATATCGAAAAGCTGCCCTGAAATGGCATCCTGATAAAAACAAAGACAACCCCAATGCTGCTGAAAAGTTCAAAGAGGTCTCTCAAGCATATGAGATTCTTTCGGATCCAGAAAAGAGAAAGGTGTACGATCAATATGGCTTGGAGTTCCTTCTGAGAGGGGGTCAGGCTCCTCCTCCTGGAGCAGAGATGCCCGATGGCATGTCCGGCGGCGGTTTCGGTGGTATGCCAGGCGGGTTCAGCTTTGGAGGCATGCCTGGCGGCGGCGGTGGTGGTACACGGACATTCCACTTCTCAACCGGCGGTGGTCCTGGAGGCTTCAGCTTTTCGGATCCTAACGACATATTTGCCCAGTTTGCTAGGAGTGGTGCTGGCGGCGCTGGCGGTGCGGGCGGTGCCGGTGGTGGTGGTGAAGACGCCGAAGATATTTTCAACCTGTTTAGTGGTCTAGGTGGTGGTGCGAGAGGGGCCGGAAGTAGACGGGGCACGGGCAATTTTGCACGACATGCCAGACCACAGACTCCTGAAGTCTCCGTCATTGAACGTCCCTTGCCCGTTACCTTGGAGGAGCTGTACAAGGGAGCCCACAAGAAGATGAAGATCAAGAGGAAGACATTCAACCCCCAAGGACAGCGAGTGACCGAGGATAAAATTTTGGAAATGGACATCAAGCCAGGTCTGAAAGCCGGCTCAAAGATCAAATTCTCCGGGGTTGGGGACCAGGAAGAGGGTGGCACACAAGACATGCATTTCATCGTCACTGAAAAGCCCCACACCAGCCTCACCCGCGACGGCGACAACCTAATAACGACAATCGAACTAGACTTGAAGGAGGCACTCACAGGTTGGAAGCGGACAGTCACCACGATTGATGGCAAACAACTGAATGTTTCGGGATCGGGTCCCACCCAACCTGGTCACGAAGAGAGATTTCCTAATCTGGGCATGCCCATCAGCAAGAAACCTGGCGAGAGAGGTGACTTCATTGTAAGGGTGAAGGTCAACTTCCCCAGGTCATTAACTGCTGCCCAGAAAGCCAAAATCAAGGAAGCCCTCCCATAAACAGTCATGGACCCAGGCCACGCAGGCGCGGCGCTTTGAGCTGTTGTCGCGGAACAGCAGAGGCCCGTGTGCAAAAAGTGTTTGAACAGTATCGAAGCAGATAAATGAGACAATGCGCGTTGAAGCAAAATGCAAATGGAGAATGGAAGAGCATGGAGGTTATGCAGGTCCACGCCTCCAGAGAAGAGGAAAAGAAAGGACAAGTGTCTGCCGCGTTGGAGGGGGCTGAATGAGCTGTCTAATAGGTCGCGACACGACAGTCTAGTCCAAGAGGAGGCATTCGGCGTCGTGCAGAAAGTCGTGCATCGACGACAACCTCCAAGAGGCGCGGCAGCAGGTATGAGAGGAAGTGTTCCCGACAGAGTGGAGGACGCATCATGAGAGACGAAATGTATCCAGTCACGACTTGCATACAAACGGCCTGTCTCGCATTGAAGAGCATTTTCTTTTTACATTCCTGGGATAGGACAGGCTTATGAACATGGAGGCGCTGTTTAGGAATTGTGGCGTTAGAACAAGCGATACGGCGACACGGATTCCTTGTCCCTTTGCCGTTTCTTGGTAGATAGGTACAGCTTCTTGTTTTGTTCCAATAACGTTGGACTTCTTTTGCATCTCATTCCAGTCGTTTCTCCTAAGTTGATGTGCCTTGTGACAGTGTCGAAACTTCTGTCTCACTGACCTTTGTCTGCTCATTGAACCCAAGATACAATCAACCATGTTATTACCCAGCATACTATTTCGGTAATGATCATTTACAAAAGTCACGCCTCTCGTACGACCTGCTATTTCCATCTGGCTTTCATCCCACTCGACCGCTCAACTCGAGCCAACAGAACGAAGCCCAATAACAGCTCGAGATCACAACTTTTCCACGGGCGCATCGACGTCGACCTCTGCGACCTGATCGATGCCCTGATAGTGCGGCACATCGAGGCCGTACTTGGCGGCGACATCCTTGCTCAAGAAGCGGCCGCCGATGAAATGTTTCTTACCCTTGAAGAACTTGACGCTGGGTTTCGCGGCCGTGAGGCTAATCAGGTATTCGGGCATGAAGTCGTGTCCGATCTGTCCTTTCTCGGGGGGGCCGGACGCCACGTCCCACGACGAGGGTATGTCGACGCTCAGGACAGGCTTTTTGGACTCGATCATGGTTTGCAGAACGGTGTCGAAGGGCGCGCGGACGGGAGGTTTGAACGAGAACCCGAAGAGGGCGTCGATGACGAGGTCGGCCTTGGCCAGAGACGACTTGTACTCCTCGGTCGTGGTGAGGAAGGGGATGTGTAGGTGGCGGAGTTGCTTCTGCAGGCCAGTGAAGATGGGCGCGTTGGTCGGTTTGGGATAGTAGATTTCCGGGCTGTAGCCGTAGTGGTGCAGGTGGCGGGCACAGACGAGGCCGTCTCCTCCTAAGAGATGTCGAGGATACATTTAATACATGGGAACTCGCAGTGTGAACAGAGACTCGTTGCGATGAGACGTACCGTTGTTGCCCGGTCCGCAGGCGACGAGGATATTCTTCCCTTTCGAGGGCGGGTGGACTTTGTACACTTTTTCGACCCAAAGACAAAAAGATGAGCTTCGATCTCACATGCGCCGTGATGGTCTTTCGCATTCCAACAACACTCTGTGTCGCCGTGAGCTTACCTGCCTGTGAGACACTCAATCCAGCAAGTTCCATCAACTGATCAATGCTGAATCCTCCCTCCTCGCTCATGAGCTCTTTATCCAGCTCTGCCGCCTTTTCTGGACCCAGAGTCTACGCACAGCGACAGTTAGTGACCTCTTTCGCAGCCGTCAGAGCCACCATGTCGAATGATTTGCAGAGAATATAACCTGACGCCGGACTTGATTAGGGCTCACCTTGAGCGCCATCTTGGAGAATTGCCGTGCAGTAAAAATTGGTCGAAGTGCCCTTCTGGGAAGACAGGTTCGGAGCATAAGACGTGGTGTTCTGGTAGATGAGGGTTCAACGACCGATATGATACCACCCAATATATTACGTTGAGGTCACGCAACCCCGGCAAATACCTCTGTTGTCTCGTGCAGACAAGGATATCGTCATTGTTCGGCGTCACCCTCCGATTCCGCCAATGAGAAGCTTGGCCGAATTCCGCACGAGGCTACGAGGCTGAGCTGCGCATCTCCTAAAACTTCCTCGATTGAATTTCTTCGAAGTTGCACCTTTGATTTCTGCCAGCGCACACCCACACCAACCGCCGTCAAGGACCGGAGATACTGCATCTCATCGGTATCGCCCTTCCGACAGCACGACCTTCTCATTAGGGAATTGAATAGAGAAACCCGATCACCATGGTCCTTCGGATCCGCCTCGCCCGCTTCGGCACCAAACGAAAACCAATCTACAACATCGTCCTCGCGCAGGCGAAATCCGGACGCGACAAGAAGCCCATGGAAGTGCTAGGAACGTACAATCCGATGCCGCAAGCGCCATTGGCCACCCCAGATACGCCAGAGCTGTTGGAGAGCGGCGAAAAATACATGCCCAAGAAAATGAAAGATATAAAATTGGACACGGCGAGGACGAGGTATTGGCTTGGTGTTGGCGCGCAGCCGACAGAGCCGGTTGGGAAGTTGCTGAGACTGGTGAGTTGCGTCCCTTTCTTTTTTTAGGGGTACATCAGTTGCGGACGGATTAGCATGGCGTTGGTTGAGCTCACGGGGAGGAAGAACATGGAGGGCACAAGTCTTGAATGACAGGCAAGAGCATGCTGTTCGAGGAAGCTCCAGAGACTCACACTCTCCTATTCATGCGCTCGTCTCTTTGTCTATCTACGAACCTTACCCCACCTCGCCAAATCGTCTCAAACTAATATCCCATCCTCTCGATTACAGATTGGCATGCTCGAAGAGAAACCCTCCAAGGTCAAGAGATTCCCTACACAACCATACAACCCAGAAGCGCAACCACCGTCAGAGACCGAGCCCGAGAAACAACAAAGTTGACAGCATCGCTAAGCATCGGAAATTTTGATATCGTTGTATGATGATTCGACATCAAGAGGGGAGGACAGGGCGTCCGATTTGCGTATCATTGGCAAAAGCATAGCCATCGGCGTTATGATTGAGGGACTTGAGAATCTCAAAAGCATGCGGCGCATGAGAGGGACACAATGTGTCTTGGGTTGCACGGTAACATGACATACGGATATCGTCAGCCGAAGAGGAGCTTCTCTGTGTACAATACATTTTGTCGTGTGACAATATTCTTCGTTGTGGAAACGGCCACTCGTGTTTTGAGAGAAGAGGATTGGGGCATATATGACCATGATCATGACCTCTATTCGATCTCCAAGATACCTAGGTATATATACCTGGATCATCACTTTCACCACATCCATCAGACTGCCACCACGTCGCAATACAGACCACCAACTCCAGCAGAAACATCGCTCACGAGAGCAGGGGAAATCTTCCAGCTGTCTGGCGAATGTGCTGTAATATCTGAAATTTCGAACCTGGGTTCCTACATCGTCTGGCTCCTCCTGTCCATGTACCATTTCTATGACCATGTACAACACATACCTGGATACACATATACGACATGTCCCTTTCGACGGAATAGGACTCCTTGCGCTAACTTCTGAGTTGAACTTTCGCTTGCTCGCTTGCCATACATCCCAAACGATCCCTCCTTTCAGACCACAGAAAGAAAAAAAAGACAAACTCTTGACCCGATCCCTCACCGAGTTTCCTTTTCCAAAACGTGGTGAAATACATGGGCACATGGGACGCCCCCTTTTGTCCAACAAAGACTCTTCCTCGGCTCTCTCACGCCCGTAATCTGTCTTCTCACACCTCCTCCCGAGCGAGGCTTTTTGCCCTTCCTCAGATTACTATGCTGTAGTCTTCTATAATATAGCTATACCTCCTCCCTCCTCAACACCCCATCCCGCGACCCGACGGCGACGATCCTGGCCCTCCCCTCCCGGCCCTCCAGAAGCCTCAACGGTCCTTCGACCCATTTCGTAAACAAGCTCGGTTTGCCGCTATCGCCGCTATCGTCTTTTTCGTCTCCGCTGCCACCCGTGAAAACCTCGCGGTCCTCGGGCCTCAGCTTCGGGAACGCGCCAAACTCCCAATCCAGATCCCCGCCAAAGCGCCTGGGGACGTTCTCGGCGCCCAGGTCGCGGCGCAGGACGTCGGCGCTCTCGTGGTGGCCGAGCACGAAGATCTTGCGGGTCGTCTCCTTTTCGAACCACAGGGTGATGAATTTCCAGATCTGCGGGAAGAAGGGCGGGGCGCCGACGACCTGGTTCTCTCACGCAGCGCGAGGAGACATGGTTAGTTTGGGTGGTTAGGTAGTTTAGGTGGGTAGTTGGTCAGTGGGCTGGGGAGTTGGATATGCAGGGGTATGACCAGCATAGCCTCTGGGAAAACTAAGCTCTTGAAGACAGGGCCAGGTTGTGCTCGTAATGGACTTACGTATATCCTCTTGACCGTCTCCGGGTAATGAGCCGTGGCCATGGTGCTGGCCGCGTTGAGCAGTCTGCGTAACCTCCAAAACGTCGGGATGCCGACGTGAGACAGGTCGATGATGTTGCTAACAACCGAGGAGTGGTCAGTTACGCGTTGAAACGGAGCCCTCGTCTGTTTCATTTTCTGGAGACGAGATCTCTCTCTCTCCGCCCCGCGTGTGTATGTGAGGGAGACCAGGGGGAGAAACTCACATTGACCTGGTCGTTCTCCGACGCTGGAGCTTCCCGCACAAGGGCTGCACAAACTGCGTGACATACTCGGCGGCGAGGAAGACGCTCGACAGGGACGGATCCATCTTGTGCAGAGCGAGGATGTCCTCGGGCTTGACCTGGGCGACGACGTAGACCATGATGGGGACGCCCGTATCGTCGCGCCGGCCCGTCCATTGGGGTTGCTAGAGATAAATGACATCAGTTATCTTGGACACTTTTGATATCTTTTCTTGAAAAACGAATAGATGCTGGCTTACAAGTCTCCTGATGGTCTCAAACTTTGTTATGTCGACGTCGTCGTACGTCTTCTCCAGCTGGATCTCGTGCCGCCATTTCGCCGACGCCGCGTACTGCTTGAACGCGGCGGGGACGTCGTATTTCCGCGCGCGGAGGTATCGTCTGCGATAACATGTGTCAGATACTCGGTGCTAGAATCTTGGGATCGAAAAGAAGAAGATGAAGGGAAAAACAGCCCCCCTTAGCCCATCCGCACTGAGGACTTCGCGAGACGGTGGCTTCATATGTTCTGCATGCAATTAGATAACTGGGAACCGGGAACGTACAGTAGATTCGAATCTTCAGTCCCATCGTTCACGGGGGCGTCATCATCAGCCACCAACTCGCTCTTCGGCCACGACACGTTATTCTTGCGACACAGCTCCCTGAGCTCCGCCAGCGCCTTGTGTTCGCGCTCCACAATCGAGTCTGTCCGCTTGGTCGACCGCTCCGAGAGACTGCTCCGGCGGGAGATGTGGGTGATTGTCCTCAACAGCTCCGCCATCCCGATCGACCGACCACCGACCGACTGATAGGGGTTGACAGAGGGATATGCAGTGCTTTGGTTTCTCACGAAGGGGTATACCAGTCAACACGTCGTCGGTCTTGTCGTCTTCGCCAGAAAGGGTGTTTTGATTTTCCTGATATCTTATTGACAGACTATCAATGTCCAGCACCTCGGGGCAGGTGATGGTGGTGATGGTGGTGCGAAAACGTTCCCAATCAACAAGAAAAATGTAATACATACACCAGAAACAATCTGCGCGGGAGGAATAAATCCGACACGGCCGTTGTCAGAAAATCATCTCGTATCATATCACATCATATCACGGGTTGGGTTGGCGCTCGTGTAGCATACACACCTTGGGTGGTAAGTACGCACGTACCAAGGAATCGATGTCCAAGCTCCCAACTCCCTCGGTCTCCTCCCTCGTCGTCTACATTCCATTCTACATTTCACATGGCTAGACCAACTCACCGCCACACTCTTCCTCCCTCCACTGAAAGTAGACGTTGAAAAAACCAACCAACTAACTACCACCACCAAACTCCTCTCTCCTCCCCTCTCCGTAGATGTGGCGGAAAACCGGTCGACGAGCGGATCGGCAGGTAGCGGGAACCCATGTAGTGCCACCAGCACCATTGTCAACATTTTAGGTATACAAAATAACCTACGAGTTAAATATAGTAACATGCTACACACATGGTCCAGACAGACTAAGTAGTATGTGGTATTTAAACCTTGTTTGTCACCCAGTACCTGCGTCTTGCACACTACCCTAACTGGTTGGGCGGAGGGATGCCGCGGAGAGTGAGATGCGTTGGGATGGGATGGCACGTGCCACTGCGCGCCACCACAGATGTGTGTCCCTCGTACGTATGTACGGATAGAGGAGAGTTTGACCCACTCGTTCACTCATCCATTCATCCAAGATGTGCCGTCAGATAGAAAATCGACGACAACGGTTCATGTGATATGGGTCGAAACTACTGGTGATGCCTCATTGAAGATGCAAGCACTTGAAGTGTAACATGGCCAAGAGAGCAATATCACACCCAACAGATCAGACATCAACGCAAAGACACAATGTTCAATCCTTTCATGATTCGCATATCTCGTCGAGAACCTTCTGAATCCCCAGGGGTTCCGTCTATTTTTGCGCTGCCTCGTATCTTTTACTGCCCTTCGCTATGCAGTGCTATCATCCATGCCATCTGTACTCTTTACTGATCCACCAGCCTCATCTCAACGCCCCTTCAATCTCTGCAACAACAGTCTGAAATCTTGGTTCTTCCAAGTACTTGCCCTCCTTCAACTTCCTCAACGCCACTGGCACATCAAAAAGCTCCGCGGCAGACTTCATATCCGCGCCCGAGAATCGCACTAGGATGGTCCCCAATGCCACAAGGGAGCGATATGCTGGTTCCGTGGATTGCGAAGCAGGATTGCTGGACGAGGCAGAGTGGTTCACCGCAGGGAACGAGGACACGAGTTTGGAGAGCTCTCCTAATAGGTCAAGCGCATGGCTGGCGTTGTTGTCGGCATCGCTCGAAGTCGAAGTCGTGACTAGGACGGTAATGTTGAGATACAGCGTTGTAAGTGCGATGGCCACCGAAACATCCGACGATGCATACTGTGCAAGTGGCTTGAGGCTTTCGACGATGTTGTCGACATTTTCTTTGACAAGTTCCCTTCCAGCAGGTGACCCGTACATCAGATTCGAGAAGAAACGCATGGCAATCATGCCCAATTTGTTGTTGGTACGCACAAAAGACTCGTCAAAGATGCCGCTCCCCAGGATTCCCGCCACGACGTCGAGGCCATCGACATTCTCCACTGGAAATTCCTTTGCTGCGGCAGCAATGAATCGAAGAAGATCCAGTCCAGCTAGTCGGTTGGCGGGTGGTTGCCATTGAGTCGCTATCTTCAGCAGGGCCGGGATGGCAGATTTAAGGGAGGGTGAGGGAGGTAATGATGGAGGGCTAGAGAAGTTGTATTTCTCGAGCTGTTGCGCGACATCTGACAGTGCTTGGAGTTCCTGAGGTTGAAGGCTCATTTCACTGGCAGCGTATTCGGTGTTTTTCTTGATGATTTGCGTCATGGCGGCTGAGGGCTTTCCAATCACGACAGAGAGATACTGCTTTTGAGGAAGGGTTCGTCTGGTAGGCGCATATGGCGGTGGTGGTGGTTGATATGACGACGTGGGAACATCGCCAGGTCGGTATCGATTCTCCGTCCCCCAAGGATCAGCTCCCGTTGGCGCTGACTGCCCCAGCGTCGCACCCTGGGTGTTCTTGATGATGAAATTCGCCGTTTCTTCAAGATACGACATGGGGAGTTCGTGGTCCTGAAGGAATTTCGTGGCTGCATCGTAAGGGTTTTGTGTGACATTAAACGGTAGCTTGAGTGGAGGCTTGCCGTCCTCAATGTCAATGTCAAACACATAGTCGTACTCTTTCCCATTGTACGCTGTCTTCCCACTCGAGGCGGCCGAATCCACAACCTGTCCGACTTTGATCCACTGCTGCTGAGACATGGACCACTGATATAGACAGGCGCTTCCATCGTCTTCTTTGATCATTTGATTCTGGCCTTCTTTGGAACCGGCCTTTTGTTTGAGGAAGTCAGGACCCGGGAGATCTGTCACATTGATCTGCCCTACAGTCTGTTGAGGAATGCTCGATGCTTGCAGAGACTCTTCAAACGCCGCAAGTGTTTCCGCATCGGCCACCCTCTCCGGGTCACGCGTGAATATGCGTGCCGTCTTGTCGCTTGAGCCAACAATGATGTCGCCATTTGGAGCGGTAGACACCGACCAGACTGAGATGGCCGGCAACGTAATGACCTGGATACAGGACTGCCCGTCCCAGACGCGGACGGATCGATCTTCTCCAGAGCTCACAATTTCACCTGAAGGAAGTACAGCCAAGGAGTATATGAAGGACTCGTGGCCAACCAACGAGGCAATGAGCTCGCCTTTCAGGTTCCAGAGACGGACAATGCCATCATTTGTTGCGGCGGCAATCTGAGCACCTGTACGATGGCCTTCGGGTAGCTTTGCCAGAGCGCGAACAATGTCCTGACCGTCCCATGAATTCAACATCTTGCCTCGGATATCAAAGACTCGGATCGCACGGTCAGCACAGCCGGTGACGATTGTCTCTCTGCTGAAAGCGAGCACTGCCCAAACCGTGGCCGTGTGCCCTGTCAGATCATACGCGACCTCCCATCTGCCAATCTCCCACACTTTTGCTGTAGCGTCCCAACTGCCACTCACAAAGTAGTTTGCCGGCGCACACACATCTATCGAGCAGACCTGGTTGCTGTGCCCCACCATGAAAGCGTCCGCATTCATGTCAGCTGTTAACGATGGCTGTCGAGCTTCGATGAGCGCATCTTGACCGGAAGACAGAATCAGACCATCTTCGTATTCTTTGGAGGGGGGGATATAAGCGAGACAGGTCTTGAACTGTGCGCCGTGGGATGATTCCGTGTCGTCGTAGGTCGGCGGGGATGTGGACGTTCGTTTCCAGACTCTGGTTGAGCCATCGCGAGACGCTGTTGCTGCAAAGGAGGGATCAGGAAGTAGGACGGCACGGACCTATATTCTCATGTCAGTCTGGGTTCGGTAGTATACATGTGCCGAAACATGAGAAGCGTACATCACTCTTGTGGCCGCGCAGGACCGCGCTCAGCTTGAAATCCGTCGCCGCGCCACTCATTTTTGGTCATTGACTAGAAACAAGGATCATCTGGGATTGAGCAACGAACGAAAGAATATATCTGCACGGCGCCGGTAGTGACAAACGAGTGACAAGTGTGCGCACAATCACATGTTTCCTCTTTTGCTAGGAACAAATCCACCTTCAGATTCTCGCAGCCTTGCGGATTGGCGAGTGACGAATGACGTAATGCGGTTCAGCCTTGTCTGATGTGGCAGAAAGCACGGCCGTCAGCTGGTGTTTATCCAGTACATATATCTAGATATTGAACGGGCGATGTGCTTTCTTCTTCTCTGAATATTGATAGGGCTCTGTGAAAGCTTATACTAAAGGACCCTTGCTCATCACCCCAATTTAAATTGCAAACAGAGGGTTTTACATTGCGCTTGCCTTCCTGCAAGCTTGTCTGATTGCTTGAGAGCCAAATGTTGGCAGTTTCTTCTTTGTCCCAGCCTTCTACGCCTAAAGTATTTCCCGTCATGCTCCCAGCTCTGGAACACTACTGCATAATCATCGTCTAGCAAATATTCAGCCTCGCCACACTGGGATCGTGATCCGACTTCTGATCGGCGTATGCCGCCCATGTGTTGACATGTACGTGTTTGAAATCCGGCCTGGCTCCAGGAGTGCCGGCTATTCTGGGGCTCACAAACATATGGTCCAACTCCTCACAACTCATGTCGAAAATATACGTGTATCGTTCGGTGGGGGCAATGCCCGCAGCGTCGTCCATGTTCACGAGCCCAGAGACCGCAGTAAAGGTCTCCAAAGGCTCCACGAATGCGTATTCGTTAAAGTCTCCTGCAACGATGACGGCGGCGTGGGGATCGTGATCAAGGATCTGCGAGACAAATGTTCCAGTCACATTCGCTTGGGCCTTGCGCTGATCTACCCCGAGGTTGACAGGCGGGCGCGGGTCGCCTTCAATCGAGGAGCTGCCACCCTTGGATGTAAAGTGGACGACCACAGTGAAAAGTGTAGATTTATCTTTAACCGTTTCCCATTCTGCCGCCAGCGGTTTACGACTGTCTTGCCAGGCTGAGTTTGTTGGATCGACTAGGCCAGGGTTGTACTTCAGTGACGGACCTGGGAGCACTTCGTTGGCGTCAACGGAGGAGCCTGGGTTGGGATTCTTAAGGTGTAGGACGTCAGGGTTGTAAAGATAGGCGACGCGGATGTTGCCACCGGGCTCGCCGCCGTCTTCGTCGTTGATAGGATCGATGTCAACGTAGCTGTATGACACTCCCCCGGCGTCTTCGATCGCGCTCACAAGGGTCTCCAATGTGATATTGGCACTTACGACGCCGTCGTCTGTAGGACCACTGTTATCTTGAATTTCTTGTAAGAATACCAGATCCGGAGAGTTGAGATAGTAGGCAATATCGTAAGCGATGCCAGGCAGGGTGGCGGAGTTTGAAGCCAGATTGTCAACATTATACTGTCCCACCGTGATTTTCTTGCAGCTCCCCTTCGAGTCCCAACTGATAGGGTCTGGCAATGCCGGTTGCTTCGAGTCGATGATGGAAAGGCTTGTCAATGGAAGGATGTAGTAAAGCCCAAATTCCTGGTACACGATACCGGTGATGTCTTCGAGGTCGTCCCCAAGCTTGATATTTTCCGGATTAACGGTGCCATCGAGGGGCGTACCGATAATAATGGCTTCAGGATTCCCGTCTCCTGGAGTCAGGGTCAAACCTCCTCTTTTGTTCTTGCCAGTCTTCCTCCAATTCCCAACTACCCAGGTTTCATTGTACGAGTTCGGTTTGCCAACAGCATTGGGTCTTTTGACGGTGACCAGCTCGCCCAACAGACTCTCCCAGAAATCAAGGCCGTAGGTCCATGGTTGAAGGACAGGGTTCACCACGGAGATCAGACTGACATTGTTCGGCACCCCAAAGACATCACCGTTGTCCAGTGAGGTGAACTGCTCTGTCGGTGGGCTGGTGTCTTGTTTTCCCAGAACAACCGGTTTCACCTCGTTGTCCCGGGACAGCACCTTTACATTGGTAGGCCGAGAAATCTCTGTCATGTACAGATATGCCGAGTTGGACCTGTACTCGGAAACAATCCCGTCGAGCACAACGATATCACCCGTAGTCAAGGTAACATTGCTGGAGATACGGCCGAAGACATAGACCGACTCAGAGGTACGAATGTCCGAGTCTGGAGTGGTAGAGCGGATCCACAGCCCATCTGGTCCGATGGCAGTGACCAGTCCTGTGACGTTGTAGACATTTTGGTTGCGGTACGGTGAGACGAAGCGATTCCCATTGATCTGAGCAATGGTTTGTGCTGAGACAAGAGCGAATGAAAGAGAGGCTGCGCAGAGGCACAAAAAAGCATCAGTAACCTTCATGATGGACGAATCGAAGGGCGAAAACGAGAGGACGGCTTGAAGCCAAGATGTTCGGCGAGTGTCTGTTCAGACGACATGTTGTCTGATGGAGGGAGGCAGCTTTTCTATATGGAGATTTAGCATCAGCAGGGCTCATCTTCAACATCTCGTCAGGTAGCAAATCCCAACGTCGCATCACCTTTGCTTTTGCATGAACCAACTGTGCACCTGCAGACGTCCAGATTGGCAAGAGTACGGGAGTGAAGCTGAAGACAAGGGAGTTGGAGGAACATGATGGTTGAGATGGCAATGATTGGTGGCCGAGACGAAATTCTCAGTGGTTGGGCGAGATTGCGGGCTGCGCAGGTGGAGGCGGCGTCCAATTTCGCAGCTGCACATCTATGCATGAGCAGCACTTCATTTCCTTTCACCACGCACACGTGGTGTAGTTTCAGTCAATGGATGGCTTATAGGCTGGCCTTGTAGCTTGCTTTTGCATAATGGACTTTTGCGCCCTTGTCTCGCAAATTCCATGCGAAAAGAGCGTATCTTCGACCAATATACTGGCCCAGTCAGAGACAAACTACTCGTACAAACTACAAGTACACAGATATGGTAGGTGGGGCGGTGAAGACAGAAACTGCCATTACGGCTTTATACCAAAGGTACCCAGGTAGTCACTTTTTCGTCCGCGGCAGTTGGCCATACGGCTAAATAGACAAACAACTCGACAGTATACAAGGGTCCGGATTGATCTTGTCGATCTTTCCAGTATCATACATCACTAATCCAGTGGGAAAGTGCTCGCAAACAATGAGGAGCATCGCGGCTGTTTACTTGTCATCCAACAAAGCTGTTCATTCGCCCGTTCCACCAGCTCCGCAAGGCTGGAAGCGCATCCTACCCCCAGTCTTGGGACGAGGATGTCCGGGTCCGAGATTGTCGAAAGCGAGTAATGAAGACGTCGTCTCGAGACGGGTTTGAGTTTGCGGCTCTCCGGCTAAATCTTGCCCACCAGCAAACAGTCCACCATCTTTTGCGCGGTCAACCACACCGTGTTGGCAAATGTGGGAAAATCCAAAGTAGAAAACAACGTGTCGGCAAACCCAAACGGCAGCATGGGTGGAATCCAGCCTTGGGCAAGTTCAAGGGCGAAACAACCGCGATGCATTTTGTATTGCTTGACAGCGCCCTTGGGGTGGTGGTTCATGGTGCCTTTCGGGTAGCGTTCTTTAACCAACGAATTTGCAGAGTACGCCCACTGCTCGCCCTCGAGGATGTAAAAGTAGTCGTCTGCGGTATGGCGGCCGCTATGCCCCTCCGTTCCAAGAGGTGTGCCGAAGATGATCAGGTACTCGGTGATGCTGGCATGGATGATGTACATGCTTCCCATGGCCCCACCGGCATTGTTGAAAACCCATTGCGAGGCGTAGGGCGAGATAGGGGAGATCTCAGTGCTATTCGGCGTAGCGTGAGGGAATGGGTCCTCGCCAATGAGGTCTGGTCCATATTGTTCGCGAAGAGACGTGACGATGTGGTGCACCGCGCCGGCGGTAGATTCAGGATAGAGTTCCAGGCTTTCGTCGACCAGTTTCTGCAGTGCCACGGGATCAAAGATGTACCATCTAGACTGTTGAGAGAATGTATTCAGTATGTGAATGGCACGAGGATATGTTTCACTGCTAGAAGCGCACCTTGACCGAATCTGCCCAGGTACAGAGGCTTGTCAAGAGAGTGACAATCAAGAGACCAATTGACAGTTTCCAGGCAAAACTTGCCTTTTCTCGCCTCGTGTCGACCATTTCCTCCTTTCGTCGCTCTGCTGTAATCGATACAGATCAATTGGGTAGTGATACAAGTGCTTACCTTGTCAAGCTCGTGTACCTCGTCAGAGTCTGAGGTGCCCGCACGGCTTTTACTCGATTGATATTTGTCCCCTATAATGATTGGAGGCGTGATCCGGAATGTCGCGTTCCGTGGAGGAGGCCTCACAATCATCTTGGCAACGCGTGGAGCCGAATTGGAAACAAGGCAGTAGAGAATGTAGTCCTCATTTCTTCGCTCAGAAGAGTGAAAAATGAGGTGTACGGGGTATGATCTTGATTTCACAGCCACTCGCCTTTCTTGCCGTGGATAGAAGCCCTACTCTTTCCCCCGAGACTACGTCTACGACGTGAAATATCTCCTCGTATCGACGCGAGTTCCTGTGCATCACTCATCTGTGTCCTGAAGGTAGGAATCGCGCTGGTAGTGATCAAGGTTTGATATTAGGAGGTCAAAGGTCGAGATTTGAGGGTTCGATCGATGGCAAAGGTAGGGAATGAGGCTAACGAACTCCGAGTATGGTGGGCGTGAACAGGCATGGGCAGGCTTTCAGGCTAGAGGTGACTACGGAGTTAGGAATAATGAAATAATAAGACGTGCGTATTCCCACCACTAGGCGGCCTTGCCATTTCAGGAATGGTCGTAGGCTGAGCACCCGAGCCTTTCCGAATTAGTAGATACTCGGGTACCTACCGAGCTACCTACAAACCTTCGTCGTATACAAATACGCACAAGTTGCACTCATCGTAAGAGAACTTCGTCAACCTTACCAAGTACAGACAGCGTCTCCTCTGCGGAGCTTTGGCGTGGACATGAACACAAATACTTGCGAATACGCTCCTTCAGCAGAACACCTCAACTCTAACCGATCATGGCGAGCTTCTGCGACCAAGAGCAGACAATGATGCTATTGCATTTTTCCAATGAACATGACAGCAGCAATGATTTAAAGATCTGGAGCCCTCCTTACACGTACTAACCTTCTCGCCGTTCTTCAGACCCCCCAGTTCCTCAACTTTCTCTTACCATGTCGGCGTTCTTCCTCTCTCTGCTCTCTCTGACAGCATTAGTCCAAAGCTCTCCCATTCTCTCAGTGAAAACGGTGAAAACATGTCAAGAGTACAATATTCCTCTTAATCTGACCACTCTGAACCTTAAGTGGGCACTCGATCCGCTCGAGACCAACGAAGATGCCGCGGCATACAGCATTCAGGGGCAACGACGTGATGCCATGACCGTTTTCCAGCCAGTCACGCCTCCTACTGCTCCCGAGACCGCTGTCTACACGGTAGCCGGTACCTTCTGTCAGCCAGCCAGTGGAGGAAATGGAACGGTCCTGCTAGCTACCCACGGCGGAGGATACGACAGATAGTATGCTTCCCAGCAACCGGCCTACAAGTAGTAACATCCAAGAAGCTAACCGATGACAAAGCTACTGGGATCCCTCCATTCAACCGGAGAACTACAGCTTCGTGGACTATGCCGTGGCACGAGGCTATTCGATCTTCTATTATGACAGAGTAGGTCTCGGCGAGTCCCAGAGGTAAGTTCCGTTCCCATTCCCGGATCTGCTCGTCATTACTGACCATTTCCCACAGCGTCTCTGGCTATGTCGCGCAGACTTCGATACACACGGCTGTCGTCAAGGAACTTGTCAAGGTTATCCGCAGCGGTAAATTTGGGCATCCTCCCAGCAAGGTCGCGCTTGTGGGCCATAGTCTTGGAAGCGCGTACTCGAATGGCGTCCTGAATAGCGATCCGGATTTGGTGGATGCAGCGGTCCTCACGGGCTTCGCCTACAACGTCGTTCCTCCTTCAGGAGGCACTACGCTGCTCGCGAAGCTAGAAGATCCCTTCAGATTTGGAAGCTTAGACGGTGGTTGGACAACCTGGGCCGACGTCTACTCCAATATCCAGAGGTACGACTCTCAGCAATGTACTTGGTGATCATCATCTGTAGACTGACCGAGTACTTAGCTTCTTCAAACCTCCCTTCTATGATCGAAAGGTGGTGCAATGGACCGAGGACAACAAACAACCGACCGGCCTATTGGAAGGAATCAGTATTGGAGCGGCCAACTTTTCTTCTCCCGGGTTCACCGGCCCTGTCTTGGTATGTCTTGACTCATCTGTCCAGGACACCCAAAAGCTAATCATCGCTAGATTCTGAGGTAGAATTCGTCTGAGATCCAGGTTAGGTTCCCATAACTGACATGACCTAGCGGCGAGTATGACTTGATTGCCTGCGGAGGCTACTGTCCGGGATTCCTCGAAACAGGCCCGAGTCAAGTCTTCCCTGCGGCCAAGCCTCTTGTCACCTATATCCAACCCAAGAGTGGGCACGCTGTGAATTTTGCTGTGAGTTCACGTTCTGCTATCCTCGAACCAGGAACTGATCGATGTCAAAATGTAGTTGAATGCTACGGGGTCGTTCGATGTTATTACGAAATTTCTAAAGCAAAACGGCATCTAGCGGTAGTCGTTTCTCGAAGAGTCTATGCATATACACATAATACTGGAGCGACAATTTCAAAGGAAAAGGAACCATGGAAAGCGGAAAAAGACACTTCAGTTCGATACCCCAGGGACTTTGGCTGCATAGACACTGTCAATCATCAAACCAGGTGTAGGCTACATAGTACATAATGTACATATACAATCCGTTTTCAGACTCCATGCTAGGGTGTAACCATCGACACCCGCAGCCCCTGTTGCTTGAACCTACTCGTAGCTTTTCGTCGGTACGCAGCACGTTTGGACTGTACTGTATATACCTTGTACCTAGTTGTATGGCAGTACTATGTCCACCAGGATCAAACTTGTCAACTTGATTGGATGGGATCACCCTGTCGCGCATTGCTCTAACTACATGTGGTGACACGCACAAACGGCCGCGCATTCGGTACCCGAGGTCGACAAATCCTCGTAAACCTTTCTTGAAGCAGCACTTTGATAAAGATCGCCTATTATTATTCAGGCGCCCAGTTTTCACTCGTTGCCCAGTTGCCCAGCAATGCCACGAGTGAATATCATCAAGACAAGAAGCGTCAGACTCGACTGATTCCCTTCCTCATCCTCATCATCATCATCTCCTCGCCTTCGCCACCCCCTGATTTCCGGAGCCATGGAGCTCTCATGGACTGTGTTACTCTCCGCCATCGGCCTGCTCTTATTTGGCTATTTCTATCACGTGAACCGGGCCATGTCAATCCTTCCAGAAGAAGCCGAGAAAATAGCCAGGAAGCCGTGGACGAAGGAAGAAATTCAAGCCGCATATGAGAAGTGCCGCCGAGAGAGGCCGGATTTCAAAAAGGATCTCCCGCCAAAGCAAAACAGGCGATATGTCGTGTTTGGCGGATCAGGTACGTCCGGCGCCTGGCTGATGTCGCTCCCCATTCTGACAACTGAAAAGGTCTTGTCGGCGGCTGGCTCGTCGAGCACCTGATCATGCGAGGAGAAAGCCCATCGGCCGTCCGCATCGCTGACCTCCAAGCACCTCGGCGAGATCAAGCGGTCAAGCAGCGTGTGCCATATTTCAGGGCCGATGTCACCGATGCGGCCTCTGTCTCCAAGGTCTTCACCACTCCCTGGCCGGCCGAACATGCAAAGTTGCCCCTGACAGTCTTCCATACTGTCGCTTACATCCACGCTGGCTACCGCAAGGCAGACTTCCTCGACACGTACATGAAGGTCAACGTCGAGGGCACGGAGAACGTTCTCCAGGCGGCGAAAGCGGCGGGCTGTGACGTTTTCATCGCTACCTCATCTTGCAGCACGGCTATCAGGCCGCTCGAATTCTTCATCTACCCGTGGGAGAAGCACCCGCGGAACTTTGTGCAGCTGTCGGAGAATGGCGAACCGCCACCCCTGAAGCTGGAGAACTTTGCAGGTTGCTATGCCTATACCAAGGCGTTGGCGGAGAAACTGGTGAGAGACGCGGACAGCAAGAGGGACTCGTTCAGGACTGGCGCCATTAGACCCGGGCACACCATCTACGGCCACGGAGACCAGAACAAGAACTCCGTGGTCTATGACTATCTGCGCCGCGGCGGCCTCCAAACGTTAGTCCCCTTTTCTTTCTACACGTTACCTGGCCCGATGAGGACACAGAGAAAGCTGACAGTATGATAACACTCACAATAGGTGGCTGACCCCTTTCGTCCTGCAATACGTCTCAGCCCAGAACGTGTCTCTCGCTCACCTCCTGTACGAAGCGCGGCTACTCGCGGGCCACGATATCGGTGGCAATGCCTACGCGGTGTGCGACCCTGGTCCTCCATTCCGCTACAGTGACCTGTACCGAGCCATGTCGACCCTGGCACACCCCAGCACGCCCATCAAATGGCCCGAGGTCCAGCCTCTCCCGCTCCTCCTAATCGCCCATCTTGTCGAGGGCTATATGCTCCTCCGACGCCGCTATCTCGGCTTCTTACCCGAGGTCACCAACTTTGACCTCTCGATGCTTCAGCCCGCCGTGTTCAACTACTCCACTCTCGTCATCATCTACGACGATTCGCGGGCCAGGCGAGAGCTGGGATACAACACGAGCCACGACACGCTAGAGGGTGTGTGCCTGCATATGCTCGAGTGGAACGAGCAAGCGGAAGCGAGACTGAAGGCGAAAGGCGAGGCGGCGGAGGAGGAGGAGGAGGAGGAGGTGGCGACTGTGCCTGAGAAGACCGTTCCTGGAGTGGCACAACGTGTTGCGGCCTGAGCAGGCGGAAGATGTGATGAGTGCGTGGCGAATTTTCGCCTAGCAGAGACATCTGGGTATTGAATATGTGTCAAAAAGGCTGTGCCAGGCGAGAAGGAGGATCAATACGGTTAACCATTGACAATGGCGTGGGCAAAAGGAGGCTTCCGAAACATGCCAAACTGGCCGTGGCTGTGGCTTTGAGACTCGACTCGTCCAGAGCCGCTGGTTGCAAAAGTACCTAAGGGGCGCCACATGATTAGCTCCCCAAACGACAATACCGAGCGAACAAGGGGTGTTTAGTCTTCTTGAAAGCTATGTCACCATGTGGCGGATGACCTCACTGTCTTTGTCAACGACACTGGATCAAATAGGGTATGACATTCAATCTTGACACGAGAGGGAGGGAATATCTGTACCTGTCCCGAGAGATGCGTCCGGACCATTCATCGTCGCAACGCCAGCCACATTTGTCGAGTAACAAAGTCCTACAGGGTACATATTGTAGGTGGTATGCTCTCCAGGTCACCTACCCACCTGGGTAGGTTCAATCTGAACCCATGTAATGTACGGTAGGCTAGGCTAGGCTAGGCCAGGCCACATCCAGGACGGTCCGGTCAAGAACCGTAATCCACGATCTCTGGACCCATGCATGATCCACATTCGGCAACTACAAATTGTCTATATCGAGCATGGTCAAGGCACGGACCAGGCTCCAAAAGATCCCCTTCGCCATGATCCTTATTCGGTAGGCACAAGTTCATCTAATAAATCAAGCATCGACGAGGTACAGAACGGGCACGTGACCGGCTCCGCATTATTGGTTCTCTTCCCATGCGGATGCATGGTGCTTGGTGCTTGGTGCTTCATTCTCGTTTGGAATACTAACCACGGAGATGCGAGTACGAACCCTTCGAGCCCGTTCGAGGTCTGCGGATTCGTACCCTATGCCCGATCCCCTGCGGAGTTTTGGCAGCGTTTCGTTCCCTCCGCTGATCGAAGACAGAAAATGGCGTATCCGATTTCTCCTTCACTTCTCTGTTCCTGGCGGGGTTTGGGTGTGAGAAGGATACAAGCAGATCGATCGATCCACCTCCGCGTCTCCTCCGCCACCACCACCACCACCACCACCACCACTACCACTGCCCCTCATGATCACCACACAGCTTTTTGTCCTCGCCCCCAGCCAACCAAAAGTACCACGCAAGCCACATCGCAAGCCATAGTGCAACCTCCCAATGATCGATGCACATCTTGTACTCGTACTTGGTGCACAAGTTACACCGCGCAACCTCCCATCCCCGCGGCCCTAGAGACAAACGGGTTCTCGTCCACAAAAACATGAATGGACGCGCAGATGCGGGTGATCCTCCCCCAGGTACGACGGGCATGCTTCGGCCGTCGCTACGCAGTCTATACACTCTATCATTAGCTCGCTAGCAACTAGCTGTGGAAATCGGGCAAGCCGTTTTAGGTACAACAGCAGCCACAGGCCTTCGTACTCGGTACATGAACAAAAGCTCGCTTTTCCCGCGGTTCAGGCGCACAGCTTAGCTACGGGTCGGTGTCGTCGACACACGCGCTGAGTCATAAAGGCAGCACGACACGATCTGTTACCGCGTACGGCAAGGCTTCATCATGTCCGCATCACAAGATTGGTCCGCTATCCAGTAGCCTGATGGACCCAACAGAAAGCAGCTTACTCAGGGCATCTCCTTGTGTCCCAGGGTCATTACCCTATCTCACCCCCCGGGCAAGATAAGGCCACCTTCGGTGCTCACCCCCAAACGATATTCTCACTCGGTACGAGGTACATATGCTCCAATGCGGCTATCTTCCGCCAAAATGCAGTTGCTCCGTGTGCTATACCATGACAAGAGTGGGGTGACATGGGCAACCGCTTGTGGTGTTCAAAGCGGTTTATCGAACCATCTATAGGCTGAAGTTCACAACTCCATCGCGTTGACGTCCTCATAAGCCAAAATGCTCTAAGGTATCAGGAGCTCTGAGACTGCAGCGATACCAGGCGCATCGAGATGTTGTGTTCTCTCTGGAAGCGCACGTTCGTGTGATTCATTGGAGCCATGGTGGCCATCACCTTCATCCACCACGATCCTAGTCAAGAACCGCGGCAGAAGCAACTCGATTCCTCCCGCGCAAGAGCCCATGCCGCCCGCGTCTCTCATGACTGGAGACGCGGTGACCACCTCCCGCAATGGCTTCCTCAGGGTACAGAAGTCGATGCCCAGAGTGAAGAAAGCGACGGTGACCAGCTGGCGAGGGTGGCCGCCTTTGGAGGCAACTCAGATCCATTCCAATGCTTTGCGATCGAAATCACCCCTGAATTGAATCGTATCCTCACTTTCACCAGAGACGTCGCCTTGCGTGCCCACTACACACCTCTCGCCGTTCGAAAAATATCTAGTGAGCTAGCTCACGACTTCGAAAAGCCTTATATTCGGGGTGGATGGGCCGACATCGCGGCAAGTTTGCGGGATGAAGGCACGGCGCTCGCGCGCTTGACGACGTATAGTCAATACTTGAGTCACTGTGTGCCAGACCCCAAGGAGATGAGAAAACTGGTGCTTCAGATGCGCATGCGCAGCCTTCAGCTGTTACGCCAAAAGCTGGAAAGGCACACAAGTTCATCCTCTGTGGAAGAAAAGAACAACTTGAAGCGCCACATCTTTTCGCTCTTCGATGCAGAATGCTTTTGTGGGAACACTCAGGCCGCCATTATCCATGGCGCAACCCTGCTGAAGCTGATAGAAGAGAGCAACAAGTTCGACGCACCCATGGCACAACGGTTGTTGTATATCATCTGTCACTCGGCAGCCACCAGTGGACAGCGGACGGTCCCATCCGTGGGCAAATGGATTCGCGACAGGTCAGAAGTCTTTCTGAAAGAGCAGGTCCCGCCAAATCCCCTGGGAGTTCCCAAGAACCACGTACTCCATGCAAGCTGCACTCTCCCAGAGCTCCGAGCCCTTTTTCGACGTTGCCAATACGTGGGGGACGCAAGCATGCAAACGTCGTCCACAGAGGGCCCTAACCCGACGGGCTCGGTCGCGAACAAGCAGGCTGCTTACATATATGTTACCGTCTCCGCTCTCATTGACCTAAGTCGCCTCAATGACATGTTTCATGATCTCGTCGAAGGGGTTTGGATGGCAAGTGCCAGGAAGCCCGAAAGATACACCCAGGCAGCGCTGTCAGTGGCACTCAACTATCTCGCACGAGAGATGTTTGGTGACTTGACCATTAGCGGTACCAACATTCGGGACTGCTCAGCTAACCTGATGGGTCAGCTGAAGTTGACATTTTCGAAAGCATATCAATCTAGCACTGTTAACGACCGCCTAGATTCCGCATCCGCATATCTCTGGATCCTCTATGTGGGAGCACTCTGCGAACACAGAAATCGAGACAGTATCTGGAAGGCCGACATGCTTGATGAATCCTGGTTCAGCCCACTCCTGGTGTTCCAAGCTCATTTGACAGGAGCAGTGACCTGGCCACAGATGCGTGTCGTGGCTGAGCAGTTCTTTTACATAGACATAGTGGAACCTGATGGCGCCATTTGGTTTGATGCTCTTCTCAAGAGGTATCATCAAGCCTCTCGCCATAAGAAGCTATCATTGGCGAGCCGATATGCTTGGTTTTTCAAGACTCGAAGATGAGCCTTTTTGCGTAAGTTGGAATGATTGGCCATGGGCCATGTGCCATGTGCTGGCACGACCGCACTTTTATGAGAATCCTGACGGAGCGCAGGGATATGGGACTTAATTGTTAAGGATCATTTTCAGAGTGCAGGGACGAGTGGCTGATATTTGGGCGTTGGACACGGCAGTGCAAGAGGAAACCATGAAGTCGAAGTGAGAGCAGGCGCCATTTCATCTTCCATTTCATCTCTCATTTCCCTTGACACGACTCACTTCTACCAACCTCGACCCAAATGTCTCCCATTCTCTGAATGACATACCTCCCTACCCAGGTATAGTGTCCAATTTACTGCAAGAGGATCATCAGCCTCATCAACCCCCCCTCTCCCGCGTCTCTGGATAGGAGCCATTCTGACCTGGTGCTCAGTGATTTCCCTCTGTCCCTCCCGCCTCGTCAACCCTCACAAAGTCTTCATAATGGCAATACCATCGCTGCCTCCATCTATGGTATCTGCCTATAAGCAATACAAGCAAGATACCGAGACCGTAGCAGGATGGCTAGCTGAGAAGTCGGCTCAAGCCGGCTACGCCTCAAACATCAAACAACCCAAACCTGCGGCAAAAGCCCGCAGGTCCGCTCAGGGCACTACCCACAAGGCTCAAAGATCCAAGACAATGAAGCCTGTATGCATTGTCAGAACTGCCGAGTTGGTGGAAATGGCCAAATGCATTGTCAAGCTGCGACCAAAGGTCATCCTTAGTCGATCCATCCAGGTCATCTGGGAACGCACAATCCGAACCAGGCGGGAATTCTCGAGGTGGTTTAGGAGCAAAGCGGCCACCAACGTTGTCCTCGATGAAAAGCACTCTCACTTTGCTTCACTTCTCGAGCTTGCCCTTGAAACGCTGAGGCCGTGCTACGAACTAGTCAAGGAGTCAAGGCCCACATCCCAGAAGAACGAGACCGACAAGGCAACACCCCACCCGCCAGTCAACAACATCTTCCAGCATCTGGAAGTCGAGGATTTACCCTCCGACGAAGAGGTGGATCAAGAAGACACAACCAATATCACCTGGACGGAAGCCAAGCCCGAGGGCCCTCGTGCTCAGATCGACTTTGACGACCCGGAGGCTGAATCCGAATTTCTATTCGCCATCTGGTCCTTCATGCAGGAAGTTTTCGCCGTACGGACCTACGTCGCGTCTACTTGGCAACTGTACGCCAGTGGAAACGTCGAATTGGTGCAGGTTGCCAGTATCACAAACCTGGCAGTCGACCTGGTCCGCAAAGCTGAAGCCGATTTGGAGGCCACCCTGCAGCGGCCCCCAGCATACCCTGCAGCGAGGTATCCAACCGGCTCTCTACCGTTTCTCATCTTCAAACTCCATGTTGTGCCCTCGTATCAATGCAAGATAGCTTGGGACGCAGACTTGCCGATGGTGTTTATCATCTGTGGGTGCTCAATATGTGACGTTCTTCTCTACATACCATGGGGGATGGCTAGGGCGTACATTCACATCCTCAAGGAGGAGCCGCCAACGTTCCCGAGCTTGAACAATGAGTTTCGCGTCCGCGTACCACCCTTTCCATCCACCAGGGTTTGTGATTCGTGGTTATATCACGCCCAGAATCCGAGTCAGAAAGCGAAGTCGGAGCTGTCCAGGATCTTACCTCACTTCTCCCTGCTCTCCCTAATGCTCCGGGGAAAGTTCATTGAGGATGAGATTCTGCACGCGGCCAGGCATATCCTTGAGAACCGCAACTGCCCCATCTGGGTCAGCTTGGCCCTACAAATTCAGCTTGACATTCAGAGAGTGGGCAAGACCAAGCCTATTCGCGCCTTTCAGGATCTGAACCAAGCCTACGACGTGATCAAACTTCGGGCCGAGGAGCACCAGAAGTGGTATGAGACACACGGCGTCGAAATACGCTGGAAATCATGGCACGACCATATTGACAGATTGCTCAATGAGTATGGGATATGGATCAAAGGCAAGATTTGCGGCAAGTCGGAGGGAAAAGAGGTGCTTGAAAGGGTCGACGCTGGATTGGAAGTTCCGCTGATGAAGGACTTCCCTGTCACCTGCGGCACGATGAAAACCGAACTACACTTGGAGTGGCACACTCTGGGCTTGGTGCTTGTCAACAGTACGCTTCAGGTCCCCATGCTCTGCCACCTTTATAATGCACTACGTATCGTGGCACCCCAATCCCCCGTCTGGCCCGACATGGAGCTTGTGATCCGCAACCAGTCCCCCGAGAAAATCTTCGTTGGTGGCCGCCCTGAAACGCTCGGTCAAGCGCGAAACAGGCTTCTGCTCAGCATTGGAATGTCTATAACAAGCCTAGCTAAAGATTCCCGCGGGCTTCGATTCAGAAAGAAGAATCCTGGAGTACGGCGATACGAACATTCACCCATTGCCAAAAATCTGTTTGTTCGTTGGCAGGGCCAAGAGACACGGAAGATCGACGAAGCGGCGCACCGGCTCCAGGAGCATCTTTTCAGTCGACGGTATTTCGAGGACCTTGAGCGCCATTACTATGTTGCAGCCGGCTCTCCAGCGCAGACTCAGCCTCAGAGGACGCTTTCAACACTGCGCACCAAGATGGTCCGCACTCTGGGGAGGCTGTCTGACAGTTTCGCGGCCGAGATGCCGGTGCTGATGTTTGACTATTTCTCCATGGAGCGCCGATGCTCCGCCGCCTTTGAACATCTCGCGCATGCTGTCTGGGTAATGGCAGATGGCGGTCTACCCTCTGTCACGCCGGTCGATCACCCTGCTGCCAACGCGATCGGACTCACAATCGACGTTTTCAATGAAGCTGTCAGTTTACAGATGATGATCCGCTGTCTCGACTCCCAGAAACGGGCTGTGAACAGAGCTCAAGGACCGGCAGCGGCAAAGCGTCTGAAGTCGATGGTGCCGCAGTTCCAGAATGAAAGTGACCAGGGGTACTTGAACGCTTTGACACACATGCGCAACGGCCGCATAGGTGAGGTACTTGGGAAATGTGCTGGTCTTTCTGAACATGCCGCAGCAGCTCGGGCTTTTGGACCGTTACGCAAATGGATTGAGAACCTTGTCAACGAACAGAAAGGTGACGCAGAGCTTGTGAAGTTGCGGAGAGTTGTCGGAACCAAGGACTATGGAATATGTCTCTTTCGCCCTTCAAGCTTGGAGGCATTGTATGGTCCCGGGAAAGAGCAATCGTGGGGGGGCATTGTGGTTGCTGAGAGCGTGATCGAAGAGGCAATGTTGCACAGAGCCGTCAACCCGGTCGTGTACTTGGGCGCCAGGCTCTTTCTCCATCAGGAAAAGATGACGTGCGGGACAGGTGCAGATTCTTATGAGAGCAGCGGCCTCAAGGCCGGCGATGTCAAAGACCTCGAGCGAGAGATCACCGAACATTGGTTCAATGGGGATCCCAACGAATGGGAGGGACATGGCCAGACGGAGAAAGAAGATTGGGAGAAATGGGAAGGGATCTACGGCAGAGAAGGCCGACTTGCGAAAAAGTGACCTTGTATGGTACAGTCAACGACCGTGCACGGATCAGCCTGTTGTTGCAACTGGATTGAAGACGAGAAATGAAAAATGAAAAATGAAAGGTATGAAGCTGGAGATGGAGATGGCATCTGCAGTGTGCAAGCACGGCATTGATGTTGTGTTAGAAGGCAGTGATGCTTACGGTGGTATAGAGGGAGCATATTGACTTTGAGACAGTATCAATTGTATGTATGTATTTGTAGTAGGTACCCATGTATACACAAGAGATTCAGAAGCAAGAAACTCACGCCTTGTGACTATCATTGTGTATGCGCCCTTTCGGCTGGGCGGGACCGGACACGGCCGTTTCCAATCGTCCGATATACGCATATCCCGAGTATGTACCTTAGCTTACCTCGGAACATGTTGTGAGTCCTTGCGTACCTACCGTTGGTTCTAAGTAATCACGGAATCCCAATCCCAGCGGCAGCGGTAGCGGCGCGGATATCCACGGCGTGTCACCAAATCCCAACGACATGGATGGATTTGATTCATAAAAAGAGAGACTTCTAGCCAACCCCTCGTCCAACCCCAGGTACCCCAGCCAGCCGCCAGCCAGCCAACCATGGACAGAAGACACTTCAGCACCGTCGACGGCCTCACACATCTCTGGACCACGCTGGGTCTTCCACCCAAAGCCCTCGGTTCCGTCCGCCTCCCAGACGCCGACGCCGTGGGTCTCCCCTCGTCGTTCAAGATCGGGAACCTGGCGCAGTCGTCCATCGCGCTGACGGCTCTGCTTGCGGCGCTGATCCACACGTCCCAGCGGAATCGACGTGCCGAGAACGAGAACGACAATGCCAATGACGAGGATAACGACACGGCAGTCCCAACGATCACAGTCCCCCTGCACCACGCCGTGATCGAGTTCCGATCCGAGCGATTCCACACGATCGCGGGCTCCCATCCGGGTGGCGGACGACCGCACAGCGCCGTCGGCGGCCTCCACCGCACCTCGGACGGGTGGGTGCGTGTGCACGACATTTTCCCGCACCACCGCGCGAGGGCGCTCGAGGTCCTGGGCTGCGGTGCGGACGCTGACCGAGATGCCGTGGCCGCCGCCACGGGCAGGTGGCGGTGCGTGGATCTGGAGAATACGGCGCTCGAGGCGGGCGCGGTGGTCGCCGCCCTGAGGAGTTACGAGCAGTGGGATGTGCTTCCCCATGCGAAGGCGATTAGGGATTTTCCTATTCAGATCAGGAAGATCGTTAGTGACGACGACTGTCACGCTGGTGGTGGTGGTGGTGGTGGTGATGGTGATGATGACGGCAGTCCAGGAGGATGGCAGGAAAGGATGTCCCAGGACAGCGGTGAAGCCAAAGCCCTTCACGGCGTCCGAGTCCTCGAGATGAGTCGAGTCATCGCCGCCCCCGTGGCCGGACGAACACTGGCCGCGCATGGCGCCGACGTGCTCTGGGTCACCAGCCCCGGCCTGCCCGACCTCCCCGTCATCGACCGCGACACAGCACGGGGCAAACGCACCGCGAGTTTGGACCTCGACCTCGACGCCAAAGCCGACAACCCCTCCCACGCCTCTGCGCCTGCGCGGGAGAATCACGAAAGCGACAGCGCAAGCGACAAGGAGATATTACTCTCGCTCCTGGACGACGCCGACGTCTTCCTCCAGGGCTACCGCCCAGGCAGTCTCGCAGGGCGCGGCCTGTCGATCGACGCCCTCATCGCGCGACGCAGACAAAAGGGCATACGACGCGGCATCGTCTGCGCGAATCTCTCGGCCTACGGGGCCGACGGGCCCTGGCGTGCCCGGCGCGGCTTCGACTCGCTCGTCCAGACGTGCTCAGGCATGAATGTGTCGGAGGCCGAACACTTTTCCTCCGGGAGGGACGATGCCAGCTCTACTACTACTACTGGCACTGCTCCTTACAATGCCGGTGTCGGTACCTCTGGTGCGGGTGGCGCTGCGCGCCCAATGCCCTGTCAAGCCCTGGACCACGCATCGGGCTACTTCCTCGCCGCGGGGATCATGGCCGCGCTGTACCGCCAGTCCCGACCCGGCTGTTCTGGCTGCTCGTACGAAGTCAGCGTCAGCCTGGCCGGCACGATGAAATACCTGCGCAGCCTGGGCCAGTACCCGGGCAACACTGGGTTCCTGTGCCCCGACTACGCGACCATGCAGGACGTGCCCGCCGAGCACCTCGAGGAGCGCATGTCCGGGTTCGGGCTGCTCAAGGCCGTCAAGCATTCGGCCACCATCGACGGCGTGCCCGTGGGGTGGGACGTTATGCCGAATCCATTGGGGTCTGATGAGCCTCGATGGCTTTGATATTTTAGCGAGGCCACCCGGATCGGGCTCAACCATGACTATTATCATACAGCGAGACCGCACAGGACCATAACGTCCTGACCAAGCTGCCGCGTGTTCCAAAGGAAACCTATCTGTATAGTCGCGAGATGGGGGTCTAAGTTCCTGCAGAGAAAGAAACAGTCCTTCCTCCACTAGACACAAAGACTGCCACTTGTCACCAACAAATAGATATCCCTTCTCAGAAAGTGCCATGTCGTTTATTCTCTCAGCTACCTTGCCGATTCCACCGCTACCCAAGACCGGGGTCGACAACTCACCCCCCTACTCAACATATTGATGTCTTTCTCATCACCAACTCAAACACCCATCGCAACACCTCATAGGCCCCATTCCACTCTGCCAGCCTCCTCGAGAGCTCAGTCAGCCGAAGACGGTTGCTTCCGCACAAAGGTATGCTTGATAATATCACCTTCCCACATGTGCGACATCCATTCCCCAATGCCATACTTTTCAGGAGCTCTCCGAACTCCTCGGCCACCTCCACCGATGATCAGGTTGCCTGGACGGTATGTCGGATCGGCCTGCATGCGCCGGATCACTGAGATATGGATTTGGGCATCATCTGGTATATCCCGAGTCTCTCCCATGGGAAGTGGCCTTGGTCCATGATTAGCGATTCGTTCGAAAGCTTTGCAGGCTTCACAACATACCAGCGAATAGCTTTCCATTTACCATCTTGCAAGTCCATTCTTCGAAACGGAAGATATTCCATCATTTTCCAAAAAGACACAGTCCCATGAGGCAGCCCCCCATTATACTTCAGACAATCGTGGATTGTGGCATCCGTGTAGCAACTTTCCAAGGTTTGGTGGAAGGAATTGCGCGTAGTGGTGTCCTCAATTTTCTCGCCGAATTCGTCCACTGCATGGGGCGAACAGCCTAAACGAGCCATCTTGCTGTGACAAGTCAGCTTCTGAGTCGGATCAATACAGGCGTTAGAACCATCAAAGCAATACCCAGGGTCAAATTTCAGCCCCGCGCTCTCAGCTTCATGGACCATCCACACCAACGGCGTATGGCTGAGCATCCAGTGTTCTTTATCTCCCTTTTCCCATCCTCCGCCAATATCTCCATGGCCACCCGCAAACCAGACTTCTTGCACATCTTGAGGTCGATTGGGTTGTGACCATCGACGTCTAGCGTGCTTTCGAGGTGATTTTGCTCTTTCCCGGAGATGTTCAGTAGAAGGAGAATGCATTGGAGCAGCGAGACTTTCGGAGGAGCTCTGTGAGGCAAGCTCGGCTCCTGGGACTGCAAGTTGGCCGCCTGATGAGGTGGTCAATGTAATCTTCGGACCTCCCTGTGCCGCATGCTCCGCGTGGTTTTCCTCCGCTAGCGCCTTCTCGTTCATTTGCAAAAGGTCGGACTCATAGCGACGTATGTGATGGCGTCCGTGGTCCTCGGTTTGATTCTGTACTCCACTGACCAGGTCTTGACGGAACTTTGCCCGCCTTTCGTCGATCGACACGGCGTGCCTTATCACCTTTGCCGACGAACGAGCAGTGTAAGGAAACTTGCTTCGTTGCATCCAGGCCGATTCGAATCTTGGCACCGAGTTGACTGTGTCGAACAAACCAAGAAACCGAATTCGCCGAACTGGCCTGCTGCTGTCGAGGGTGTCAGAAGGTGCGGGCTGAGGTTCCGATGGTGCTGGATAAGGCTTACAATGTTTCCCTGAATCCCCGCATAAATTCATACTGCTCCTCCTCATCTTTTTTGGCCTGGTCGCTGCCATCATTCTTTCTGGCAGCCCATTTGGCGTAAGTCTTCCAAGCAAACCTGATGAGCTCTTCATTGCCAGCGGCTAGCAAACCGATGTGATCTAACATCTCGGCAAGGAAACGAGCTGTGTAGGCTCCACGGCTGAACCCGAAGAAGTACAAGTCATCTTCGCAGCTGTAGTAGCGCATGAGGAACTTGTAGCCGCCCATTACATGGTCTGCAAATGATGTGCCGACAGCCTCATCTTTGGTTTTCAAGTACCATGATCGGATACGGCCCAATGTCGAGGTAGTTTGAATCTACCTGGTGAGCATTTCATTCATTCCAATGGGGAATCTACTGCCACTCACTGAATGAGAACTGACATATGTCCCAATGCCTGGCTGGTAGAAGGTATACATGTTCACATCGGTACGGTCAAGCATCCTGTAGAGTTTTAGGATGTTGCTGTCTGTGTCCTTCCCACTGAACTTGTTGCCCGTGCCCTTGAGAAGTTGTCAGTGGACGCCATCAAAGGTGGAAACTTGGTGGACAGACATCGAAACACAGGACAAAAACATTCTTCTGTCGTGTTTGGCTTGGTTCTGGGACGGCCATCGAGAGCGACAACTCAGAGCATGCGAAGATAAGAATGACTAAAGATATCCGGTGCCACGAAGACCGCAGCGACAAGAATGCGAATCGTCAACACGTCGAGCACACAAGAGTGAAGTCGCTGCAGACCAAGTTTATGAAGAGAAGCAGCCACATCCCGCACCCTGAGCATGTGCGCCTTGTTTAACCGTGTGGCCCTTTCCGAGCACAAAAGAGGCAGGGTTCTTTTCCTTCACGGCAGTGGCTGTCATGCACGTTGATCCGGCACAGCATCTTCACCTACAGCGAGGAGTTTGCGTCTCACCGCCAAGTATCCATGCAGAATTTGGTAATGATGGTCGACACCTCCGTTATTTCTGCCGGGTAACTTCCGTAACAGCAAGGTGACAGGGTGCACGGACACATGGAAATCTCATGAAGATGTGCAAAATGGTTGAGGACTCGAATGACCTGCAAGACTCCTGGGCTCCATCCTCTGAATGTTTGGTGGATGAAAGAGGGGAGGTAACACAACTTTTTCAAACATGCAGGTATCCCTTGCTGTGACGGAGGCGTCTCCGAGGACGATCATTCGCTTGCGTAGTGGGTGGGACCGTGTGACTATTTCTCTCTGATGGAGGGATCAATGGATCGTCGCTCGATAGGTATTCGGCACATCCTAAACAGGTGTCAACATGGATGACACTGCTGTCTTGGTGAGGCAGACACAGCAGACTAAACTGCATGCGGAGGGGGACTTTGTACAGAACCAGACAGGTGACCGACCATCTTTGCCTTACGAGGTTCATGTCGCTCCATAGATTGGTAGTCCAGACCTGCGATCGGCGTTCAAATAACAGGCGAAAAGATAGTCGAAGTGGTTCTCCATCATCGTCGCTTGATGGTCAAGGCGAAGGGGAACCGGGGGGAGGTTGGCCTTAGCAACTTGGTTGGCCTTAAGGGGAGCGGATCCTCCAAGCCCCGGTCCGGTCCGATCTAATTCGACCGGAGCCTCAAGCAAACTCTACCAAACTCCACTCACTCTTTGTTTCCCCCTCCTTTCCTCGTTTCCCACTGCTACAACTACTACTCGTACTGTGTGCGCATGTCCGGGTAAAAGGTACGAGTACACCACGTACAGGACTTTGTGACCGCTATCAGCCCGCCCTTGGCCATCCTCTGTACTACCACATACCTTGGTTCTTCGTGCGTTGATTGATCCACAAGGCACAGACAACACAGGAATTGTACGCCACCAGTGGCATTTGACGTAAAACAGAAAGCCCCCTATCCCACCAGTGCCAACATCTTTGAAAGCTTTCCCCGCCCGAGCTCCAGAAAGGCCCCGAAAGATCTGCCTCAGTGGCTCCGGATAACTCAATGAGAGGCACACCGACTATCAAGTCTCCGAGCTTGACAGTGAGGTCGAAAAGAAGGGCCACCCTGACCGCTGGGGGGACGTTGAGTTGAGCCCCGACACCGAGGTCCTGATCGACTGAGGGCGCCGCGATGTCGACAGAGCTATCCACTTGACAGCTCAGCGACAGTGAGGCACTACTCCACAAGGGAAAGGGTCCTCTTGAATACCAAATGACAACAGCCTTGGAGTTGATGAACAATTACCTTGGCAGACTGCGCCAACCTGACTCTGGCTGAGCTCATAGGAAGATGGTCCTTCGAGACGGCTGTCATTTGAGCTCAGGCTGGGTGGATCGATCAACACTGTATCACGGACTGAAACTGGCAGGGTCACCGGTGACTCTTGACAGCTTGCCCCGCATTGGGCGTGAAGATGCATGAAAAGCAACTGCAGATGGAAGTGGCACATGCAGCATCACCATCTCATCCGAGCTCTTCTCCACCATTCCGAAGACAAGGCATGTAATTTCTTTGCTCTCAAACACCGCTGGGCGCAGATCGCACCTGAACTTACTCGAACTAACATGTTTGTCGCCGATTCGCCGTGGACATGGAGGTCGAGTCCTCTTGGTCCGCGAGCTCGAATCTTGGAGCTTCTTGAGATCTTTCTCAGGATACTTCTTCTTCCTGCTCTCTGCCTCTGCTCCGTCAGGTCTATTTCTCTTCACAACTGAATACAGCCCTTCGAAAACAACGGACTCAAGCAATGCCACTATTAAGAAGGCTTTCTTCCAGCTTCAAAAAGAACAAGAGTGCAAAGGCCAATGGCGTCAACGGTACTCTTGCTCCTGTCGACGAGGCTAAGGCTCCGGCTCCTTTTGTGAATGGTGACCAAGTGAATGGCACAAGTTCACATGGTGCCTCGATCGGCCAAAGCCTTGAGAAGACGAAGGACGTTCGACGGCCCTCGGCACCCACATTGGCAACCACCTCTAATCCCCCAGAGCCGCCAGTGAGAGATGACGACAATACCGTAGCAACTCGAAAGGATGTCGACAATGTCTTTACCCAATTTGCAGCACTCATCCACGCGTCGCAGCGTCCTCTTCCCACCCAGTCAGGCGACGGCCAATACCTGGAGAAAGAGGAGCCGACAGGGTTCTGGAATGATCTGAAACACTTGGGATTCAAAGACGCAGAGACAGCCTTGCACCTGGTCCAGGACAAACTCAGTGGAGGTCCAGTGGACGACCGAAAAATGCACATGGAAGAGGTTATGCAGCTGGTCGCCGCCCTTCCTGATAGCTCCGCCAATCGAGTCAAACTGACAAGTTCACTTGTGGACCTGCTTTGGAATTCCCTGCAACACCCGCCTCTATCTTACCTGGGGGACGGCTACCAATACCGTTCAGCAGATGGATCAAACAACTCGTATATCTTTCCAAAACTGGGTGCAGCGAATACTCCCTATGCACGTTCGGTGCAGCCCAAGATTGCCCAACCAGGCGCATTGCCTGATCCGGGTCTCTTGTTTGATTCGATTTTGGCGAGAGAAGAATTTAAGCCTCATCCTAACAACGTTTCAAGCATATTCTTCAATTGGGCTTCGCTGATCATTCATGGTATGCTGCTTTCTCAGACTGTTTGAATCCCGAGCGCTCTGACTTGTCCTAGATCTTTTCCAAACCGATCACCATGATTACAGCAACAGCAAAACTTCCAGCTATCTAGACCTGTCGATCTTGTATGGCGATACCCAAGAAGATCAGGATATGATGCGGACGTTCGAGAACGGCAGGATCAAGCCAGACTGCTTCGCGGAGGAAAGACTACTGGCATTCCCACCATCTTGTGGTGTGATGCTCATCATGCTGAACCGTTTCCACAATTATGTCGTCGAACAGTTGGCTTTGATCAACGAGAATGGTCGCTTCACACAGCCCTCTGCTAAGCTATCCGGAGACGCGGCAAAGGCAGCTTGGAAGAAGTACGACAACGATCTCTTCCAGACGGGCCGTCTCGTTACTTGTGGACTCTATATCTCGGTCACACTCAATGATTACCTTCGCACTATTGTCAACTTGAACAGAACAAACAGCACTTGGACCTTGGACCCGCGGTTGCACAAACCGAAGACCTTCGGAGACGATGGCACCCCTCGAGGAGTTGGCAACCAAGTGAGCGCCGAGTTCAGTCTCTCTTACCGTTGGCATTCTTGCATCGGTCAGATGGATGAAGCCTGGACGGAGAAAGTCTACTATGAGCTCTTTGGGAAGAAGCCAGACGACGTTTCGCTCCAAGAACTGATGATCGGATTGGCGAAATACGACCATGATCTACCAAAGGATCCACTTCAGCGTCCCTTCGCCCATCTCAAAAGGGACGCACACGGTAAGTTTGACGATGGGGAACTTGCCAAAATCATGCAAGCCGGCGTTGAAGAGGTCGCCGGTGCATTTGGTGCCCGAAACATTCCCAAATCCCTTCGAGCCATCACCATCCTTGGTATTCGGCAGTCCCGAGCCTGGAATCTGTGTACCCTCAATGAGTACAGAAAATTCTTTGGTCTAAAGACATACGACACATTTGAGGAAGTTAATCCAGACCCTTATGTGGCCGAACAGCTGAAACACCTATATGAGCATCCTGATTTTATCGAGCTTTACCCTGGCCTTGCTGTCGAAGAGTACAAGAAGCCGATGGTGCCAGGGGTAGGGATTTGCCCTACACATACCATCTCACGTGTAGTGCTCTCCGACGCTGTTTCCTTGGTCCGTGGCGACAGATTCTACACCATTGACTACACTCCGAAGAACCTCACCAACTGGGGATTCAACGAGGCTGCCTCTGATACCAGTGTCAATCAGGGTTGCGTATTTTACAAGCTTATCTTGAGAGCACTGCCGAATCATTTCAAGCCAAACAGCATTTATGCTCACTGTGAGTAGGAGACGGGCAATGTCTCTGGAGTAACCGAGTAACAGCGCTAACATCAACTAGATCCCATGACAATTCCAAGCGAAAATGCCAAAATCATGAAGAATCTCGGTCGTTTTGAGGACTACGACTGGAGCACTCCCGAATTTATTCCTCCTCGCGTGACCTTGACTTCTTACGAGAGTGCCAAATATCTCCTAGAGCGCCCTCAAGACTACAAGGTCATGTGGAACGATGGCTTGGGATTCTGTATGGGTAAGGGAGGTGAGAGGTTCTGTCTCGGAGGGGACACGATTTTCCACCGGAAGCAGCGCCAGACAATGGAACAACTCATCTATCGAGACAAATGGCACGAGCATATCAAGCGCTTCTACGAGTACATCACACTCCGGCTTCTTCACGAGAAAACCTGCAAGATTGCCGGCATCAATCAGGTTGACATTACGCGAGACGTCGGCAACCTTGCACACGTCCACTTTGCCGCCAACATGTTCGATCTGCCTCTCAAGACTGCGGAGAACCCCCGGGGCATTTTCTCGGAGCAGGAGTTGTGGATGGCCATGAGCGTGATATTCACTGCCATCTTCTTCGACTTTGAACCTACAAAATCCTTTCCGCTCCGGATGGTGGGAAGGAAGTTGTCAAACTTACTCGGGAAGCTGATTGAAGCCAACATCAAATCTGTGACAGCGACTTCCTTCGCTGCAAAGTTCTTCGACGGTTGGAGAGAGAATGAGAATACTCTCGCAGACTACGGTATCCACATGATTCGTCGACTGAGCGAGACCGGAATGAGCACTTATGATATGGCCTTCAGCCAGATCTTGCCGACAGCCTGTGCACAGGTGCCGAACCAATCTCAGGTCTTCACGCAGATCATAGACTACTATCTGAGCGAAGAGGGTCTCAAGCATCTTCCAGACATTCAACGTCTCGCAAAAATTGACAACAAGGAATCCGACAACCAACTACTCCATTACGTCAACGAAGGGATTCGGTTGAACGGCACCTTTGGTAGCTACCGACGCAGCCAAGTCAACCATACTTTCCACGACGATGGAAGACAAGTCACCGTGAAGCCTGGCGATAAGGTCTTTTGTGGCTTTGTGAAGGCTGCGAGAGATCCAAAGATCTTCCCGAACCCGGACGAGGTCCGTCTTGATAGACCGCTGGAGTCATATATCCACTACGGCATCGGCGAGCATGCTTGTCTCGGCAAGGACGCCAGTATGGTGGCATTGACTGCCATGTTAAGGACGGTGGGCAAACTAGAGAATCTGCGACGGGCTCCCGGACCACAAGGACAGCTGAAGAAGGTGAGTTTGACAGTTGGCATGGATGTCGCGACTGGAAAGGTACTGACTGTTCTCATAGGTTCCACGCGAGGGAGGATTCTATGTCTACATGCGCGAAGACCATGGCTCATACTTTGTGTTCCCATGCACACTCAAAGTCCACTACGATGGCACACTGCCTCCGTTGCCAAACCCTAAGGCTGAACGTTGAAAGGTGCCTGAATCCATATCGAGACGTGGGAAAGGAGGTCCGGTGGTGACGGATGAATACTCATGAGTAACAACGGGGGGAGAATCAAGGGTGGACTTGTCGATCAATATCAACTGGCTGAGGCTCAAGCAAAGGCCGACATCAAGGGGATGTTGATCCTGCTGACAGGTGAATGTCACTTTTTGATAGTATAATGCCCGATATGATCTACAAGGACGTGTATCTTTTATTGTTTTGGGCACAGTTTTACAATGTGCCTATGTTGGCGGTATCCAGGTATCAACAGGGCTTTGAATGTGTAGTAAGAAATGGCAGAAGTGGTTGAAGTATTGTATCTTGCCCACCATATCACCGGCCTTCATAGAGTTGGTAGTCACCCATAGTGAGCGCTATACTAGGGCTTCCCTCACTCAACTACTGTACTCGGTATTATGGCTACTTTGATATTCTGCCAGACATAGGGATTCTCTATCGCGAGTCGGGGGGCATTTCATCTCTCCTGGTCTCTGCTCCCCTTCATCAAGTTACAAGGTCAAATCAGCGGACAACAATTGGCACTGACTCCAGCCCTCGACAGCTGGGCCCTTTCGTTGATGCTGGATCGAAATACTACCTTGCCTCCTCCTCCTCCAATCGAGATCCCAACATCAGGCCTCCCGTGCGCTTGACATGGCTCCGCAGTCCAGGGTCATACTCGCAGCCACGCTTGACCCTTGGCACGAAAGCCCACCCTAGCATCTGCTGGACGCTGATCAGGTTGATGGTTTCGGGACATGAACCTTCTGTAAGGTGCCTAGGAGGAGGTCCCAGGGAGCATGAGAGTTTGAGGGCCACTGCAACGACGGGAGCAATAGATCGAGACCGCAGGCCCGTTTCCACCCCAGAAGGACGAGTTCTGCGGAGGCAGCAAGGGGTCACTGCTGGAATGCCCCGTGTCTGATATCAGTATACGGATATCCGATGGTCTTGTTAAGAGTATGGGACGATCAACATCCGGCAATCCAATGACTGAACATGTGTTACCAGCCGTCAGGCTGCTTTGCCTTCCAACGAAAAAACAGCCAGCCACCAACCAGCCAGGCCAGCCTTGATGCAGATCATCAGCCTCGTTGTAACTGCTGAAGCCCATGACGTCTCTTGTGCTACCCTCATTCCGTCATAGGTTGAGGTTATGGACCGAGATCAAGATGGTTTTGTCGATGACCTGGTAGGCACGGTAGGCCAGAACAAATCAACACATGCCCTTCTCCCCGGTCGTCCTAGGGCTGCACTGTTACTCTTTGTCAATTTGACTTTGAGCAAAACCAAGAAGAGTGGCTGGTCGTGCTACACATCGTTTACTAGCACAAGTCTTTGCGGGTGCCCTCAGCTGCCTGGGTCTGGTGCGCCTCGTTGAGACATGGAATATGTTGGTGCTGATGCATGTCCAGATGCCACCGCCATGCTGATAAAAGGGTTCAACCTCGCTCCATTGCCAGGCATGTGTTCGGAAAGTTTCTGCATTTATTTATCTTGATATCCAACATGGCTGGGAGAAACAGCAGGTTCCCCTGCGTGTTGCTGATGCTGCTGCTGTTGTTGTCGATCGTCTGCTCGAGCCCTGCCACAGCTACAGAAACGACCGGCAGTCCGAGATGGCTGATACCTCGAACGAATATCACCGGGCCGAACCCTGGCGACTACCGGTGCGAGAGTGCTCGGGCCCCTGATTACTATGGAATTGGTGTCCGCCTGGTATGTTCTCACAATCATATGCTGGGGGGTCTCCACCACCCGCCACTATCCCCTGAGCCGCCTGAGCCTCCTCAAGTCTAACATTCTGTTGAAGGGAATTTACTTTTCGTGGTTCACTGGCTGGGTCGTAAGTCCTTGGCTACTCTTCCATGGTCTCGCCTTGTGCCAACTGTCTCGCTCTCTCTCTCTTGTCTAGGCAAACTCATTTGTGCCCAGCGATATTGGTGGAGCCTTGGATACAAATGCGATCTTCCTCTTTGCAAACCTTGTGGCCATGGTGCGATGTACCGTCACAAAGGTGCTGACACAGCTAGACTGTGTGGTCCTGATGCATCTGTCAGGCGGGACCGTCTTTTCGGTGCTCAGCCTTTGGGGATACCGCACATGTCATTATATGCAGGAGGGTCCAAAGGGTATCCGACACTTCGGCGGCTTTGGCACGCACCTCAGGCTCCTGCTGTCGATGGCTGTCGCCGTGTATGGCCTGTGGTTCTGGCTGTTCGGGATCCTGCCAGACACTGCCGACGTGAATGTGGACACTGGCCCGTGCAGGACCGTCTATACTTTCATGTTTGCCAAAGTCCGTGCTGACGGCGGCGTGAGAATCTTCTACATCATCGTCTGCATCTGCTGTGTCATTTACTTCGGCGTCATGCTGCTCGCATCCACCCTTTCTCTCCATGCCAGGCTCGCAAAGGCAGTCGATCTGGCCAAGAGAGGCAAATGGCGAACAAGCACCCGATTGCACTATGCCACGGGCCTCTACCAAAAAGAGTAAATCCATCCAAAAGCAGTCTTGGGAGCACGGGACGATCTTGCTGACTCTTTGATCTCCAGACTCCGCCGAATCTTTTACTTTCTCCGAATCGGCAACTTCCTCTTCATTCTGTGGTCAATGATCCTCGTCGAATGCACGCTCAACTTTAACCATGTCAAGGAAGTGCTGGGCCCCGGCAACCGGATCTTCTTCCCTTCTCAGCTCATTCCGATGATCATCGGCTGCTTCAGTTTTGTGAGGCTGGGGTACCGGGTGCTGGAAAGATGGCGAGACCCGGACGACGAGCCGTCGCTTCCCACAGAGCCTCGATCAGCCACCACACAACAGGACTTCCCGGGGCCGAAGAGGTTATTTAAGGTCTTTGCGCCACCGACAAACTTTAACAGCGGCCGCCTTCAAGTGCCTGAAGATATACCTCCCGAGGACTCGGACATAGATCAACTTGTGCAGGACGAACCCGTACGGCTGCGATACCTAGTCACCTGGCTGCCGTGGCTGTCGTTGTTACATTGGTGGACGGACGATGAGCAGCAGCGCCAAAATTCGCACAAGCGTGATGCCAATATGGAAAAGGGCCGTGCTCATTCGCCGTCCTCCACTCTGCAGGGGTCTCCAACCACTCCGACTTTTGTGAATCCCTACCAACCACAGATCCCATAAACGGAGACCTTCGAAGAGTAGGTGCCTGTTCGTACTCGTATGCTGAGATAATAGCTGATAAGAAGACGAGTCTCAGGTGGAGTACGAGCATGCGGGCGTCGTAAAGCAAGACATGAGGTGTTCGTCATGGTGTCGACCCGCTCAGTTTGACGCAGGACAATGTACGACTAGACGAGTATGCACGGCTTCCCATCACAAGGAGGATGGGGCTGAGGAGGAGGCGTTCACTTTCTGCGACTGTGTAACGTATTGCCAGTTTCGGACCTTTCTCGCTTGTGTCTCTTTGAGTACTCGCAATCTGTGCATCTCTCGCTCTCTCCCAGCCTCGTGGATGGTCATTTAGGAGGTTAAGATGGGCACGTGTAACAAGGTGGAGCGACTTGGGTGACCATGGCGACGTCGGGTAATCACGTGCACGGATGGCTTGCCAAGCCGGGGCCGAGGCGTCAAATTGTCCGACTTTGGCGACTTCATGGCGTGGTTGGGGGCCGTTTTGACGTTTTGCAAACTCCGTATATACTTTCCGCGGGCTGGGAGCCCAAAGCGCCATCCCAGCCTTAAAAATCTTTCGCCTCCTCTCCCCGCGACTCGCGAAATCACGTCGCCGCTCAATCTCGCGGTTCCTTCTATCGATAGCCCGATACCAAAGGACACATAGCGTAGCAGGAAGCGAGATACCTATAAAATAGCCACGATGGCAGACGTGGGTTCGCTTCGAGAAAGAAACAAAGTCCGCAAGCAGAGAGGTCAAGAGGCTGGACCATTACTCCGTCCCTATGCAAAGTCAAACTGAGACATGGCTAATATGCATCAAGAGCCTTTAGTCAAGTCCGCCCCGGAATCTCTGAGCCGGACCCCTGGACAAAACCCAATCGACTCCCTGATGAGCCCTGTTGGATGGACGGAGAAAGCGAGGGCGCATTTTTCTGCTTGACGTGGCTTGCAGCTCAAAAAAACCAGCTGGGAATCAAGACAGAACAAGGGGCCGTCAATTTAAAAGAGCTTTCTCCCCGGAAAATCGTCTACCAATAGACTGGATGGGGCCCCTTTGCCCGACCCGTAACACCATTTTCCACCCAATCTCGGCCTGGTCGACCCCAGTCCAGCCGGCGTGGAGCCAAGCTACATCCCTGCAACCAGTTTCTTGTTTCGTCGATCCAGCTTGCCGGATTGGCTTCCCAAGCTCCAAAGCGTCACTTCGTCCGTCGTGCATCCCAGACATGCCTGGAACCTCACCGCAGGATTGTCCAGCTACCATGCAGGTCGACCTCATTCCTTTTGGGACAAAGAAGTCGTCGACGAGTCACTGCCGTGCTTGAGATAGGATCATGTTTCCGGAGAACACGTAACATGGCTCTGGACAAGCAGTCCGCAATGGGTGTCAAACCCTCCGATCTTGGTTGAGTGCTCCAGTCCTGATTCTAATGCATAATTTCCCGGTCTTCAAATCCATGTTGCCGCTCAACCCAGGCGACAATGTCCCCCTTAGCGGCTACACTCCACGCGAGCTAGCTGGCACGTTTCCATTCTGCTTGTTCTGGCTTGCTTCTTTGATGACGATTTGGACAATCTAGAGCCCCTCACATCCCAAAAGGTGTGCTCATGCGAGCATGTGGCTTGCTGGATCACCATCAATTTCGCTCTTAGCCCGGCTCATCCCCAGCTTCAGGCCTTTTCTGGTCCCGCCTCTAAAGCTCTTCGTTTCTCTTTCATTCGAACGACTGTGTTTCCGTTGCTGGTGGAGAGGGAGTATTCCAACGTGGACAGTACCTCGTATCTTGCCCATTCTCCTCCCCTTTGTTGCCGTTTTTGCCTGAGCGAGCCCGTTGGTCGAAATCACATATTCTCCGATCCGAGGCCACGTCAATGGTAACTCAGCATTGTCACCCCGGGAACCGCTCCGGTTGACGTGGAAGTGGTCAACACCAAAGAGGTTCTTGAGAAGCTGAGATCCTCTGCGTCTGGCGAGAGTGCATTGTGAAGCTCAATTGCTCCCACCGAGTGCGCAGACAAGATGCGTCTTTCGAAACTCCTAGTTTGGACGGTGCTAGGGTCGGCCCTACCCTCGAGTGGTTACGCCCAACCTGGATCAGATATACAGAAGCGACAGGAAAGCACGGATACAAACTTTCCATCTCTGACGACCGATTCGCCAAATGCTCCAACAGATGCTTCCTCAACGGCAAGCGACACGATCACATCTACGCCGACCTCGACACAGAGTGCCCAACAGTCTGGCTCAGCATCCACAACTTCGGTCAACAGCTCGTCTCTGTCCACGTCCTTGTCAACCACCAAGCATCTCTCCAGTACTACAAGCTCGGCCGTCCACCCCGCCACCGCTACCCCTTCCAACAACTCCACGGTCTCCCCCACCGAGAAAGAGTCGGATGCGCTACCGATCCATCCTCGACTTACCCCAGCGTTCGGAATCGGCGGAGTGATACTCATTATCCTGGGGTCGACCTATGCTTTGATCGGGGTCAAGACTAGATGGGTACAGATCTTTTTGTCATGCGCTTTCTTAGCGAGCATTGCGACAACGGCGTTGGTCGACTATGTGATGAACCCCCCAATGACAGATGCCGTCCAAGGAGGCTTTTTCGTGGCGATTTTCATGACTGGCGCCGTCTTCGGAGCTGGTGCTCTGGTGTTTAAAGAGGTAACCGAAGGGTTTGCCTGTCTTCTGGGCGGGTTTTGTTTCAGCATGTGGCTGTTGACACTGCGAGCTGGTGGGCTAATAACCAGCTCAGGAGGCAAGGGGGCGTTTATTGGAATCTTCTGTGTGGTTTTCTGGGCCTTGTCATGGACCAGCTACACTCGCCCTTACGCACTGATTGGATCAATATCATTCAGCGGGGCAACCGCATTCACCTTGGGCATCGATTGCTTCACCCGGGCCGGCTTGAAGGAATTCTGGTTTTATATCTGGGATCTCAACGATGACCTTTTCCCTTTGAACACCAGCACCTTCCCACTTACAAAGGGGATACGTGTCGAAATCGCCGTGATTGTGATCTGCACCATTATCGGAGTCCTTTCGCAACTCAAACTCTGGAAAATGGTCAGATCGAAGCAGAGGGAGCAAGGCGAACTTGACCAAGAGGGTTTCCGACAGATGGAAGCAATGGAGGCTGCCCTGGGCCGTCATCTCCAACGACAGAACGAGCGCGACAAGTCTGAGTGGGAGAAGCAGTACGGTGATCGACTCGCCAGCAAGCGCAACACGGTCCTGTGGCAGGATGCTCATCCGGAAAAAAGACATTCGACTGTGTCAGTCGCGGCCCTCGATCAGGCGCACGATTCGAGTTCTTCTGAAAGCGTGGAACTGAATGCTTTTGGCCCCAAGAGAGCCTCATCAACCTACGGGTCGAAGAAGAAGCGGCAGAGCACGATGACGGTCGACGTCATTGAAGAGGTGGAAGAGGATACGGACGCCATCGCCGACAAGGAGCGTAAGAAAGCCCTTCAAGCTCTTGAGAGTTCACAGACTCGCCGTAGGACAGAACGGAAAGACAGTGGTGGCTCTTCTGCAACTCACAGTACTTCCAGCACGTCGAATAATGTGAGTACAGACGAAGATGTTTACAACGATCCACCACGCCAGCTCGGCGGCTCTCCCAAGCTTAAAAGAGGGTCTCAGGCCTCTCTTTCTCGCCGTTCGAAACATTTGAGCGCGAACTATAGTGGCGGCGGCTCCGAATCACAAGAACACTTGATCGACGGTGAAAGACCCCAGAGCAGGGCTTCCTCAGCTGCTGCGACTATGGACGTGGAAAACGAAGAGTTGGATGTGAAGGCATTGGACCTCGACCTCGATCCACAACCGTCGTTGTCGTTGCCGCCAGAAATCGTTGTGTCCTCCATTACCAACTCATCAAACACGGCTCTGATGACGTCGGAGCCCAAAGAGAATGTCCACAGTGATATAGAAACCCCCCCACGATCAACTGTCGGTAAGAGCCCGGAACCCGAACAAATCGTTGAACGCGATGGACACTCTCCTGAAGAAACTTCCAAGTCGGACGGAGGTCTGAAGCCCGAGGGGAGCGAAGCAAAGACGGAGACAGGGGAGGTACCCAAGTCCCACTCTCAGACATCTGATGCCACCGACTCCAGCGCAGATTCTCTGACCAAGAATGCTCTCGCCCAAGTTCCCAGCCAGCTGTCGAGTGTGGTGTTGTCTTATCGCACAAACGAATGGGCAAAGCATATTGCCATGGCCGATGAACCGATCTATGACGAGCCGGAGGCAATTGGTGGCATTGACGATGAACTGCCAACCCAATTGGCGACAGCCACAGAGCAACCCGAACAGGTTCCTGTGGTGCCTCCTGTAGAAGTGCCGCCTGCGGCCACGTTGCCGCCCACAGTGAAAGCAGGCGGGACTGGCGTGGGGATCGTTTCCAAGCCACCCTCGAGCCAGCGGTCGGTCGCGGATCAGGAGCGTCGTCGCAGCACGGGCAAACTACCGCGATCAATGTCAGCACAATCCTTGAGACACTCGGCCAGCCGGGGAGGTCGGAATTCTCTCAATCCCGCAATGCAGACGTCACTGTTCTCGACGCCGATCGATGAAGATGCTCCAATGGAATTTACCAGCCCTAAAAGGGTAAGTCGACGCATGTCATCCCCGTACCAGATGCCGCCGCGAAGCAACAGTGGGCTGCGACCGCAAACAGCCTATGTGACGCCCACGCCGCGTTCCGTTAGCATGAACGACCTGGCTCAAACGGCGCTGCCTTTGAGTCAAAACGGCAGCCAGGCAGGGGGATCGATCGGGACTCGACTTGAGTCATACAACTCGCATCAGCCGAATCAGCGAGACCACAGGAGTGACGTGCAGAAGCGAGAGTCTCTGCTTGCCGAATGGCGACTGTCACAGCAACACCGGGCTGCTAGCAAGGGCATCAATGGAGTAATGGCGGAAGCCGGACACGCTCAAATGAAGGCGGACAGGGAAAACCAGAAATTAATGGAAGAATACCAACGAGGTATGCAGCAAAGGAAACAGCTGGCGATGGACCAAGTCATGCGACGACCGGATATGCAAGAGCTGCACCGTGAAGCGATGCGCAAGATGCAAGCGGGAGCTAATAAGAACCTGGGAGCTGGAAGAGGCTGAGGGAATGCTCGACACTCCATCCATTCATTTTTGACATTTTTCGGATCTGTGGCATTGTGCCTCGCACACACACCAGGAGTTCAACAGGACGGGTTTGAAAAGGACAACAATACGGGACCATTAAGGGGCGGGAAAGGGGACACGGTCATTACTGGGAGGGATGGTGCATTCACTCATTTTTGAAAGCAGGATTCGCCTTTTTGGAATTGCAAAAATGGCACATGACGAGAACATATTAGATGATACCCCTGAGCCGGACATACAAGGATACGACAAAGTAAACACACCTAATCAAGTTGCGATGTTTAGAGAAACCCATTGAGAATCGCCGGAAGATATTTCCTGCTGATAATTTTGACCTCTTGATTGCGTGGCAACCACCTGGAATTCGTTCAAAGTTACGTCAACCAGTTTCCTTGATCCGAGAAGCATTAGAAAGAAAAGGGTAAGGAAAAAAGGGGGGGCGACATGGCGAGATGTGCTGATTAAAAAGGGGAGTAGAGAAGGGAAGAGATGATGATAATAATCACGTAGCTTTGCAGATACGAAGATGTGGCATGTGTGTGGGCATGTGGTTTGGATCCCACGTTCTTCTTATCGCCCAGGCGTTTCAACGGGTGCCAACCCGACGCCAAACATGCGTCAATGTGCCTGTTAGATGTTCTGGCCAGGCACCAAGGCTGCGCCAGGTACTCCAGGGGCTTGCGTCGGAGGGTTTTTACTCGTACCTACGTAGAAGTTTAGGGGTGCATGGGAGAAGGAGTCTAGGCCACTAGGCATTTCCCGGGGGGCGTTTGATGCTTATCTTCATCCCTAACGAAACTGGGTAAGTACCTAGCTCGCTATGTACCGTAGGTAAGGAACAAGGCTTTGGTTCCGCTACCCATACGAGGTACCACCCACTGGGAACCTCGTCATCCATTCAGTCTGTCTCTCCACCTCTTCATCTCTTCACTTCTTCACCAGGATGCCCCAGTTTCCCCCCCTTGTTCATCAACAGAAGCCGGTGCAGAATCGTCTCGTTCCTCTGCCGCCTCACGACTCGAGTTTCCTTCCTCTCTTTCAGGAACAGCCTGAAGGTTTGACGAGGATCCCTTCCTATTGATCTCCCCCGTCCATCCCACGGAAATCCACCCGCCCAGGCTTCATCATCATCTTACAACCACAGCAGGGAAAAAGTGGCTTTCTGGGTTGGACCGGCGTCCCGTTAGTCCAACCTGAACAAACACCCTTTGAGTCGCCTTTGCAGACGATCCCCGATCTTAGCCAACATGGCCCGTTTCTTTTGCCTCCTCCTCTTCGCTATGCCGATACGAGGTACAGCTTCGAGTCTCGACTTCACCCACTTCCATCCCCCCGGTCACGAATTTCCACCCCTCCAGTGACGCTGCGCGCCCAGTCATAACGCCTCGCTTCTCGCTAAATGGGCCGTGACCTTTCTTCTCCCAGGTGAACGCCTACCCCAGGCGTTTCCTTCTTATCACTCGGTATCCCCTCCGTCTGCATGATATCTCTGTAGTGGTGCGACCGCCTCTTTGCTCTGGCAAACGACTGGTCCTCGTTCGACTTGAAAGGACGACCTGGGTTTCAATCTCTGCATCTCGTCTTCCACAAACATGCCGACTTGGCTAGAGGACTCGATCGCACGACTTGATCTGCTCTTTCGGTGAAACCCCCATTTCCGCCTACTCTATCGTCAATTGTATTCTCTCAAAGAACCCGCGGTATACGAGAAGATACGTAGCGACAATGACTGCCTTCGTGGTGGAATCATGGATATGGTACTCGGTGACCACATGTATGGTCCTTGCGCGCATGTATGTGAGACGCGGGTTCAGTCCACAATGGCAACCATGAGAGAGTCTAACAGTGGCTCTGTCCAGGGCGTCGCGCCTATTGCTATTTAGGTCTTTGCTACGACTCCAGATCGAGGACTATCTAATGACGTTCCTGACGGTAAACCTCCCGATGCGGCGCAATATGGTTTCGATGAACTAAAAAAGGCCTGCCACAGTGTCTATACACTATCTTGATCGTGTTTCTCAACATTGATCTGAATGTCTCGACCAATCTCATCGACCCCGCGACCCCTGTTGTCTTGACGCCCGAGGAGATATCCCAGCGTACCTGGGGATCCAAGACTGTCCTCCTCGTCGAACAGTGCATGTGCGCTGTGCAATGGTAGTTTACCTCCCTGAAACTCGTTCTATATCTGCACGACCTAACAAAAGTCCTCAGGGGAACCAAGTGTTGTCTCCTCCTTCTCTACTGGCGCCTCACTCAGAATCTCAAGCAAGCCCTGGTGGTCAAAATCGCCTCCGCATATGTCGCTATCACTTACGTCGTCATGGAGATTTTCTATTTCGCCGTCTGGTGTCGACCGTTCCACGACTATTGGCAGACTCCGACCAACAATACGCAGTGCACCACGGCCTTGCACCATCTCATCATGAACTTGGTCTTCAACCTCAGCAGCGACGTCTTGATCTTGTCCATCCCTCTCCCGCTCTTTGTCAGAGCCCATCTAGAACTCAAGAAGAAGATTCTCCTGGTGTTTCCGTTCAGTCTGGGTCTGTTTACCATGCTCTGCGCAATCTTGAGCAAGCGCCTGAGTTTCACTCATCCCTACAGTTCCGAGTGGGTGTATTGGTACTGCCGAGAAGCAAGCACTGCCATGATTGTTACGAATATGCCTTACAGCTGGGCTCTGATCCGACGAATCTTCAATCTGCGGTCCTTCTTTGGCGACTCGACCACCGGCCGTCTGCAGGCGGGACACCCGAGAGAACTTCATGGATACAGTCCGGATGCAATTGCCCTGGATAGTCAATCGCGATCGCGACAAGCGAGCCGAACAGACGGAGACGATAGAAAGTCTTCGTGGCATCGCCTCAAACTTCACCGGACAAAAGATGACACCTCCAATCCCTGGACACATGGCGAGTCGGCCGCAGAAAAAGAAGTCAGGATCGAAGCCGCCACGGCATCGAGCAGTACCAGTAGTGCCGGATCTGTTCGAAGACCACCGCCTGCAGCTAACACGGACTGGACCTTGGATCGTCTGTACCCCTTGGATGATGAGGAAATCACGGGCCCAGATGTAACGCACCGAAGATACGAGGGTGTGTGATAAGGCGACCATCTGGGCGATCCCCAGGGGGGACTTGTCAGAAGCAACTCTTCAAACACTTCGCCACTCTCGCTCAGGCCGGCAACAGGCGAAGACCCGACGCACTAGGTTTGTCGGCCACAGGAACCTTGAAGTTGATTTTGACGGCCAACCAACCCGATTGCGGAGATTTTGAGTATCCGGCTGGACTCAACAAGTGTCATCCCTCAGCCTCAAATGCTCTCGACAGCGTAGACAGCCACCATGGGCTCGTCTTCGATGCTTGGTGTGGCACGTGCGAAAGACCCCGAAACGGCCACAAAACGGCCACATCTCGAGTCATTGATTGCTTGGCATCTAAACCCAATCGAGCTGCTGCGCTGAAAAATGACGCAGCCATTTCTAAACCTGCCACCACTGCCTCGCCGCGTCTTTGTCAGTCATTGAGCTTTTGTCGTCAATTGACTCACACAAAGAGCTTCAGACAAACAAAAGGACCAACTCCCTGTCACTCATTTGCAAAGAGGTAAGTGTCTCTTGCTCTCGATTCCCGAGTTGGATCTGGACTTCATAGAAGGGGGGAAGTAAACCATGGCTGACTGGAGCGCGCCGCAGGCAACGCACGAGCAGCACAAGCCGTCGAATTCCCAACCCTCGTACACTCAGTACCACGATCCGTTGCAGGACATATTCTGGCCTGAACCTGTCGATCATTCTGCTTGCGACTCCCCTGTGGAAGCAGAAGTCGACCCACAAGCCCAACCTCAACACTCACCACCGACGCAAAATGCCATCAAGAGACGGCCAGTCAAACCCATAATCTCCCCTTCTCCGATTGCTGCTGCAGGGGACGAGTCGGCGCTCTCACCTATCATCCCATCTCCGCTGCGCATTCGCAAACCCAAAGTTCCATCGGAAAAATTGCCGATGCGAAACGTCCGTCTCCTGATAGCCTCTCTAGGCAACCCCCCGCCATATCATTCGACACGTCATTCAGCTGGGCACATCCTGCTGAAACACCTCGCTTCGCGCCTGGACCTTCCGCCACTCGCCAAGTCGAAGCTGCTCGGCTCTGGTCTGGTCAGTTCTGGCGCCGACGTCGGTCGCGATGAGTACACTCTCTGGCAGAGCGGGAGCATGATGAATATTTCGGGACAGGGCACGTTAAAAGCGTGGAAACAATTCAACAGTCTGCACCCTGCAACTGATGACACCGTGACTGCGCTGGTCATTCTGCATGACGAACTTGAGTCGTCGTCCGGCACGATCAAGTTGCGCCGGGGCGAGTCTTCACCAAAGGGTCATAACGGGATCAAATCAGTACAGTCGTCGCTGAAATCGGCGGGCTTGTTGGCTGCCATGGGCGACCGGTTCATCAAAGTTGGCATTGGCATCGGGCGTCCGTTGTCGCGAGAGAAGGATGACGTGAGTGCGTGGGTGCTGGGACAATTGACACACGTGGAGAAGGGCAAGATTGAGGCAGCCACGGACAGCTTGGTGGCCGTGATGCAGAGTGAGATTCGCAAGCTGGAGAGGTCTTGATTTAGGTCGAGACATGACAATGAACTTGACCATCACATTTCGCGAGCCACTGGCACTTTACAACAGCCTGGGTGTCCAGTGAGTGTCGCCAACGACTACATTACTAAGGACCTTTCCTTCAACATCTCCACCTCTGCCGTACACCAACTTCCTCGTGAGAAGAGGGATCTGGAATCTGGGATTGGATGCCCCTTGGACGGACGGGTCAGGATATATTCTGAGTTGGTTTATGATTTTGACTTGAAATTTTTTTTTTTTTTCAATGATACCCCATACAGCAAGCATATAGCAGCATATGACCGCGTGCGTGGTTTTTCCCGCCTGGAGGTGATGGGATGGGATTTTGTGCCGCAGCGCAGAGGGATATTTACCTATATACCTATATATACCTATATATATACATAGGTACTTGGCTAGTAGGTAACCGATCAATCTATCCCGCGGCTGGCTCGCACGAGATATATTTCAAGGCGAGTAAAGTGGTTCAAAGTTTCTTGATCGGCGCGACCTGTGTCGTACTTTACGCACATGATCACCCTACCAGTACCGAGTACGTACGAGTACATACCTAACAAGTCATCGAGCCAGCAAGCAAGAAATGGGACCCAGCAAAGCGGGTTACCGTGCAATGTATATCTCAAGTGATGGAATACCTGGTAATCGCAATCGCAATTGCAATCGTAAGGCTTGGAGGTAAATGATCAATCACAAGGCGAGTAAGAATGTCCCAGTGGCGAAAAAAGGAGCCGTGCGAACGAAGAGACCAAAACCACAATGGAATGAATGGATGCATCTGCCATCATGTCATATTATGCTATATTAATGCCTTTCTTTTTTCCTTTGCTCAGCCTCAACTCTCAGCCGTGCCCCCGTGCCGTCTCCGCAAATCTTTTACCGTTCCCTCACTCAACTCAACTCACAACTTTGTGCCCTCTCCAACTACGCAATACGGCGTCCCGCATTGGTCATGGCTTGCGTATTTCGCATGGGGCGGTTTTCAGCTCAGCTCCAAAGAGGCCGAGAGATCGGATGCTCGTTGCAAGATTCCCATCCATCCAGCCAGCCATGGAGAGAAAACAAAAACGGGTAAGTGGTCAAGTCCAGCTGCTGTGCTGTCGGTCTGTCGACGAGTAGAGAACAAGGAAAAAGGGTCAGGTCAGGCGCGCAAGTTGCTTTCAGGCTCTACCGTTGGTGTTGGCCGACTGATGCGGTATGCAGTCACCATCTAGTGCCGTTTGCTGGTTTGCGACAACCCCCCAACTGAGAAAATCCAAAAAGATACGGGATCAGCGATGTCGTGCTTGTGTAGCAGGTCCTCCGGTAGTCATGAGATCGCATCTTCCCATACCCCCATATCTCCACATCTGATCTCACACCCCGTCGGGAGGTGTGACATAAAGGATTGATTGCTTGTTCAGACATGGGGACTCCACCGCAACTCCTTTGCGGCCCGTTTTCCATATTTTCATACTCAGTGTTGACCCGTGCATCGGACACCGAAAAGAGGCAAAATGTAAGACGTGGTCCGCGTGCGCAGCGTCAAGGAAGGCAACATAAGACGATGCCGGCGCAGGGGCCAAATAGTAATATAGCGAGCGTATGCAGAGAGAGGTGCCAGATTCGATCAGGCCAATTGTGTTGGTCATGATGCCCGGTCGCACGACCTGGTGTGGGTTACGTCGGTGCGGATGGCACGTCCGAAGAGGTTGAACAAGTTGCGCACAGCTTGGCTGACCATGTTGACTGACATGATGCGTTGTCCGTTGAGCCAAACCAGGTAGACCTCATGCTCGTTGTCCTAGTCGACCGGCTTGGCTTGCGTATAACGAGCATCAATGGGTCTTCGAAGTCGGCAGAGAAGAGCATCGGGTGAAGTGGTAAGTGGGAGTCGGCATCCCGATGTAGCCTGTCGTCTGCTTGACATTTCCCATACGCTTTGGTGAAGGCGGTGGAGGTCCCATGGGTTTGAGAATACCCGCGACATCGTAGTGGCCCCGACCCATGTTTGCTGAATGATTTGGCGGTTTGGTAACCTGGAAGACCGGAAATTCAAACGATGGTATTCCCTCTTGTGTATCTCTTTGGTCGTACTATGCTGATTCCCGGACGAGATCAGAAGAAACGCTGTGATGAGATGCTCAGATCAGAGAAAGAAGAGAAGCCCCTTTTTATGCAGGTCCCAACGGGTAGCGGTGTCACCATGATGGGAGATGGTGGCATAGGGAAAGTTAGGATCAGGATGAGGCGGAGGTATCAAGCATGGATGGACCCAGTCAGGTACCGAGTACCATGGTAGTCGAGAGCTGATCAGTCTTGTTTCTCTTTACGTTTGTGTCTGTTGCTATTCTGCGTCAGCTGTCAAAGATGCGGTGACTGTGTGGCGTTCTCGGTCCCAGCGACACCTCTTCCCCTAGTTTGTTTTCGTATGCAAATGCAATGCATGGTCTGAATGGAGGGCGGATCGACTGGGCCAGGACCCTGGAACCCGAAAAATCGGTGTCGCCTTTGGGGATGGTGTGGTTGTTGGGTCTTGGGGTGCCAGACTGCGCTTGCGCTACCCCTCTCCTGGTTGTGCCTGGGGCATCGCAGGAGTGGTTGAGTTGAGCCCGGCGCGGGAGCAATAGGTACCCTCATAGTGAGGAATCGGTGAATCGGGAAGGCCGCATGATTGTTTGCTTTCACGGATGGTGCTTGGTGCTGGTGGAAGACAGGAAATCTGAGGTCCAGAAGGGCGGTGAAGGAGGCTGACATGGCGCATGGCCCCCCGGCGTCGGATCCATTACGATTCCTTTTCCCCACGCGCAGTTATCCAAGTCTGCAAGTCCTGCAGTCCTGCAGCTAATCTAGCAGGCTGGTGTACCATCAGGCTCTGGTTGCAGTCTAGAGTTGCGATTGGTGTCGGGATATTAGCTACATCGCTTGGGTAAAGTTACGCCATCTTCCGTCTTGGACCTACGAGGACGACTATACCAGGAGCCATGTGGATTGGGACTGTCGGTGACGCCAGAAACAAGACATCATAGGTCCCCAGCATCTAGGCTACAGGCAGAAAGTGCACAAATCACCTCCTGGCATGTGCTTTCAACCTATCCTGCTGCACAGACCCAGGGAATTGGCCGTGGAGGGAACCAGAAGTCAAGGATGAGATGCCAGGATGTCCATCAGAAACAGAAAGATGACAGGAGACAGAAAGCGAACAAGATCAACGTCAATGAATGGTCTTGGATGGTTTTCTCGAATGTCTCTGCATCCCCGACCCTGGAACTTGCCGTCCACTTTTGGTGCTTCCACCAACATTTCCGGAGTCGTCGGTCCCTCATCCCCCTGACGCCTGATGGCCGTTGTACTCGGAAATAATACATCCAAGGCCCACAGACGCCTCATTTGGTGATCGACAGCAGATTCAGAAGGCCTTAGAGGTCAACACCCCCTTCCACCTCCACGCCCTGTATCTCGCCCTTCCGGAACTTGTTGGCCATTTCCTCAAAGGTACACCATTCCACCCCTTCATGCGTGTTGATCCATTCAATGAGCCGCTCGTGCAGGAGCGTGATTTGAGGCTTGCCGCTGACTTGAGGATGGATGCTGATGGGGAAGACAAAATGCTCGTACTCCCGGTAACAAAACTCGAAATGCTCGTGCCAGAATCTCTCCATTTGATGTGGATCGACAAAGCCAGCAGCGCCCTGGCCCCGCATGGTCTGAAAGGCAGGCCAATCGTCAACGTGCCAATTCGCTGGGACTTCGACCAATGTCGACGGCCGAAGAGATGACATAGGAGTCATCCATTCCCCGGCCGAGAGATTCTTGTAGTCGGTTTCCTTCCATGTGGCCGGTGGGTACGGGAGGTAGTACAACTGCGAGTCGTGATGCATGAAGGAGTGGTCATACTCCAGCCCGTGTTCCTCCAAGAGCTGCACTGTCTGGGGAGAAGGTGTCCACGCAGGCGCCGTAAAGCCTCTGGGTTTCTTGCCTGTAAATGCGGTGACCACGTCAATGGTCTTCTGCAGGACAGCCCGCTCCTGTTCGGGTGAGAGCTGAGAGACGAATTCATGCGTATACCCATGGAGTCCACTGGGCGGCATGTGCACCGCATCAGCCATCATGCCATCTCATCAAATCATTTCGGGGCCACCGGGGGAGAAGAGAAAGCGGTGACCAGGGGCTAGACGAAAGCCAACCTACATTTCGTGTCCGGCGTCCCGCACCTTGGCCATTTGTTTGGGAAATGACTCAATCGAGTGACCTGGAGCGAAAAAGGTTGCCTTGATGTTATACTTTTGGAACAGTGCCAGCAATCTGTCAATGCCCACCGTGGCCCCAAAGACACCACGGGAGATGTTGGTCACATCAGCCGCCTGACCGGTCTGAGTGTTGATCCATCCGCTCACGGCGTCGACGTCCACCCCGTAACCAACAAGGACCTTTTTGACCATATTTGAGGATATTGCAGTAGAGAGCAGTGGATGTCCAGCAATGGTGGTGATCCCGCGACAGGCGAGGAGAAGTTTTTCAACCTCGGGGACTTGCCTGATGTATCGAGAAACTCCGGAGCCATGGAGAAGCTAATGGTATCTGTTTGCATTGACAGATGGATAGAAACGGAGATGGTCGACGAGCAAGAGGATGGCAATGAAATCATTGTTGGTGATTCTCCAATGCAAAAACATCGTCTCCGCTCCACCAAGGAATCGGACTCCATCTTTACCCCAAACAACTTTTCACCTTCCACTTATGTTCACGTTTCTGCCATCATATTGTTAGTTGACTTCTTGCACCGACTTGAATAGCAAGTCCCCTTGCATAGATCACCTCTCAGACGCCATGTCTGACAGATGCCACGTCTTCCTCCTGCCCTGATCCACGAGGCGACCTCCCAGAACCCGCTCCTTACGCCTCTCCTTCGAGTATGTCGAGACCTTCCCTCTGCTCGCAACGAGCTTCGGTGGCTTCAAGAACACGCCCGTGATGTCGTGGATGCAAAGAGATATGCTAGTCATGAGACCAGGGACAATATCTCGCTACCTAGACTGGATGCGACTGAAGAGGCGGGCTCTTCCCACCAAGCGACTGCGAGGTTCGATGATGTGAAGATCGAAGATGGCCGCAGACCGTGGAACCCGTCACAACGGCATCCGACCATAGGGAAAACCTTTGGTGGACGACGAATCAGGAAAGTCGCTACAATTCCTACAGAACCTGTTCTTTCAGCATCGACGCCTGAAATGCAGTCTGTGCAAATTCGAAAGCACGAGGTCGGAGGAACTGCCCACTTGGAAGCAGAACTGCAAAAGTTGACGGTACGCAAGATCAGGGTTCAAACTGACCGCACGGGAACCAAGGCCTACAATGTGGGCAGCATCACTACCCTGAAGGCAGAAGGGACAAGACATAGTATCCGGAAGGTACCATTACAAAATGAACAGAGCACTGTCCACACTCAAACCAACGTGAATGTTACATCATTGCATGACAAGAGTGTCCGTGGGTTGCGGATAGCCCCTCCGTCCGACACTGATCCGGTCAATGGCGAAGCAAACAAGCATAAACAGGTGCAAAAGATCCTGACGCACAATGTGGGCAAGAGATCGAAAGGCATGCCACTCCAATACATCATGGGCAACCAGCCATTCGGCAACCTCGACATACTATGCCGGCGTGGTGTCTTAATTCCCAGGCCAGAGACAGAGATGTACACGGAAAAGGCGGCCAACTTGCTATTGTCGGCACTTACCTCTATACGTCTCTCGACTGCTTCTGGGCTGCAGAGTCGGAAGAAGTTCCGGATTCTGGACCTGTGTACAGGAACCGGATGCATAGCCCTGCTCCTCCATTCGATACTCAAGCCACCCGCCAAAGCCTCTGGTTACAACTCGGTCAACGCACCAAATATAAATGTCGAAATTCTTGGACTCGATAACAATCCCCTTGCCATTTCTCTGGCTCGGAAGAATCTAGCACATAACATGAGACAGAAGCTGCTACATCCCGATGCCGGTGATGACGTGTCCTTCCAGAACATAGATGTGTTGGGTTTGGCAAAGAAAGGCGGTGACGGGGAGGATAAGCAGCACCAAATCAACAAGATCCTCAACGAAGTTGCATCTGACGTGGGCAGCGGAGAGAAGAATAGCTCCTCGCCACCTCTGTCATGGGACATGATCATTGCCAATCCTCCCTATATCGGCCCCAAGGATTATGAGCCTGGCGGAAAGACGGAGCCGAGCGTGCGCAACTACGAGCCCAAGGAGGCGCTCGTTCCCACCTTTGGTCGAGGCGAAGACTGGCACCGTTACCAATCGCCTTCGATCCTTTTAGCCGACCTGTTTTACTGGCCGCTGATGCGCATCGCGAGAGCCGTCGGCGCCAAACTCCTAGTCATGGAAGTCGGCGACTCGTCACAAGCGTCCCGCGTGTGCAAGCAGTTCTTCCAGAACTACAGCTCGCCCGCGGTTCTCGAGCAGCTCACGCCACGCCTCGAAACATGGAGAGATGACGGCTCTGTCAGGATCCTCCCAACCCAGACGTCTCCCAGTTTTGACGCCGATTTCGAAAACGCCACCGACCCAAGCGTCTCGGATCGGGCGATCGTCGTGTGGACGAAGGACATGGCCGACTGGCGCCGTGACAGCCAACCCCGCTTGCAGTCTTGAAGTCGACAAGATCCTTTCCTTGATTCGGACTGTGAAAAGGGGTGGCACCTGACCGAGTTTAGGAAGCTTTGACAGGTGAGAAAGAGAGAAGACACGGATGGACGGCTAATACAAGACAGACGTGGATATCAATGGCCTGCCTCTTCTTTGGGATGGAAAGGAGATGATGGGTCGCCCATTATGAGAGCAAGTCAAGTCAGAGCAAGTCGGTCCGTCTCGTGTTCATCATCCGTGCATACGAGTATGATATCTGTGCATATATGTGTATATAGTAGACCCCAATCAATATCCATAACTCGTTCGTCATCTTTTCGTGGTCCATGTCCCCTGCCCCCCTTTTCCCCCAACCGCAAGGCCTCTGCGCCAAACACATTTGTAGATAGATAGAGACAGAGGGGGCGAGGCATAAATACGTAGGTAGATGGATACCTAGCACTCAACAGACAGCCTCCCTTCCCTCCCTCCGTGTTCCCCTCCCCTTTCCCCTTGATGTGCTTGTTTGCGCAAGAGTATTAAAACCGCCCCCTTTCCTTTCCTTCTCCTCCTCCCACCGTCGCCTCTCGATTCTTCCATTCCACCCAGGAGGCGCAGAACCTCCTATCCCCAGGCCCAGAGGAACGCCACTCACCGTGCGCGATGCGCAAAAGAACCCCCAAACTCGAAACGCAGACGAACAGACCGACCAAGAACACAAAAACAAAAAGCCCCCCTCTCCCGTTTTTTTCTTCTCCAAGTTTCCCCCACCACTTACTTCTCCTCAATATCGCTGGGTTTTGGTTGACAACCTCGCCGGTCCAGATTGGGAGTGATACTAGATAGATAGATAGAGACAGACAATAGACAATAGACGCTCAGATTTCCGCCCAATAAATAACAAGGAAATTGCTGCAACCAAAATCCAGAATTCGGGTCGATATGAGCCCAAGGGTGGAAAACAACAGTGGGCGGCGTGGCGTAGCGCGGCGCGCCGCTCCCATTTTCCCCCTCTCCTCCTTCTCCAGAATCATCCTTCACAGTACACGTAGAATGGTAGAGAGGAGAGGTGGCGAAATCATAAGTCATCTCATCTTGCATTATCGGGTTTCCTCGCATATACAATGTTCATGCGGTGAATGGCATGGACCTTGGGATTTCGCAGTTCGTTCCGGACAGTGGCGCACAGGGCTCTGACTTCGTCGGCGGTCCACCCCAACACACTCGTCAGCAACCTCAGTGTCCAGTTCTCCAGGCCTGTCTCGATATGTGCTCTGCACCACTGGCCAAGTTGCTTGAAGTTCGGGTCTTTGGGCCACGGTCCGATGGGCCACTTGTACCGGCGCTCTGTGACGGATTCGAAGCCTGCATTGATCATGTGTTGGCTCATGGTCTCCAGGACCTGCAATTCCCGCTTCAGCTTGGCATGACATTCGGGGCCGACCTTGTTCCATGCTACAATGCCACCGTCCGGAGGGATACTGTTGTCGTCGCTGGTGAATTGCGCCGAGTATTCCGCCTGCTCGAGCCATCCGCCGGGCTTAAGACAGCGCATGCATTGCGCGTACAAGGCCGGCCAGTCCTGGATGGTGCCATGAAGACCGCGAATATGGATGAGATCGAAGAAGTTGGAGTCGTACGTCCATTCACATTCCATGTCATCAATCTCGAACCGTACGTTAGGCGGCACCCACGTGGGTTGAATTGGAGAGAGGTCTGTCCCGGTGACCACGGCCGAAGGGTATATGTCAGCGACATCGATGGCCCAGGCCCCGGTGCCAGTGCCGAGATCGAGGATCTGAGATGGGTTGGGATTGATGGGCGCGAGGAAGAGGCGGTTGTTGAGGGTTTTCAGATACAGGTTGTGGCCGATATCATGGTGCTGATTAGCCTCCTCGTCGTTCGAGCCCCTATGGCAAGAGCGTAAGCAATTGGTGATAGAGACATACATATGCTGATAGCATACCAGTACTTCCCATCCTTAAAGGCGTGGTAGGTCCGCCCATTTTCTACGCGGTAGTCCCTTATCCACGACGATATAGAGGTGGTTTCAGTCAAGCTGCGACATGTCAACTCCAACCATAGCCAAAGAAGCCAAAGAGATCACTCACGCTTCGTCTCCATATGCCGAGTCATTATCACCATCTTCCAGGTCCTATAACAGGCGCTTGTTAAGGATGCCTCTCCGGAGATATGCCGCGAAACCATCTAGACATTGACTTACCGGATCAGCAGTTATTCGACTGGAGCGGTGACTTTCGGTGTCGGTGTTGTCATCTCCTTCTGGACACATCGTGGCCAAATGGAGCTCACAGCTTGCTGACTTAATATCTTTCCCTAGTCCTGGTGTATACCTAGATAAGGTAACTCGCAGGTGGACTGTTATGTGACAAGGGTGTGTACAAGGGAAAGGCGGAACAAGGCCCCAGCTCGCGTGATGTGCGTCACGAAAATTGTAAAAGGAAATTGGAAATGGTCTCGGGCACAGGGGGGTGTGGAACCCCTCTAAATTTGGCCAGATTGGGACAGAGAGAAGTCTGTGCTTATTCCATTGAGTTTCAAAACGTTGACTGTTGAACGGGCCGAACCGATGTTGTTTTGGATGTTGACAATAGTGCTCACCATGCTTGGGAAACGCGTAGGAGAGGCCCTCTCAGCCGTGGGACGGTGAAGACAAGAGAAGTCAGAAGGGGGCGAACAAGTTTTAATCAGTTTCTGGCGGGCAGTTGTCGAATTCCATCCTGGGGCGCTGGGGGATTTGTTGCGGGGCACAACGTTGAGATGCCGAAGCGGACCATTTGTCTGCCGTAACGGATGGAGCAGAGATGCCCGCTTTCTCGACCTGGTGGGTGACCGGTCTCGACTCGTCGCGGTAGCTAGTAAATACCGTCAGTGGGATCTTCCAACAGAGTTTGTAAGACGTGTCTAGTCGGAACATGAAGTCGCTTTGATTTGTCTCCGGAGGTTCCAGAGCCTCGCTAGTGCAGGGTGGAGGCGGGAAGCGGGATGGCGTCTGGAGACGGTCAAAGCCACAGCAATCCTCCGGCACGTGTTGTCTGAGGGCGGGGAGCTGCGAGGCTAGAAAAACGACCTGCAGGCTTGTGAGGCAGTGAGGTTGATTGGGCGTCGGTTCGGAGGATGTGCAAGTAGGTGATGCTTGGCCGTTGGATTCAGCTCTGTCTGTCACCCTCTGCCGCTGTAGTGCATGCATGAGGGATTATGAAACCCGAGGTATTGAGCGGGTTGGGGGAATTGTCCTCGTGTATAGCCTACTCCAACACGAATCTAGCTCCCTCCACAGCTCTCTCCATCATTTCGTGGGCAACAGTGAGATTGGGGAAGGCATGGAAATAGTGAGGAAGACCATGGTAATAATCGAGCTTGCTTTTAACCCCGCTCTCTTTGAGTCTGTAGTCCAAGACAACTCCGTCGTCTCGAAAGCAGTCCTTTTCCGCATTGACGATATAGCACGGAGGGAACTTGGATAGGTCGTCCGCGAGACAGATAAGGTGTCGTGGGCTGTCAAAGTCGATGTCGAAATGGGCTGTGCAGGGTCAGTAAAAGATACAACACGGTGCGAATGGCACTTACACCAGATGAATTTGGCAAGCTCAAGACCAAACACGGGAGTGCCGGCGTGCCCATTGTCTTCCCATGAGGTGTACATATGCTTGTATTTTCCCTCGTAATTCCAGGAAAGGGTTACGCCAAACAGGAGGATGCAGCCAGTGATGGACGTATGATCACCCTCGGACATGAAGCGGTATGCTACTTCTGCTGCGAGCATTGCACCAGCGGAACCGCCGCATACGAGTGTCTTGGTTGGATCATCTCCTAGCTCTTTGGCTCTGCTGCGACACTAGTTGAGTCAGAACTCTGAGATGTACCATGTGGAGCGTCTTCTTACCCAAGGCACCGCCTGGTTAGCGAGATTGATGATGTCGTCAAGTTTGACTTTGGGAACTTTGGGATAGTCGACACTGATGACCAGACATGGTACTTTGGCGGCGAATATCCGGCAATGGGCGTCCTCGGTGTCAAGATTGCCAGCAATGAATCCTCCACCAGGAAAGTAAATCATGAGAGGCAACGGTTTGTCTGAGGCCGGCTTGTAAATTCGGACAGGGAGGTCACCATATTGGCTGTCAGTCTGCTCATCCCCTGAACGGTGCTTGTTAGACATGGTCCCCTGTATCAATTGTTCGATGGTCAGTTCAACCGCAGGTGCACTCACAGACTTTCAGTTCTTCAGGTAATGGTGGCCATTGCTTCGCAAGCCCGGCAAAGACGGCATCATACGTGGGAACATCGATAGACCAATCGCCTGTCATGATATACCGGCCGCCAGATGCGTCCTCGAGCTGGAAAACTGTCAGTTGGCCTGACGATGCGGTAAGCGGGGTTCGTCTTCAGCGAAAATGCCATTTGCAGAGGAGCGAACACGAGTTAAACGAGAGAAGATGCTCACTGCCAGCCATTCTGGTCGGTAGCCTTCTCTAGGCCAGTTCTTGTTGGGCTCTGTTGCCATGGTTTGTAGGAGTTCTCGGGTAGTAAAGACTGTGCGACAACTGCCCGGAAGTGAAAGATGGCACCAGCAGCGGACACCTGAGCAAGTGGAAAAGGGTAGATGCGCCACAAATGTCGACCTTCCAAAACTGGACTACTGGACTCGAGCCACAATCCATCAAACTGCATATAGCCGTGAGATAACAGACTTATATAATCTGAAATACCCAATATTATGGCGACGAATCACCCGTGTCTCGTACACAAGCATCGTGAAAGCACAAACAGCAAAGCCACAGATGATCCGTGGAGAGCTGGAGGCTTCATCTCAAGTAGGAATAAATAAGATAAATAAAACAAGGGAAATCTATCCAGTTGTGCCAGTCCAAATGGTGATATCGTGGTGATGGTTTCTCGGCGCACATCTTCATTCTCCAGCAAGACAGTCGCTGCAACATGTTCACCTTCTGCGGCTGCCTGTCTCCTTCAAAACTGAACACAATCCTACCTCATCCACCTCTCACTCAACTCATTAAAATGCAGCCAGCATCAATGTCTCCCACGAATCAGGACAACAGCGACCTCATCTGGGGATTCATCATCGTTATCATGCTCTATTTGATCATCGCCTTGCCGTTCGTGTGTTGTACGTGGGGTTGTCTGTATGTCCTGCTGTGGGCTTTGAACCAAATGTGAAGAAACTATTATCACCATTCACATAGCACAGCGTCAATTTCCAGCCAACACAACAAGTAGTGGTGTCTGGCTCGATGAACTTCATCTGGTGGACACAGGAGAAAGAGCAAAAGAGCAAACGAAAATGCATTGTTATGCACAACACTTTGCATTAATATAGCTACTGCGCCACCGTAGTATCAACACCCATCAGACAGCTACGGCATGCGACGCGGCAATGCATGCAATTTACGAGGAACCTCGGCCTATGACTTGCAAAGAGAACCCTTCTTACTCAAGTATCATAGCAAGTATAGAGATACAGTCTACGGAACCAACAACGAGATGGCTGACCAAGAGCCGTCTGGCAGCATTGCGCCTCCGCCTTCATCTACCCCTAGTCCCCCACCAACAACTATGGAATATCCATTTGCAACCTCACCCGATATCCTCCGCACGCACCAGAAGGACGCCTACATCACAGGAAGCATCTCGTCGCAAGCATCTACGATCCTGCGCGCCCTCCTCGGCGCTCGTTTCGCACACAAATACTCCGAAGCCACAAACCAACTCTCCGAACTCCTTTACCTCTGCATCACTACACTTCTGGGAAACCGGACGCTGGGCGAGGAGTATTGCGACGTGATCCAAGTGGAGGACGACACATTAAGACTTGCGGGCCTGGGAAGAAGAGTCGGGTACATCGCCAGTGTGGTGTTTGCGCCCTGGATTCTGGGAAAATCTCTCCCTGCGCTGAGGAGAAGACTGAGGAGTAAACTCGAGTGGAACATCGAACATGCCAAACAGAAACAGCAGCATAGCAACTCCAGACGCTCCCCTTCACCCAGGAGCCTCAAGTTACAAGAATACATCCTCAAACACCTCGATACCTTGACCTCCCTCCAGCCTATCTACGCCTTGAGTCTCGCAGTCTTCTACTTCACAGGGGCGTACTACCACATCGCCAAGCGACTGTTTGGGCTGCGCTACGTCTTCACGAAACAGATCAAGCCTAACGAAGAGCGGGTCGGGTACGAAGTCTTGGGGGTACTGCTCGTGCTGCAAATGGCCGTGCAGTCGGTGCTGCACGTTCGAGAGACATACATGGACGCGACAGCGTCCACAACAGGGGCAGAGACAGCGGGGCATGCCAGCACGGCGGCCATGCTCGCCAACGGGATCGAGATCCCCATCCCCTCGAGCCTCGAGACCTCTTCGACCGGCCAACTGCTCTCAGCCGTCTCCGTACCCTCCCATCTCCCACCGGGACTGTCGGCGAACACGGCGACCCCGATCCTCGACGCCCCGCGCTACGCCCTCGAGGAGCACGACGAGACCATGGCCTGGATCCCCGCCGGCCACCAGCGCAAATGCACCCTGTGTCTCGAGCCGTTCCGCGACCCGAGCGTGACCACGTGCGGCCACGTCTTTTGCTGGACCTGCGTGCAGGACTGGGTCAAGGAAAAAGCAGAGTGTCCCTTGTGCAGACAGAGCGTGCTTAGCCAGAAGGTCCTGCCGCTGAGAGGGTAAAGCGTGGATCGTCTACATAGCATGTCGATGAGGCGACATGAGCGATGGATGTATTGTACAATAATGAATTCTTGAGACGGCCACTAGAGTGACTTTACACTTATCCATCCATCCATCCATCCATGCGTGCATACATGAATGGGGTAATCCATTTTCTTGCTTCATTATGCTGTCCCAGGGTTCGGAGTATTTAGTGCAAATCATCATGCCGGTCTACCTCGCAATGTATGTAAGTATGTACCTCTTACAAGCCGAGAAGCAGTATATATCCGTTCATTCCATTTTCCTACGCCGGGTAATTCGCCATGTCCACGGAACGATCGTCCTTGCGACTCAATCAATAGTGTAGTGCTCTCTCCCTCTCAAAGGACGGCCGGGCAAATTATGCCTGTGGTGAGACAGACTACTAAGCCAACGCGACGGCACCTTCTTTCTTTCCCACGCGAGGACTCTCGACATCATCCTCGCCTTCGTCACTGATCAAGCCTTCGAGCTCAAACTCCTCGGCGTCCCGGACTTGCTGGCTAGCGGTGCCTCGATGTCGGGGTATTCTCGCGCTGCCGTTCACGGGGCCATTAGCCCCTCCGTTCATCCCGACACCCGAGAGGGTGGACATCTTTCTCGTGTGCTGTCCACCGAGACCACTGGGCCCGGCGACACTCAGGCTCCTCCCGGAACCGGAACCGCCTGCGCCATAAGAGGAGCGCACTCCGTTGCTCTCGTCGTCCGGCCATGCATGACTTGCGTAGACGTACAGCAAGATATTCACAAACAGATAGAGTAAGAAGGCGATGCTGTAGAGGATCAAGATGTAGGAGACGTGCGTGACGTCCGCGTCGGAGAGAAGGTGCATTTGTTCCTCGGTCGCGCCCATGAAGAGGAAGCCGGAGGCATACAGGAGCTGTACACAATACTCATTAGCAGACCGTAACATGAATGAAGGGGAAATGCAGAGACTCACGAATGGAGGCAAGTGCTGCCAGCTATTAACCTCGCCTGAGCCACGGCTGTCCTTGAGCAAGAAGGAAATCTCCACAATTCTGGCCGCACCCGCAGCCATCAAGGTGTATCCAAACACCGTATGCACCATGGTGCTCAGAGGCAGATCCTGGGGGTGCGCGCTCATGGCCCAGCCTGTCATGAGGATGACCAGGCCAGGCAGGATATTTCTTTTTGGTCGCCCGTTCCTCGATCTCGACAGCCAAACGCCTAGCAAGCCCGCACACCACCAAACAATCCCCATGCTCGTGTGCTGCAGATCGTTCTTGACCCACGGATGGCCCCAGCGATGTTCTGTAAATGTGTTGACACAGCCCCATGCGGCGATCACGCAGCTGTCGAAGAACTCCTGGCTTCTTCCCGTCCTTCTCAACCATGCTTGACCCACGAGTAGGAGGAGAGTCATGATGACGCCGTACGCGATGAACGCCGACCCCATGATGAAGTGTGCCAAACACTGTCCCAGATGGTCACCTCGACAGTATCCCATGGCGACGATCCCTCCAAAGAGCATTTGCGCCCATGCGACAATGGGCATTAGTTTCCCCAACCAGCCGTGGATCATGACCACACCTCTCCGCCCGCCTCTTCCCATCTTCCCACCAAACACCCGTCCGATCCACCCCTTCTTCTCTTCAAGGTGCAACTTCAAACCGACACCTAGGCCAACCTGAATGAGGAGCATCAACACCAGGCTATTGGCAAAACTCGCGTGGATGTTCGGGTGGCGAAATTGTCGCCCTTTGTGCATATGTCCCAAGAAATAGGCAACGGTCGCGATAACCGTGCCCACGATTTGTAGAGGAACATGCCAACGACTCTTGATGATTCCCAAAACCATGCCATAGGGAAATATCATGCCAAATGACACAATCATGAGGAGGATGTGAATCCATAGCCGGCTGTCCAGGGGATCAGGAGAGACGGCCTCTCCTTCGGGAATCTTGTCCGTGTGGCCGCCATGAGCCGAGACAGATGAAGCGAATAAAATGAGGGGGAGTAGATATAGGAGGGGAGTTGGTTGCTGATCTCGTCGCAGGATCTGTGGGAAATACATCGCGAACCGGACGGTGCTGTGAGAAAGGGGACGAGGGGAGACTCTCGACGAAGTTGATGGGGCAGTTGTTGCCAGTTATGGGCTGAAGTACATTGTACAAGGATGCTAGATTAGCAGATTGACGATTGATGAGGTGGAAAGAGAGAAACCATCGGCTGATATGATGCTCGATTCACGTCCACGCCGCATGCGCAATAATGGCACAATGGATTGTCGTCCTGGGAAAAGATGTTGCATCTCCACAAATGGCCGGTTCATGCCGCTCCATCACGCTACATGTCTTCTCCACTTTTCATGCGTATACATAGCGAGACGTGTACCGTAATCGTCAATGCAATCGGTATCATTCGATAGAAGATGCCAACTAGTCTGGCAGATGAGGTTTGCTCGGACATTTCTGGCAACAGGATAGGGAGAAACAATACTGCAGCGTCTGGCGCATTAAAGATATCTTCATATCCAGCGTAAGCTATACATCCGTCTTCGATGGATACCGATCCTGCGTGGCGCCTCTGCTTCGTCCACCACCACGTCGCCAGATCAACACATTCACGCTTGCTTGTCGACGTAGAATTTCTCGATCTCACAAGGGAGCTCAGCTTGTCCACAGGTCGAGCAGAAGAGGAATTGCATGCTGCAGATCGTTTCCAATTTCTCGCAGGTTGTCTTGTCTGTCCTGCTCGAGTTCGTGCATTCCAACGCATCTTGCTCGCATTGAGCATTGCTTCCGAAGCATTCGACCTTGTTGGTAAATCTTTCGACTTTCGCACAGGAGTTCCTGCCCGAAACAATGCAGCCTCCCTCCGACCTTGAGCCAACGCTGATCCAAGCCGGATCCCGATACCACCGTTCGGGATTGTCATCAAGACACTCTCCGACAGTAACAGCTAACAACAGGTCAGTGAATGTTTTCGACGCGCAGAGCAGACCTGGTACGAACCTTTCCATCCTCTTTGGGAGACCACGTCCAGGATATATTTGGTAAGGTCGATGGCTGACGTGCGGACTGTATCGTGCTGGATCAGCAGCATCCTGCTTCCTTGCTCATCTCCGCTCTCTAACGCCTGGTCAACCCTCTCTGTCATTGCAGTGAAATTGTCAGGATCCATCCAGTCCCCGCTGTCGAACGCATACGAAATTACATGGTATCCAAGGTCTCTCATGTCGCTAAGACAACCGGTGTGGTTGCTGCATTGGAGGTAAGGCGGCCGCATGTATGCCGGATATTTGCCTAAGATGTTGGCGAGTGCCCTCTCGTTCTGAGCCATGTCGAGCCGGCGAGCTTGTGACCCCATCTCGTCCATGTTATCATGAGACCAAGTGTGGGAGGCAATTTGGTGCCCCTCCAGGACCATACGCTTGATCACATCCGTCCACTTGCGCGTCGTGTCGATGGGACCTTTGCCGTTGCTATTCCCTGTAATGAAGAAGGTTGCCTTTGCACCAGCTTCGTCGAGAATATCCAGCAGCTCATCGGTGTTTTGTGATGGACCATCGTCATATGTAAGGGCAATAGTTTTAGGAACGTAGCAGTTGCGAATGGGTTGCCCATATGCGATCTGGCCTTCCTCTCCTCTTGGATCCACTGACATATTGTACCCTGCTGGAGTGGTGTCAGAGTCGCAAATGCCAAATTCTTGTTGGCAATTTACTGGGACAGCACAGAAATCAAGACCAGTCCCCTAAGCCGAGTCAGCAAAGCGACACATTTTCCAAGGAACAGTCACCAACGCAATAATCAAAGCGAGAACAACACTGCGGAAAGGGGCAGGAGCTGTTGCCGTTCGATGGACCACATCTCTCCTGCGTGCAAGTTCCAAAAGCTGGTTGGCACCCTTCGCCGCAGAATTCGCTGGTGATACCCTGCTTCGGTCAATACCTCTTTCTTGCGTGGGACAACGAGACGAACACATAGACCGTCTGAAGAACAACACTGTCCGGCACTGCAATGTTGTCCATCATTATTCGGACCACAATACTCGACGGTAGTAGCACGATTTGTGCCTTCACTTGCATCGCATATTCTGCAGCGACGTCAGGTCTCGTCAGACTATATTGTCTTTCTGTAAACTTGCCCGTATTGCTCTTGACAGCCTTGACCGCAATAAAGCGTTCCATTACCTAGAAGGAATATGATCAGCTGTCGTCCGAATGGTGTGAACAAAGATGTGGTACCACAGAACCCCTATCAACAGTCAGAACAAATCTCGGGACATAGTTGACTCAACACACATATGATGAGCAGCACCATCCACTGCCAGGAGCATTTGGATCGCACGCCACTCCAGTCACATTTCCGCAAACGATTTGCTTCGGTTGCTCGCTCTCAGCGTTCAATAATGTAGATTGCTGGTCGTCAGAGTCAAGACTTGAGGGGGTTAGAGCATCAACGGGAGACGTCTCCTCTGCTTTGGCCAACCACATTGGCGCATGGAGAACAGCGAACAGAAGGGAACGGGGTTTCATCGTGACGTGAAACTGCGTCGAGCTGGAAGGGGAGCCAACGATGTGCACAGAGAGAGTCAGCGGCTAAAGAGCAATCGACGATATGAAATAATGAATGCAGCCGTATCGATGCAGGCGAGCTCGACAAAACTTCAGAACGAAGGATGACCAGTGCAACGATGGCGTAAACGGGGCAGAGAGAGATGACCACAGAGGACAAAAGGTGTTAACTTGAACTGTCCAGGGCAACGCCCACGTCGAAGGCGCGAGGCGCCTGCTCTCAAGGAGGATCATTTCCTGACAGCAGGAAGCGATGGCCGTCATGAGGCTCACCGGCAGAGCATCGCAACAGCAGGAGCAGACATCATAGCTTCATCCCAAGTTTCCCGTGTACTCAATTGCAGTGTCTTCGTCTCGCGTCAATTCGTCTCCCATAGTTGCTAAGCGAAGCAGTACGACTGTTCTAAAAATCCCGCAAGCATTAATTTATTTTTGAAGCCCCATCTAACCCAGACTGCTCATTGAAAAGATCCTGGTATATCGTTAGGGTTCCCCTTAGATTCTTCAGTGGGCGTCACTGGTACGGAATGGAATGCAGAGTCGGTGGCTTCCTGAGTTGATGTTGGTGTGAGGACGTGGCCGCCCTCGTGCTTTTGTTCAGCATCGCCGTTCAAATCAATTTTGTCAAAGCCATCAACGGGCGCCTGTGTTTCCGAGGAAGGGGATGCTACGCGGCCAGGATTCCGTGGTGGTAATGCTGGAGGCACACGTTTGGGAACTTCAACCACTCTCGCACGGGCCATGACTGGCACAGCTGTCGAGACCTCGACATCAGAATCTACGTCTGAGAACGATTCTCTGCGCTCCTGTCGCTCTTCGCCCGCTTCGTCCACGAGTTGGCTGTGCTTCTTTGGAAAGTCAAGTCCTCTCATCGAGGTCCTTCGAGGGCTGTTTCCAGCACTTTTCGTTTCGTCCTCGTCGGTCTGGGTACCTCGATCGACACTAGCGAGGCTGTGAGTGCTTTCTCTCCAAGTCCGACTCCGAATTGAGCCATCGACGCTTCGACGTGAGAAATGAGAGTAGATCGGGCTGGTGGGTGATGGCTTGAACTCGAAAGCATCTGCACTGGGCCGTTGATGAGTTCCGGCCTCTCGGATATTCAATCCTTCAGCCTCCAGGGCTTTCACTCCATATGGATCTGGATCATCCTCGGCTGGGATACCAAAGGTACTTCCTCCTGTAGCCAGTCAGTAACCTGATCGAAGCCGGTTCTCTAACTCTCACCTGGTGGCATGATTTCCATGTCACTCGGAGCCGGAGCATCCGGGAGCAAGCTGTCATCTACCTCGTCACCTTGAGCAGCCTTCAAGGTGTCGAGAAGGACCTGGTACTGCTCAACAGGTGCATATCGAACCTTGCCAACAAGGATATCTGTGACACTGATCTGTTCTCCATAGAATCTTGCATTCTCGTCGGTACGTTCAATAACAAGATTCCCTTCCAAGGCGACTCCAGCATAAAGACCGCGACTCTTCACGTATGACCAAATAGGAGCCTGGCGTTTTGTCAATTCGGTATCGAGAGCGCCGCCGATTCCAACGGGGCCTGCTGCAACCCCGACCTCAGTCCCCAAGGTAGTCCTCCACTTTGTGAAAGCTCCCAGGGCTTCGTATGTGTTGATGACAAGGACTGTATCGTAGATGTCGACTCCTGCGAGGAACCCAAAGGAAAGATTTTGCGTCTGGATGCCACTGGGAGGACTCCATTCCCCAGTCTCTGGATGCCTGCCGACAAGAATGCCAGCACCGCCAGAGCCACCGAAGAGCCACCCGGTTCGCATGGTTGTGAATATAGCCAACCCGACAGCATTTTTTATGACACTCGCCGGAATCTTTTTCATAACCCTTTGTTTGCCTTGCGGGACACCCACCGTTGTTGCATTCCGCTCTTCTACTTTCTTGGCCTCCTTCTCTTCTATCTGCTCATAGAAGCCGTCCTTGCAGAACCCACGCAGAATCCGAGCCGCCTTTTCTGATTCTTTGTCTAAGGTGGTGGGCCAAAATGCTTCGGAACCGACTTTATTTGACAAGCGATTGACAGGGGCTCCCAGTTTGTCAACAACCGCATAGGCTTTGTTGAAACCTGGTTTGAGGGCTTTCTCGTAGGCGGTATTGGAATATCCTTTGGTTTTTTCCCACACCGTCGATGTCCCAGACGTTGTTCTGGTTGAGCTCTTGGTGATCGAAGTATCCAAGGCTGGACTCTGCGCCGGTTGCGCCATGGCACCGGGTCAGGTTTGACAACGTGATGGTTTGCGGGGGGATTAGTCGTCAGATGGTCAGGGTAAACGGCGCACGCAGGATGCTCTTACTGTGTGAGAGCAGGTCACTTGGAGAACAATTGGACTCGGTGATTGGGAGCAAGGAATCTAGGACGGTTCAGTCGCGCGCAGCCAACCTTTGAACTCTCGAGGACTATTTGGGCAGTTTGACCAGCCAGTAATCCGGTTGCTGCCGGGTACGCAATAAAAGAATAGGAAGCAGACAGGCAGGGCAACTAAGTGGTTAGACGTCATTGGCCTCAAGCGCTTTTGTTGCGGGCAGAGGCATATCTTAGTCAGGACGCCCGTGATGCCCGCAGTTGGTACCTAATGAGTGCGTAACACAAGACTAGGCGAGCGGGCTAGCTAGCGCCCAGAAGTCGTGAGTTGGGGGCTTCCACGTGGGCCTAGTGAGCCTAGGAGCCTAGGGGTCCAGAGAGAGGGAGACACCAAAAAAGGCTGCTGGTCTGACAGAATCACATGCCTTTGACGGCACGAGTTTGACTGTGCTACTGTATCTCTGACTTGGGTAATTGCAAACTCCTATGCAAGACCAGTACACGGCTAACTCGAGTTGATCTCATCTCTCAGTGGCCATGTATCTTTGTGTTTGAAGCAAGTACACAACCTGACGCTTTCACCTGACAAGCTGGTTATCCTGCGTGTCAGAAGCCAGAGGAGCAAACAGCAGGTGCTGCACCTCGGCTCGTCAGAGAACCGTTTGTTCGACTAATCATATCTGGACGTTGGCGGAAATATTCAAATCAGTCTTCAATCCGTCGTCGAAACCCCAGCGAACCTCAACCTTTCACGAAATCAACTATTTGTCTCGTGCCTACAGCGATCAATCAACCATGCCACCGATCCCACCTCTTTTCGTGCTCCAAGTTCCGCCGACGTTGAATGCCGGCTCAAATGCTCAAGGCGAGCAAGGAAACTTCATTTGCACCCAGGCCGCTCCTCAAGTATACCTACTGTCCTTCTCCAGCCCGCCGGACAACCGTCTCACTCCCGCCTTCAATCAAACATTCCTGCTGGCACTTGACATTATCGAGCACCGTCTCCCTCGGGGAGTGGTCATAACGACCTCATCCATCACCAAGTTCTATTCCAATGGGCTGGACTTTGAGAATGCTATCAAGGACCCGACTTTCTTCCCAAACAGTCTTTATCCCTTGTGGCGTCGTTTGATCAGTTATCCAATGCCCACAGTGGCATTGATAAATGGCCATGCTTTCGCCGGCGGCTTGATGACCGCCATGATGCATGATTATCGCATCATGAACCCTCACAAGGGGTTTTTGTGCCTGAACGAACTGGATTTTGGTGCAGCTCTTCAACCGGCCATGGCAACAGTGTTTCGAGTGAAGTTAAACATGACGACTTTCAGGAATATGGTTCTGGAGAGCAGAAGATTTCCCGCCCTGGAGGCCTTGAAAGAGGGCATCATTGATGGCGTTGGGGGTGTTGAAGAGACGCTCGCCTTCATTTCGGAGATGAAGCTGGCTCAGAAGGCTCAAGGAAAGTCATATGGTCTGATCAAGGAGGAGCTATACCGAGAGGTGATCAAAGACCTAGACGAAGGCGCTGATGCCCGCGCAAAGCTAGCCGCGAGAGATCTAGATCGCAACCGTCGGGGACTGGAATCCAGGAGAAGGGTCGACGAGTATCAGGCGGTGGTGCAGAGGGCGAAACTCTGATCACAAGCAGGCATCGGGTGTAACAACTGTTGAATGCGTCAGAGGTTATCCTCCGGAATGTTTTCGGGTTCCCGTGCCTATGTAACAGGATTGGGAACCGGTGAAAGTGGCAGGCTGCAGTGATTACCAGTGTAATGGCTGGATTGATGAACCAGAGCCATCCCCCCATGCCTTGTGGTCCATCGTGCTGAGCTACACAGACATCGAGACTTGAACCTCGATATCGGACATTGAAATACCATAGCCAGTTGATACCGGATCCTGGTATTCTGTGACTAGCATCATTGAACGTTATCTATAACTCACCTGATTCTTCGTATACTCTCGTGCGATAGATAGTGATAACTACCGATATCCTGTAGATATGAGTATTGAGTAATTGCCAATTGGGGATACTCCGTATTATGTGCGAATGAACCCAGGTGCACAAGCAGAGTTTTATGCACCGTTTATGCAAGTCTCACAGAGAGTGGATACTGACTAACTGTGACTGGTAAGAAACGCGGAATACGAGCCTCAACAAACCGTAGGCAACCAAGACACCCCGCGTCTTTGCCGGGTGGCCAGTCGGCTACGGGTCCTAGGCGCCGACTCCCGTAGGATACGGGGACTCATAGGGGCAACAGCCCGCCTGAAGGCCGCCCACGGCGCAATCTTTCAGGCATCTGCTCGTACTGGGTCATCGCTAAACTCGCATGCAATACCTAGGCAAAGGTTACCCAAGGCCCGGCTCCACAATTACGCTCACCCCCTTCACCAATCGACTCGTTGCTTCGCATTATTATTTTGAGTTACCCGAGACTGTCATCTTGAAAGTCCGTCTTCCACGAGGCGTTGGATCTCTTTTCATTGTTTTCGGGCCCGAGATATTGTCCTTGGTGCCTGTTTTTCGTGTACATATCATCGTCATTCACCTTCTGTCCATTCTTTCTCTAATACGTCCGCTCCTTTGACTCTCGCATATAAAGAAACTCCGATAGGAATTACAACGGTTCGCAGCCACAATCCTTCAGATTTCGCGCTCGAAATCCGTCGATCTGCTAAAGGCACACACACTCGACGTATCTACGCGGCTGCGAATTTGCCCCTCGCATATCCTTCTTACTGTTCAGTTTCCCCTTCATCCATCATGCTCTGCTAGCTTTCGCTCAGAAGCCTCATTTCATAATACGGTGCCGTGAGAAGGCCTCAACATGAACCCGAGTGGCCAGGGCGAATTGCCTGGCGGCGCGGCCGCCGTTGAACACAACATTGAAGAGAAGGAAAGATCACAACTGGGAATTGTTACAGACCAGCAAAAAGACACTGAGCCGCTCTCTGAGAAGAGTGCTGCTGCTCCAGTCAGCCCATCTACCCCTATCTCTGGCCATGCCAAATCTCCCACGACTGCTGTCTCGCCTACGTCGCCTACATCCCAGTCCTCTGACTCGGATAATCGTCCAGACCTCTCCAAGCTGGACTCCAAGATTGTTCAGGTTCGAGATGTCCCAGAGGGCGATGCGGCATTGTCCCATTTACCAGAGCATGAAAGGGCGGTTCTGAAAAAGCAGTTGGATGTGCCAGACGTGAAAGTCACCTATTGGACGCTATACCGCTATGCCACAAAATGGGACAAGGTCTTCATTGTCATAGCATGCATATGCGCAATCGGCGCCGGCGCCGTATTGCCTCTGATGACCGTTGTCTTTGGTAATCTCAGTGGTACTTTTCAGGGCCTGGTCCTCAACAATCTCTCATCAAGTTTCGATTCCACTTTAACTCGATATTGCCTCTACTTTATCTACCTGGCGATTGGAGAGTTCTTTCTCGTCTATATTTCGACCGTTCTCTTCATCTACACGGGCGAGCACATTACTTCGAAAGTTCGCGAGCAATATCTGAGAGCAATCTTGCGACAGAATATCGGATTTTTCGACAAGTTGGGAGCCGGAGAAGTCACAACTCGCATCACCGCGGATACCAATCTAATACAAGAGGCCATCAGTGAGAAGGTCGGCTTGACCTTGACTGGTGTAGCCACATTCTTCTCCGCGTTTGTTATTGGCTTCGTCAAATATTGGAAACTCACTTTGATCTGCACCTCCACGGTATTCGCCATCGTGCTGGTTATGGGCTCTGGAGGCAGAAAGATGGCCGGATGGAACAAACAGTCTTTAGCAGCATATGCACTAGGAGGCTCAGTGGCGGAAGAAGTACTGGCCTCGATCAGAAACGCCGTCGCCTTCGGTACTCAGGACAAGCTTGCGAAGCAGTACAACATCCACCTGCTCGAGGCTCGAAGGTGGGGGATTCGAAGCAAGGCCGCCCTGGGCTGCATGATAGGCGCCATGCTGTGTATTCTGTTCTTGAACTACGGTCTCGCATTTTGGATGGGTTCGCGATTCCTGGTCAACGGTGAGACTACTCTTGCCCACATTTTAACCATTATTTTTGCCGTCATGATCGGTGCGTTCTCCTTTGGCAACGTCGGGCCCCATATGCAACATTTTGCAGCCGGTGTTGGCGCAGCGGCAAAGATTTATTCGACAATCGACCGAGCTTCCCCAATTGACCCTCTCTCTGACGATGGCCAAAAACTGGATCAAGTTGAGGGGACGATCGAATTGCGCAATGTCAAGCATATTTACCCTTCGCGAGCTGAAGTCGTGGTCATGGAAGACATCAACCTAGTCATACCCGCGGGCAAAACCACCGCACTCGTCGGAGCTTCTGGATCTGGTAAATCGACCATAGTCGGGTTGGTAGAGCGGTTTTACGATCCTGTGGGGGGTGTTGTCCTCCTTGACGGGCACGACCTCAGCACGCTCAACCTGCATTGGCTTCGACAACAAATCGCCCTCGTTCAACAAGAACCTATCCTCTTTAGCCAGACCATCAAGGAAAATATCAGAAACGGACTCGTCGGGTCCAAATACGAGAATGAGTCAGAGGAGCAGCAAACACAACGTATCATTGATGCCGCAAAACAAGCAAACGCTCACGATTTCATTTCCTCGCTGCCTGACGGCTACGAGACGCACGTCGGTGAACGTGGTTTCCTTTTGTCTGGCGGTCAAAAACAACGTGTCGCTATCGCACGAGCCATCGTCAGTGATCCGAAAATCTTACTCTTGGACGAGGTGAGTATTGCAGAATAGCCCTAAACACGAAACAGTCCATACTAACGGTGATCCCATAGGCTACAAGCGCTTTGGATACGCGTTCCGAGAAAGTGGTGCAACAGGCACTGGACACTGCAGCCAAAGGTCGAACTACTATTGTGATTGCCCATCGATTGTCGACAATCAAAACTGCCGACAACATTGTGGTCATGCAGCAAGGACGCATTGTGGAACAAGGCACGCATGACGAGCTTGTAGAGAGAAAACAGGCTTACTTCAACCTGGTCTCTGCTCAGCGCATTGGTAGTGACGAGGATGACCAGTCTGTGGAAGAAGCCGTTGCCAGCGAAGCAGAACTCACCAAGATCCAATCTACCAGATCCGGTAGTGCTGGGATGGCAGACCCCGATGACGAGAAGCTTGCGCTTGGTCGAACAAGAAGCGGGAAATCAGTGTCCTCCAACGTCCTCGCCGAGAAAAAGAGGGATACGGAAGCTCGCTATTCGCTCTGGACCCTGATCATGTTCATCGCACGCTTCAACCGAAAAGAATGGTGGATCATGTGTATTGGATTCTTCTTCACAGCTATTGCAGGAGCCGCTCAGCCAGTACAGGGCATTTTCTTCGCCAAATGCATTGTGGCACTATCTCAACCACTTTCTCTCCGCCACCAGATTCGTCACGATGTCGATTTCTGGTGCTTGATGTATCTGATGCTGGCTTTTGTGGATCTAATCGCCATGTGCATACAGGGCATCGCCTTTGCCTATTGCAGTGAGAGCTTGGTTCAGCGCGCTCGAGACGGCGCTTTCAGAAGATTCTTGAGGCAAGACATTGCCTTTTTTGACGAGGACGAAAACTCTACAGGCGCCCTCACGTCTTTCTTGTCGACCGAGACCACCCATCTTGCATCCATTTCTGGAGCGACGCTCGGAACCTTGATAAGCTGTTCGTCAACTTTGATCATTGCGGTTGTGGTGGCACTCGCGATCGGCTGGAAATTGTCACTGGTCTGCATGTGCGCATTGCCTGTCATCCTTGGGACGGGCTTCGTCAGGTTCTGGGTCCTTGCCAAATTCAGTGCAATCAACCAGAAACACTACGAAAAGTCAGCTGGATATGCCTGCGAGCATACCAATGCCATCCGGACTGTTGCGTCCTTAACGACCGAGCGTGAAATCTATGGCGAGTACAGACGCCAGCTTCGAGACCAGTTGGGCGACTCTCTCAAATCGAATCTGAAGCACTCCTCGCTGTACGCCGCATCGCAGTCGGCCATGTTTTTGGCATTTGCGCTCGGCTTCTGGTACGGAGGCAAACTCTTGGTCCGAGGCGAATACACCTTGTTTCAATTTTTCATTGTCTTTTCAGAAATCATCTTTGGCGCACAATCAGCAGGCACCGTCTTCTCGTTTGCAGGAGATATGTCCAAGGCAAAGAACTCCGCCGCCGAGTTGAAGAAGCTCTATGACCGTCAACCTGCCATCGATGCGTGGTCAGACGACGGCGCACCAATCACTCAAGTCGAAGGAACCATTGAGTTCCGTGATGTGCATTTCCGATATCCCACACGACCCGAGGTCCCGGTCCTCCGAGGCCTCAACCTAACCGTCAAACCTGGACAGTACGTTGCTCTTGTTGGCGCGTCCGGATGTGGCAAGTCGACAACCATTGCACTGTTGGAGCGTTTCTACGACCCACTTGCCGGTGGTATTTATGTTGATGGTCAAGAAATTTCGAGCCTCAATATCAATGACTACCGCTCTCATCTTGCCCTGGTGTCTCAAGAGCCGACACTGTACCAAGGAACCATCAAGGACAACGTCCTCCTCGGCGTTGACCGAGGTGAAATTAGCGACGAGCAGATCATCCGAGCCTGCAAGGACGCTAACATCTATGATTTCATCATGTCTCTACCAGACGGCTTTGCCACGGATGTCGGCAGCAAAGCCGCCTTACTCTCTGGTGGCCAGAAACAGCGCATTGCCATTGCCCGTGCTTTGCTCCGTGATCCTAAAATTCTCCTGCTTGACGAAGCTACCTCAGCATTGGACTCGAATTCTGAGAAGCTCATACAAGCAACCCTGGATTTCGCCGCGAAAGGCAGAACCACAGTTGCTGTAGCACACAGGCTGAGCACGATTCAAAAAGCGGATGTCATTTACGTATTCGACAAAGGTGTCATCGCTGAGAAGGGCACCCACCACGAATTAATGGCACTGAAGGGAAGGTATAGAGAGCTAGTGAGTCTGCAGAGTCTAGAAAAGCAGCGGTGATTTAGGGAAGCGGGTGGATCTTCAAACACAGCGGGTTTATTGGGATGGACCGCGAATGGCCGATATCGTGATTTAATTATTTTGTTTGTGAATTTTGCACAGGCACCTCTTCGCTCCTGTCCTATGGATCTTGTCAGTTGTGGAAGTACATACCTCATTGACTACGAATTCGCAAAACACAAAATAAGGCCGTTCCTTGTGTGGTTAAGGACTCGCCAACCAGGAGGTAATGACATGTAGTGAGATAGAGCAGATGGGACCGACCAAACCAGAGAATCACTGATTCCAGAGGGCCGAAGAACGTTCAGTATATCTGAGAGGTAGAGCCACTCCCCGTTGAGCATTGGTAGAGAAGACAAGCAGGGAATAATAATGGGAGTCAACCTTGAAAAGCGTGCCGAAACCAGGACGGTAAAGAGAAAACAGAACCTCGGCTCATTAACCGCGTAGCTTGGGGGCTGTCGGGGACAATGAGGTCGTCCTTCTACTTGAGAGAGTCGAGAGTCTTGCTCAAAGAGGATCTGTGCCTGAATGGATAGACATCGAGATGGCATGAAGAACGGGGGATGTGATTCGGAGGATATTGGGTAGCGGGATCCGCATGGAGGTAGTACAGGATGCTTAGGCGGTGTCTTAATAGCAGATCATACCGTTACTACTCCGTCCGACCATCCATTCACGTCAGTCCCGCTCGTCTATCCCTCGTTCTTCCATCACGTCCTGTAGTCTGCGGCCTTCCTTCTCCGCGATCAGCCCCAGCATCTCCATGGCGACGTCCTTGATCTCGTTGTACGTCGTGAGCAGCGAAATGTGTTTGTTGATGATCGAGTGGGCATGAACGAGGGCGGCTTTCTCGTCTTCCACGGACATCGACGTAGGAATGGTGGTAGAGTCGTGCTGCTGCTGGACAATTTCCGGAACAGATCCTTGTTGAGAGGAGGAGGAGGAGGATCTTCGATTTGATCCCTGTTTATTCTCGTTTGCAGTTGACGCTGAAGTAGAGTAGGACTTGAGCTGCGTGATTTCTCGGAGCTTCGTGGATAGGCGTGCCTCTGTGGTGGAGATGTTGGATCTCAACTGCTCAATGGATGCCAGGAGCTTGGCCTGCTTCGCATCGGAAGCAGCCTTGTGGCTTTGGTCTGATGTCGACAACGAGGTTGGTAGTTCCTTGACGATGGATTGGACTTCCGCTTGTGGTGCTTGAGGACTTTGTTTTTGGTGTGATGTTGGGATAGGTAGCTCGTGGCCATTCGACTGGTTGGAGGAGTACCTATCGTCCTCCATATTCGACAACTACCTCGAGTTCTGTTATCGAGGGGTCGGGAGATGTTTGATACAGGAGTCGTCAGCCGCACTTGCTTGGTGTGTCGAATGCCCTTTGATCGCGCTGTCTCACCATGCTCTGAGACGAGGTCAGAAGACCTTTGTCAACTTAGAATCGCAAGATTTCGGCTTCAATGCATTGTGTGTTTCGAGGCATTGTCATTATGTGGGAAAGAAGAACATATCCGTATCCAGTGTTCGATGACACTCCTTTGTTCTCACGAGCAAAGCGAGGCACAAGTGAGGGGCGTCAGCCTCGTGACGGAGACCTGAGCGATGAATTGAGCAAAGATGAATGAATCCCTTCGAGGAAAATACATTGAAAGTTACATTCCCTTGATAGTGCACACTGCAGTGACTACAGACATGCTCTACCAGCTGCGAATTTCCAGCTCTTGAAAATGATTGTCTTCAGTGCATCATCGTCACATTCCTTTTGCATGGTAGTTTTCGTTGATGATGTCAGACGCCTCCATTTTTCTCTAAACCCCACTTCTAGACATGGGGATATGCAGCGGAATTACTGTCAGACATAAAATATCTCTCAGATCAACTTTCCACCTACTGACAAACTGCGCCCACATCGAAAACAATCTTCTGCGACTCCTCTTTTGGACAAATTCTAATCCACCGGTGAGTCGAGGACGCGCCGGCCTCGATGGAGACTCTTAGACTCCTATTGTATCCTTGATTGCTCGGGGATTCGGCTCCAGACAACGCGCCGCCATGTTCACCATCACTCCCTTGCTCGGGGCGCAGAGCACGTCTCGAGCGTCGCAGTCGATCCTTGAGTTGGATGGTGGAATCAAAATCTTGGTGGATGTGGGATGGGACGAACGGTTCGATACTCGACAACTGGCTGAGATAGAGAAACACGCCTCTACTCTATCCTTTATCCTCCTCACCCATGCCACCACTTCTCACTTGGGCGCCTTTGCGCACTGCTGCAAACACATCCCCGTCTTCACCCAGATCCCCGTCTACGCCACGCCGCCCGTCATCGCCTTCGGCCGCACCCTCCTCCAAGACCTGTATTCGTCTTCCCCGCTGGTGGCTACCTTTATTCCCGGCTCGGGTTCTCCTGAAGATGTAACTAGCGTCGACGACAAGTCGCGGTCACATATCCTGCGCCAGGCTCCGACATACGAAGAGATCAACAAGTATTTTACATTGATCACTCCTCTCAAATACTCGCAACCTCATCAACCCACACCTTCTCCGTTTTCCGCCCCGATCGAGGGTCTCACACTGACGGCTTATAATTCCGGTCATACCTTGGGCGGCACAATATGGCACATACAATATGGGATGGAGTCTGTAGTCTACGCCGTGGATTGGAACCAAGCCCGAGAGAATGTTATAGCAGGGGCCGCGTGGTTTGGAGGAGTTGGGGGTGCCGAAGTCATCGAACAACTGCGCAAGCCTACCGCCCTCGTCTGCAGCAGCATTGGGGCGACAAGAGCCGCACTGTCCGGGGGTCGGAAGGCCCGTGACGAGGCTCTGCTGGCGCATATCAAGGTCTGTGTTGCTAAGGGTGGCACAGTTCTCATTCCTACCGACTCGAGCGCGAGAGTATTGGAACTAGCTTGGATCCTGGAAAAAGCATGGTCCGACCCATCCAATGCTGTCTCCCTAAAACCTGCCAAAGTATACCTAGCCAGTCGGTCCGGCAATGCGACGCTTCGACATGCAAGAAGTCTGCTCGAATGGATGGACGACAGCATTGTGAGAGAATTCGAGGGCGAGGACGAAAATCCAGCTCCCACGCAGATGCACAGAAGAAGTGGCAGTAAGCAGATCAATGGCGCGAGCAAACCTTCACGGCCTTTTGAGTTTAAGAACGTCAAGATTGTGGAGCGCAAAAGCCAACTGGAAAGGATGCTGAAGGCAGAAGGGGCCCGAGTCATCCTTGCGAGTGATGTGACAATGGATTGGGGTTTTTCGAGGTCACTGTTGGATCATGTGGTCCAAAGGCCCGAGAATCTGGTGGTTTTGACCGAACGAGTAAACATGCGTCCCGGGTCGCAAAGCCCAAGTCAGGTATTCTGGACTTGGTACGAAGACCGTCAGGATGGCGTCGCTCTCGAAAAAGGGCTGCCAACAGGAGAATGGTTGGAGCAGGTCCAGAGTGGAGGTAAAACGCTCAAGCTACGAAATTCAGAGAAGGCACCACTGAATTCACAAGAGAATCAAAGGTACCAACAATACATGGCGACTCAAAGACAGCTGCAAGACTCTCTGACTTCAGCCAACGAGCGAGACCAGGCTGGTGCGGACGACAATATCGATGATGAATCCAGCTCAACATCCTCAGACGAGTCAGACGACGAACAGCAGGGCCGTGTACTGAATGTGTCGGCCGCTCTCGGTCACGGAGCACGGAATAAGCTGGCACTGAGCGATGCAGATCTGGGAGTCAACGTTCTTGTTCGCAAAAAAGGCGTGTATGATTACGATGTACGGAATAAGAAGGGACGGAACAGTCTTTTCCCCTATACACATTCGCGAAGGCGCGGAGACGAGTTTGGGGATTTCATCAAGCCGGAGGATTTCTTAAGAGAAGAGGAGAAAGAAGACCAAGACACGGCCAACGACACCAAGTCCGGGGGCCAGCTCGGACAGAAGCGGAAGTGGGACGAGGCGAATGATACCAGGCACTCACAACACAAGAAAAGTCGAACAGTATTTGCGCCGGCAGCATCTGGCGATTCCGCAGCAGATTCAGACGCAGAGAATTCCGATGAGGACGTCCAAGTGGAACGGGAAGGATTCCAGGGACCGGCAAAAGTGGTATATTCGACCTCTGAGATCACGGTCAATGCCAGGCTGGCCTTTGTCGACTTTGCTGGACTGCACGATCAACGCAGTCTGCAAATGCTGATACCGTTGATTGGACCCAAAAAGTTGATTCTTGTCGGTGGCAATACTTCAGACACTCTTGCTCTGGCCACTGATTGTAAAGAGCTTCTCGGGATGAAAGTGGCGGGAGCAGGAGAGGAACCATCCACGGAGATCTTTACTCCTGCAGAGGGTCAAACTGTGGATGCCAGTGTCGACACGAACGCGTGGGTCGTCAAGCTCAGTCGCAACCTGGCAAAGACGCTCCGTTGGCAAAATGTCAAAAACATGGGAGTGGTGACCATCCAAGGTCAACTCAAGGGCGAACCGAGGGGAGACAACCTGCAGGAGGATCCTCAGACCAAAAAACAGAAATTTGATACAGACGTGTCTCTTGCCGCTGGCCCTCGGCCGGTGTCCTCTGTCGAACCGGTGCTCGATGTTCTCCCAGCAAGCCTGGCTGCGTCGACAAGATCTGTCTCCCATGCGATCCACGTCGGCGACCTGCGTCTAGCTGACCTGCGGAGAATGATCGCATTGGACGGTCATGTCGCTGAATTCCGAGGTGAGGGCACCTTGCTGGTCGACGGCATGATAGCAGTACGAAAACTCGGCACCGGGAGGATCATCCTGGAAGGGGTGCCAGTCAGCTCCACTGCCATGACTCCGAGCAAGATGGATGATTTCACGCGTGTGAAGCAGAAAATCTATGACGGACTCGCAGTGGTTGCCGCCAGTTGAGGTCCAGCTCCAGTGAATACTGGTCACAAGCCAACTTTTGGTTTGCCATTTTTTTCCAGTCCATGCTGTTACTTTTCTATCACCACACGACACTCGACGTCGACGGCCCAATTCCGCAGTTGCTCGAGGCCAGTGCTGGTCCTTTTCGACAAGGGCGCTGCTGTCCTTCGAGCTGCTCCCATGGAAGAGCTTGCAGACGACTTCTGCTTCCTTTGGCTACGTCCCCCAGAGATGTCTCTCGCAGTCATGCTACGTCTCTTCAGTGACATTGTGGCAATTACCAACACAGTCTGACTGCGTTTCTTTGTCTCCACTGCGCAACCATGACATGAAGGCGGTCGTTTGCAGAGGCCAGGACTCCTCAACAGTCAGAGCGTGATTAGAGTGATAGAGGATCATGGCAACCCTGTTTATATAGTATTCTACATGTCCCTCGTTCTTTGAATGCCACGGTCCAAACGGTATTTGACACTTGGCCTAAGTCTGCTCACCCTGTCTCTTGCTTAAAAGTCTCATATCCTCGTCGACGACCTCAACCATGGCGTGTGCACCACCTCCTTACTATCCCTTTGCAATGCCACTTCCAGCCCAAGGACCTGGCCTGATTGGCAAGACTGTTTACCATTACATGACGCGTGATGGGGGGCCACCGAACAAGGGCGCACCTCCAAGCGGACCACCATCTTCTGCCGGTGGTGGTGGTGGTGGTCCTCCTCCTCCTCCGCCGTATTCTTTGATGTCTCCCTGTCAAGGACCATTTTGTCCTCCTCCACCGAGTCAGCCTGGTCCATTTCTCATTCCCCCAGGAAATGGATTCCCTGGAGCAGTGTGTGTGCCTGACGGGCCACCGCCGCCTCCTCCAAATGCGCCCACGTGGTATCCAGCACCACCACCACCTCCTCCCCCTCCTCCTCCAATGTCAGGATTCCCTCCTGCGCCTCCCCCTCCAGCATCAAGTGTTGTAGGAGCAGTCGCCCACGCCGCCTCTCAAGCACCAGAACCACCGGTCAGTGGAAACCGAGTCAAGGATCGACTTCTGGTGGTCAAGGACAGTGGAGGGCACGGACACGTCGCCTCCAAACACGTTGCGACATTCCATCTTTTCACCTACAATGTCATTGACAAGTACTCGGTGAATGCGCACAACCAGTTTTACATTCCACCGCAGTCGTGCGAGCCATTCCGCGTCATGACGGCAGCGTATTCGATGCCCATCGAGGAACTGATTGAGCAGTTGGATTGCGTCCGAGTTGCGCCACCGGTATACCCACGCTATGCGATCGGACTGGCGGAGGCATTTGATATCGGCAATGGGTGGTTTCAAGTCGGCAGCAAGTTCCACCTGGACGAAGATAAGTCCAAGCAGACCATCAAGGAGGCCTGGAGCAACAACATTGGAGAGGCGGGCGAGTCACGACCCAAGTATCTGATCCGGTTGCCGGGCAAGCAACCCGGTTCGTGATGCTTTGTGTGTTGGCCATCGATCATCACACATATTATCTTACAAGTTTGCTACAAGTTACAAGGGCCAAATCATCGACACGCGTACAAGACTGGACTGGATTGGACAACATCAACGGGGACGGACATTTGCGGCACTGATACAAGACAATGACTGGCTGGTCGGATAGTCCTGCCTGGTACAGTTAAAGGACTTGGCCGTTGTGCTCACGGGCGACCCTGGGCCATGGTTTCTTGCCCAAATTGCGCAATTCACGAGGATTCGTCGAATATCTCTGAGCTCTCTTGCCTCTTTGGGGATTCAGCGTGTCTCGCAGTGGTCTCTCGAGGCCCGCATTGAGTGAACAAGCAGAGCTGATGGATTGTGTTGCGGTGGATCTCGGGCTTGATAGAGCAGCCAAGGTGTACCAGTTACGAGTATATTGAGCAAGTCTGGCAGTTCACAAGTAATTCATGGCTTTTGCATCCCGGGCCGGACCATTCAGATAAGGGCCCCCTTGGTTTGGGAGGCGGGAGGCACGAGGGTTGGTCGAGACTTTGGAAGTTCCAGGGTCTGTCTCCATGTGCAGAACGTACCAAATGGATAATTAATATCTACGTAGTTGGAGATGATGATAATATACATATCAATCACTCCTTCACCTCTTTCCTGTTTTTTTTCCCAACTTTCATCTGGTCCAATTCATTCTCTGTCTCTCTCTCTCTCCTCCCTTGGTATTTCTCCCAACCATGGCAGCCATCTCCCAAGACTTCTCTTCCCAGCCGTCGACGGCCTCCTCTCCCGTCGCCCACCCACTATGCCCGCTCACCGCGGCGGAGATATCCACCACGGCTGAGCTGGTGAGATCCGTGTGGCCCTCGACGATCGACCTCCGCTTCAAGGTGATTACGCTGGACGAACCGTCCAAGAAGTCCATGATCCCCTACCTCGACGCCGAGCATTCATCCGCCGGGTCGTCGTCTCTCCCCGCCATCCCACGCAAGGCCTTTGTGTCCTACTACATCCGCAACACCAACCGCTTCCACGAGGCCGTGGTCAATCTGTCCAGCCGCACCGTCGAGAGCAATGTCCGATTGGGCCCCAACCAGCATGGCAACGGCGACTACGACGAGATTCTCCAGGTGGAGAAGAACGCACTCGAGGACGAGGCCGTCAAGGAGGCACTCAAGAAGTTGAAGTTGCCAGAAGGAACCGTCGTGTGTGCCGACCCTTGGATCTACGGTAAGCCTTTGTACTTTCGCTAGACCTGTGTCATTGTTCGCCCTTTCTTGTGGTTGGTGCCTTGCCCTGGTGATGGGTTTTTTGGGATCCGGCTTTGTTGTGAAACACGAAGAGGATGAGAGATCTTGATCTAACGGCAATCGTCCATCAGGATCGGACGGCGTCAACGACGACGAGCGCATGTACCAGGTCTTCCTGTACATGCGCGACCCCAACAACCCGTCGGAAGTGGACAGCAACCACTACGCGTTCCCGCTGCCCATCTCGCCCGTGATCGACTGTGTCGAATACAAAGTCATCCGCATCGACTACCTCCCCACGGGGGCCGACAACACCATCCACGAGCCGCGACCGTACCAGGCCAAGCCGCCCAACGAGTACGTCAGCGAGTACCAGAAGTTGCGGACCGACATGAAGCCGCTCCGGGTGATTCAGCCCGAAGGGGCGAGCTTCACGCTCACGTCCGTGGGCGAGACGGGCCACCTGCTTGCGTGGCAGAAATGGAGCTTCCGTGTCGGCTACAACCAGCGCGAGGGCATGGTGCTGTACGACGTCCGCTACGACGGGCGCCCGCTCTTCTACCGCCTCAGCCTGAGCGACATGAACATCCCCTACGCCGACCCCCGCCACCCCTTCCACAAGAAGTCGGCCTACGACCTGGGCGACGCCGGCGCGGGCGCCATGGCCAACAACCTCCAGCTCGGGTGCGATTGCCTGGGCCACATCCAGTATCTCTCGGCCGTCATCACCGACGACAAGGGCGTCCCGACCCCGTTGGAGAACTGCGTCTGTGTCCACGAACAAGACGCCGGCATTGGGTGGAAACACACCAACTACCGCACGGGGCGTGCCGCCGTGGTGCGTCAACGGGAACTGGTCCTGCAGAGCATCATCACCGTCAGCAACTACGAGTACATCCTGGCCTTTATGTTCAACCAGGCCGGTGAGGTCATCTACGAAGTCCGCGCCACGGGCGTCTTGTCGACGCAGCCCATCGATCACGAATTGGACAAGGTGGGCGTCCCCTTTGGCACCGTCGTCCACCCGGGCGTCCTGGCCGTGCACCATCAGCACATCTTCTCGCTGCGTGTGGACCCCATGATCGAGGGACACGAGAACCGACTGGTCTACGACGAGGCGCACGCGCTGCCGCTGTCGGAGGACTGGAACCCGCACGGGGTGGCGTACGAAGTGTCCGAGACGGTGGTCGAACACGCGCAGGGCCTGGACCTGAACCCGGAGGCGAACCGGGTGTTCAAGATCCAGAACCCGGCGGTGCGCAACCCGATCAACGGCAAGCCGGTGGCGTACAAGATCCACGCGCCGCCGTTCCAGAAGATGCTGTCGCTGCCGAGCTCGTACAACTGGAAACGGGCCGAGTTCGCCGACCACAACATCTACGTGACGACGCACCAGGACCGCGAGCTGTTCTCGGGCGGGTGGTACACGAACCAGAGCCGCGGCGGCACGGGGGTGCGCAGCTGGGCGGCGCGCAAGGACAGCGTCGTCGACACGGACATTGTCGTGTGGATCCAGTTCGGCATCAACCACGTGCCGCGCATCGAGGACTTCCCCGTCATGCCCTGCGAGATCCTCAAGGTGAGCCTCAAGCCCGTCAACTTTTTCGACAAGAACCCGGCCCTCGACGTCCCGCCCAGCGAGCAGACCTTTAACCGCTCCACCTTGGTGAGTGAGATGCACCACCAGCCCACCACCGAGGCCGTCGTCGGCCAGGCCGGCGAGTGCTGCCAACCGGGCGACAGCAAGAGTAAATTGTGAGGCAGGACGCACAACGAGGACTGCGAACAAAACAAGACAACAACGGGATTCGACGGTGGACAGTGAAGTGTGTGTTTTGTTACAGGTCTAGCTTTTTGGAGACCTGCAGAGACTGCAGAGACTGCAGAGACTGGATTAAGGTGACTCTCTCCCAAGAGGAAGGGAAGCAACCTCGCTCGAAAGTTTTCTCTTTTATTATTATTGGCAGGCCCCCTTTTTCAATGTCTCGGGCAAACATGCTCGATGGAATGGATGGAAGGCAGAGCAAAGTGTCATGTCATGTGCCCCACCCCCAACAGCAGAGAGGCAGATCTTATTGACAATGTCATGTGTGACCGACGAAGATTCGAGAGAATTACGAATTGAAGTGATAAAGCACGAGGACCGACGACCTCTGGGGTGTCTATGTAGGTGGGATGAATCGATTTTGATATATATATCGATATATACAGAACCTCGGAGTCCGTAGGCAGGCAGACAGGTATACAGTCCCCTCGCACGCAGCAAAGAAAACAAAAGTCAACTCCTGACCAGTCAGTCAGTCAGTCCCCCTATACCCAATTCCAAACCCCTGGGCCATGGTTGGGTACCGAATAGTTATTTATTGTGTCAAGAGGCACTTATCGAGCCAGTGTGCCCCATACGACGGTAGGGACACGGGTCTACCTCGTATAGATCCCATCACCCTATCTAGCTACTTGACATAACGTTAATGCTATATATAATATACCGAGTATGCTGGTACTATACTAGGTAGCCATGTCATGGCTATGTTCATGTCATATTCCATCATGTTCTGTCACGTCACGTCATGTCACGTCATTCCATGCCATGTTATGTTATGTTCTACAGTACATACATAAAGTTAGACATGCTCTACTTGTAATCATAATCATAGTCATAGTCATAGTCACAGCAAAATCTTGAAAGGTATGTACCGAATATCAGACATGGACTGTACCACTACCCCAACAGAAGCATTCATTCACTTGTGATACACATGATGCTCCGTACACGTACACGCTATGCACGTACTTGTGATGTACAAAAACCAACGATAAAAGACGCGTGAAGAAGACGCGGGAAGAAACGACCTCGTCTTCCTCCCCGTCAATAAGTGAAATAACTGCGTCGCTTCCCCCAAAAAAAACACCCCCAAAAGGTACTGTGGTGCCAGTGACAGTGACAGTCCGCTTCGTCTGAAAACGCAGAATAAAGAATATCCATGGCTGAGCTGAAAAAACTCGTCAGGTTCGTTTCATTGCATTGATCCTACTGCTCATGCACATGCCCAAGCTCCAAACAACCGTACAAATCGCTCAAGTTTATCATTAGAAGAAGCCCCCGTTGCCAACTCCGTCTGGACCGTCTGGTCTCCTCATGTTCGGATCTGGACTCCGTGGAGGGGGCATGTATAATCTCCGGCTGTCCTGGCCGCCTCCCAAGTGTGAGCTGGATTCTTCTCCCGCCCTCGACACAGGATACGGCACCGAAACCACCCCGCTCTCCTGGCCCCCAGTCGATCCCGGATAAGGCATGTAAGCCTGCTGCGTCGGTGGATGATCTGACGGAATGTCATATCGACCGTTATATTTGTCGTCATAGCTCGATGCGAGTCCAATGTCGCTCACATTGTTCGCGTCGTAAAAATCATGTCCCCCATCACTTCCTGCCTCAACAATCGGCGGCTGTGATGTTGGCATACTCTGGCTGTTAGCGAGCAACGTGGCACCCTCTTCGTCTCCGAGACCGTTATAACGAGGCGGCTTAGTTGCTGCCCCCGCGTAGGGAATCGGGTGGTTCAAGGTGTCCAATTTCTGGCCACTCGCGCCAAAATCGCTGCCCTCCGTATCTTTCCTCGACAAGTCGTAACTGGGATCATTGTGGCGAGTCTTGCGTCCCTTAAACAGCCATCTCGCCGACCGACCCGTGGCTCGGAGCATATCCATGCCGTTAAAGGCATCAAAAATGGCCTTGATACCCAAAAAGCCCCCTTTGTACGTCATGCGCTCGGACCCGTCACCGGGGACAGTGTCAGACATTTGCTCCTTGGAACCAATCACATATGGTTTCCAGCTAAAAGACCATATGTGAAAGATGGCAAAAAAGGCCATTTCAATGCACAACAGCATCGCTGGAATGCCCACTTTGATATCGGGGGTTTGAATGCGCTTGGTGGCCTTGATAAAACCGACGCTGGTGAGCACCGAAATGGCAATGGTCTGCCAGAAACTGAGGAAGATGACCAGTTTGATGGCCGTGATTTTCAGGAGAGGTTTATGCTGCCGGATGTCATCCTTGATCTGGATGTAGAATTGGATTAGGCAGTACATGGCGACCGTGATTGAGATGGTCTCGAAAATCATGACCCAGATGTGAGAGAAGGCTGGGCTGAGTGATTCGAGGCAATACAGGTCGACGGCTTGCGTGATGACCGATATGATTGTAAAGAGAACGCGGATGAAACAGTACTGGAAAATCGAGACCCAAACCACCTTTTACAACCCCAAGTTAGCCGCGCAACTTCAAGCAGGGGAAAAAAAGACCTACATTAAACCATGTCAACCCACTTTTGGGTGTCCTCAACAACCCCTTCTCAGCACCCCCTGTACACTTTTGAAAGTACCTCATGGGCCACACCCATTTCTTCGGGGTGATTGTTCGGAAATAGATCTTTTGCTGGTGTAGGTCGGGGGCGAGGTATGAGCAGAGCAGGGAGAAAAAGGAGGCAATTGCGAAAGCTTCGTAGCAATCTCTGATGACTTCAAAGTAGACGCTGTGCCGGTAGTAGTAGAAGGAGAGGAGCGAGACGGCGGCGTAGATGGGGATCATGAAGAGGATGCGAATGGTGTGCTTCTGTTCCCATGGTTTCAGGTAATGCGTGGCGTGCATGAGGATCAGGAAGAAGGAGACGGCCAGGGCAATCATGGTGAATATCGCCGCGACCCAGAGGCCGATGGTATGGAAAGTATGCCCGTGCCATATCGGCTCTTCGGTGATGGCCAAATCCTCGTCGGTCGAATTGCACTTTGGCCAGCCCATCTTGGTTGTGTGTTACTTTCTTTCCCTTTACTAATCGTCCGTCAAAGACCAAGGCGCATTCGCATCGCGGTTCGGCGCAGGAGTTGAACTCTGGGAGAAAGTGTAGTGGTAGTAGTGAGAGTGAGCAGACTGGGCGAGAAGTGACGGGTCAGAGAGCGCCTCTGTCCTCTTGTCGCAAAACGAGTGATAGAGAGAGAAAAAGAGCGTGAGTCGAGTGAATTCGGTCAAGTCAATCCTGAGGCCTTCTTTCCAGATCGAGGCAGAGCGGCGGGGGAAAATTACAAGAATAGAGAGTGAAAGGGGATTTCGATTCGATTGTCGTGCCTTGGAGAAATGGTTTCAAAGGGTTTCAAAGGACAACAAAGAGATGAAGATCTAAGGTCGACATTGAACAAAGTTTAGACGCAGAGACGCAGAGATGCAGTTTGGGGGTGGTTTGGCCCTTGCTGCGCCGCAAAATGCTGACCAGGGAGATGCAGGTCACCTCATGCAACTAATCATTCGTTAATACCAGCCCTGGGAGCACAGTTGAATTTGGGGGGCCGTCGCGAGGGTGAGGTACAGAGGAGGCAACCGGCCGAGTGCCTCGCACGTACTAAAAGAAGTGAAAGTGGGAACGAGGCACCAGCTGAAACGGATCTGCCTTGCATTCTTGCCGCATTTGGTCCGCACCGGCCTTGGGCGCATCAAGCGCATCCATCCCTGTGGCTTGGTTGTTGGCGTCGAGGTTCGTTCGTGCTGAGTGGCTGACTGGAAGGAAGTGGCCTAGTGAGGTGAGCCCTACTTGTATCTATCCAACCTGCTAAGGCCGCCTGCGCCCAGATCCCAAGACCCCCTCACTCCCTCAAGCAACCCAAGATTTCGGCCTAAGCTCGCACAAGCCCTTTATGCTAAGCAATTCCTGCCCACCTTGTCTCTACCAACGCGACTTACTCGGTACAAAGTAGTCGAACCTCTGTTCCTCTACTATCCTCATACCGAGAATCCTACAGCCCTCACATCAGTATGATTAGCCGCCCGCCTGGCCCACTCACCCCCAGCTGACCTGCTCCTTCGTCCGCGCTCCCAGAATGCTGCCTCCCTCTTTCGCGCCATCATTCACAACCTCGGACATGAGGCCCATTGAGAGAGCGGGGATCCTGATGGGGCTGCCTTTTCGGGGCCGATGTTGAAAGCGAACGCTACTGGAAAATTCGGAAGAACGCTGTAGCTAAACTCGGTGTCGTTGCCATATACGCGCTGCGCCGTTGTCTATTCCGTACTCCAGACTGCCTGCACCTCTTGTAACCACTGCCGATGCGGACCCGCGTCGTTACGTCGAAGGCCCGCAACGATATCTCTTGCTCGATCAGACACAGGATAGATGCGGAGGTGTGTGTGATCTGACGAACATATCACATATGGATCTGCCTCAGGGTCCTGTTTCCTTAACAGAACCAGGCAATCTCCGCAAAACCACGTCTTCTCACATAGGCGACAGCACCAGAGTTCTGCAAAGTCGTCCTTAGCAGGATCGCATATCCCGTCGCAGTGCCGGATTCTCTTGGAGCTGGCGTACTTGCAACCCAACACCTCACCACTGCCCTCGTCCAGCCTGCGACCAGCATCCGTTCCCTCGTCAGGTGCTGTAGGCTCTGTGGTTAGTCCGTCCGTGAGCATCATAGTGATGCCGAAGGCGATTGCAGCGTTTTCATCATCGTTGCCCATCATTAACGCTTCTCCAAGTTGGTTGTAGGCATCATCGTCGTTCCAGGGATCGTCATCTTCCAGTTTGCGTATTGCCTCGGTGATGGATGGTTGGAACATTGGCCTCCATATCTTTGGAGACTTTGATCGATAATCTCGGAGCCATACTCCATACAGAAGAGCCGAGTAGGAGGCGCGATACCGCCGTCTATCTTTCAGTGCAAGGCTCCTGAGTCTGTCCGTGGCTTGGGCATAATTTGATCGTTTTGATAGCTTGGCCTCCACGGCCTCGGTGAAATGACGCAGGCTGAGGAACGCGGCAGATTGGTCTCGAATCGGCTTCATCCGCTGGCGGTAAGACTCGTCGTTGGCGTCAATGACGGACAGTATGCTTGTATAGATCTTGGTAGCCCCGGCTGCGTCTTTGTAATGGCGCAGCAAGAAGTTTGCAGATCGCGCTGCCAGTCGCAGATCGTTCCACTTGGGCTTTCCCGAAAGGTCAATATAAGCAACACGCTTGAAGTTCTCTTCAAGCAGATTCTCTAAATCGCGATCTGGCCGTTTGTACAAAACCATGGCAATGATCCCGGTCAGCCGCTTGAACTCTTGTTCGGTGAATTTGTGTCGCAGAAGACAATGAAGCAATGAACACCCAGGCAAGAGTGTCTGGCACGTTGCAAGGTGACGCAGGACTGCTGCTATCGTGTCATAATCCCGAGTCCGGCTCAGAATCTCAATGTATAGCTTGACGCTGTCCATGATGACATGATCCGACGGGTCGTCTGCGCCGAATGTAAATTTTTGACATCGTTCATATGCCTCTCTGCCGATCCGACTGGCCTCCTTCTCGTAGTTCTCCTCGGTTTGAAGTCGCCAAAAAGCCGCTCGTGCTTTGAAATAGAAATCGACACCGTAGTTCAGCAAGATCGCTGGTAAGGCTTCGATAGCTTTCTCCATGGCTGCTAGAGCTGGAAGGGGTTGTCGAAGATTGTCACCGTAGCACCGACTGAGGCCTTCGTAGGCGACCCAAGCCGTGGGCTTCTCGATGCCATATAGCTTTCGCGTCCGAGCCTCCGCCAGAGTGATTGCCTTCTGAAAATATTCGATGGATTTTCGGGTATGCCTGGTATCCTCTCCCTGCATCATTGTCCAGGCAACACCGGTAAACCAATATTCATCTTGTTCCAGGTTCTGACTTTTAGCGATTCGCTCGATCAGTTCCAAAGTGATCCGTCCGACTCGGCGAGTTCCCTTGAGTATGCTGACAGGGCCGTCGTTGTTTCCTTCCGCAGTCTGCTCAATGTCAGTGGCGGCCGATGTAGCGACGGCGATCCATTTGCCTTACCAGGAATTCGTACGCAACCAACACCCAAGTTTCTCCTTCACACTTATTGAACCAATCCATGTCATCCCATGCCCGTTTCGCGAGCCAGAGGCGGGCACATTCTTTGATTAACGGCTGTAAGAGAACCCTAGCAGAGTCAATGGCCTGTATCGCCCACGGGCGAATCTCAGGGGTTTCAAGACTGAGATAGTCGATTCCCATTGCAATCAATGCACGGACGGTATCCGTTTTCTTCCGGTCCAATAACCAAGAATCAATCGTGCTTTGCCACATCCCATTCTGTAAATGGTAGAACATCTTGCCGTCAAAACATAGCGAGGCTAACCTGGCACCAACTTGGCCACACAGATCTCGGGGCATCGCACTGATGTCAATCTCTAGCAAGTGAGAGACGCAATTATCCGCCGCGTACTGTTTGAGAAGATGTACGCCGTATTTCTGGGCAGTTGTCTTCATGGCAAGGTCAAGCAGAGCCTGCACCATTTGCATTCTGAACTCGTCAAGGTGCCCCGGAACCACTCGGCAATCATGCCATTTCTTGGTTGACGGGTTGCCTTCTTGCACGAGATAGTCGCGAATTCTTGCATGAGTAAAGGTGACGGTGCTCCGGTGCCATTCGTCAAAAATTCCATTGTTTGCATGGACACTGAGCCTTTTCCAGCTAAAATGTTTGAACGAGGGCCTGGCTGGTGTGTAGCCGGTCGCAGGTTCATCATCGTCGCTTTCGGTAGAGTCCGAGTCATCTTCAGATTCTTCTTTGGAAGAACGCGTTGACTTTAGGGTTCTTGAAGTATCGTCACCACTTGATTGCCGTATGACGTCGAAAAGGCTAGAGTATCTGTTCGTCAGATCGTCGGAGATTGTTATGAAACGCTGGCCAACGGTTTCCAGGAGGCAGACATGAAGCTCGGCTACAGTTAGCGGACGGCGACAACACAGGACCCAAGCGAGCAAGTGGGTCAAGTACTGGGTCCTGACATCGTCTTCGTGGTTCAACCTGAGAAACACCAGATGGATCATGTCCATCAAACCGGAAGGCGCATCATTGAGTGCTTCTTCAACCGCTTCAGCGGAAGGGCTGTCCCGGATCTGGTCAATGACCAATTTAGCCCACAAGAACATTCCCTGTGAACGTGTCACTATGCTGTTTTCGATGAAGGCTTCGAAGATTTGACATTGCTCTGGTTCCATTCTCCGGATCATTCGGACAGCGGCGATGTCCTTGGTCTGATGCCTCACATAGACACGAATATCTTGTTTCGTCTGGTCTTCGGTAATGTCGATGATCTTTTCTTTTCCCTGAAAGGCGGCATCAGTGCTGTCGAGGAGATTTCGAATTTCTGGCCGTGCAAAGACGGCCACCTGGATGGATATTCGTTCATGGTCGGACTGAGAGGCCAGAAGCCTCCTCAAGCAAGTCAACAGGGCGAGTTTTGCTTCGTCGTTAGCCTCGTCAAGCCCATCAATGATGATGTATAGCAGCCCACGAACCTCTTCGTGGTCTTCCATGAAAGGTTCGTAGGACAGAAACAAGCGGTCCCACAGAGATTCCGCGGATGCTGCCTTTCCAAGAATGTCAGGATAAGTTCTGATGGTCTCGGCCAGATGGTTATAAAACTGTTGGTCTTGCTTGGCGATTTGTAGTGCAACAGCCATCAACATATGGCTCAGATTCTGGAGCTTCGGTTGGCCCTCCTTGAAATACATGTACCCTGTAGGCCGGATGGGACCATTGTCAGCATTCCTGGAGTATTTGTTCTTGAGAGATTCGACTGTTGCAGCAGCCAGAACTGTTTTGCCAACTCCGGGGCGACCAAAAATCCACAGCAGCGAACCATTGCCGTTCTCCCATGTTGCAAACATGGTGTCGTTTTGGATCCACGTCCCCGTGGAATCGGCAATAGCATTGGCGCTTTTCCGATGATGATTTCGCAATTCTTCCCACGAGTCATTTCTTAGTTTTTCAACGAGATCTGTCCTGGCATCCAAACGATCGTCACTTGCTCTAGATCTCAGAATCTCCTGCTTGATCTCGAGGACTTGTTTGTGTATACTGAGGGTGGTTTCGCTCATTCGCTGTGTCATTCCAAAATTCAGACGGACGACAAAGCCCAGCTCATCGTGCACCCGTTTCTCGAGCTCCGCGAGGGCAGCTGTGATGCTTTCATCGTTCTGGAACAGAGACCTTCCAAATTGGCGTAACCTGGACGGTTTGGCTAGTTTGGATTGTGCGGCCCCGACAATTCTCAAAAGGCATGACAGCACCTCTATAACGACTGTTTGATGCGTGCCGATAAGAGAGCTGTCCTTGTAACCGTCAAGGCAGCATGTGACAGCTGCCACCCGTTGAAACAACTCTTCCACAGCGTCATATGCGTTGCTGACCCTTTCACATGTGCTCAAAATATGTTGGACTGCGAAGAAAAGAACGCCGAGCGGTGCTGCGGGCGTTGATTGGAGACCTCGATCGGCAACCTCTATGATAAAGTGCAGGGGGAGGATACATTTGCGGAAGGCTGACACAACTCTGCGCTTTTCGTTTCGGTGAGCTGCGAACTGATCTTGGCTTACGTGGAGGGCTTCGAGAAAGGCTTGAAGACTTCGTCCATTCGGGTCTTGGAAGTTTATAGGACCACAATGTAATTCGGAAGTGACTAGAGGGTGGTCAATGCTCTTCTCGTATTCGCGGATGGCATTCTCCCAGAGCGCTGCCAGAGAATTTTCCGACATTGCCGACGAGTGAGAGCTCCTTGACAGCCTTGTACGAGGGAAACTTCAGGAACAATATGGGCCTTGGATATCTAGGATATGACTTGTGCTCGATGACAGCTCCGCGATTCTTGGGCAGGAAACCGGCATGAACAGTTTGGATATACCATGTAAAGGCGGCTCAGCGGGTGCTTCCCGGTCGACGACGCACCGGTGAGATTTTAGTTAGCATTGCTCTTGCTTGTACAGCAACAACAATCAGAGTCGAAACGCCGTCACAGGGGTGCTTTCTTGAAGGCGGGCTCGCGGGGTATGTTTCATAACGGCTCAATAAGTGGCGTGGTCATAGACTTGACACTCACTGCCAATGGTAGGCTCGGTCAAGGACAGGTCCGAAAACCGATCCATTGTACCTGATGCAGTAGCGTCCTGCAGGCTTCGTAATAGGGCCTTTGTCTGTTCGACTTTGATGTCGCGGTCAGGATGGAGGGGCACTCACAAACACCAGCAAATCTTTGCCGGGTGTCCATTTAGGTGGGACTCGATGTGTTTTCATAAGCTCAGAGAAACTTCTAGCTCTGTATGATGGCAATATCACACACGTCCCTCAAGAGAAGATCCAATTTAGCCACATTGAATAGAGCTTTGGAGAGGATCAATCGTGATCACAAAGAAGACAAGAGACGTGGCAATCATTCTCCTAACTTTCTCTGGAAGGTTTTCCGAACACGATCCTGTGACATCCTTTGTGAAAAGGTTTACGCTTGCCTTCCAACGGTTAGACAAATACTCTTAGTGCAAAGACGTTGAAACTATGTGGGGTTTCGAGCATCTGATAGGCACTATTATGTAAGCCACTTGGGGTCTGCCGACTGGAAACCGAGTACTCGGTACAAGTATTCGGTAGGTAGACACGTAGACCACGATTTAATAGTCGGGGCCCTAACGAGCTTGTACTGTACAATCTACGATCCGAACTGTGCACTTCGCCGCGTAACCAGCCCCAGGATTGTGAGGAAATTTTTAAGGCGCCCAGCATCTTGCTCGAACGAGTAGGTCGGTTCCTAGTTTAGGGAGTGATGCTCGTGCTCAGGTCACAAGCAGCCCAATCCTCATGCCCTGGTGTGCCCTAACAAGGGTCGGACCGGACATGATGGCAATTAGGGTTTTGGTTGGACTAAGCATACAATATCCCTACAGTACATCGCCCTACGAGTGTCTATATTTAATTCCTCCCCCCACGGTCAATTGGCCCGCGCCAGACATGCTACTCTGGGTTCATGTACCGAATAGATGGAAAAGTTCGTCCTTCACAGTACATGCTCAAGGTCCATAACAAGCGAAATGAAGACGACGATCCTACGACACCATCCGAAATCGAACTGCGCTTTCATAGCATTTTCTATGTTCCTAGCCCATCGTGCCCATGTCATATGCCGGGGGTATATTGTGAATGCAGCCACATCTGACTGACGACAATGATACAAAATATATACAACCAACAACCACTCACCTTTCGTGCCATTTGGCTTTCAGTATCCGGCCAGAGTTGAACTGGTTCGGGATACTTCTTCAGCCGCACAATGGTTTGAGCCGCTACCAAGCAGTCAGGTCGCCGACCTCTGCCTCCCCGAACGTACTCGACTTGGTCATCTGACCCACTCCATCTTTGACCTCTCCGTCTGGTCCTCCAATCCCCGGTCTGTTCATGAGATCTGGTATTACCTCTCTGAAGAAGCTCAACAGATAGCTATTCACTTGCTCAAATTGCAACAAAAAGGCGTCGTGGCCCTCCGGGCTGTCGATCTTCCCAAGCCGTGCATTGGGGATACAGTTAGCCAGTTCTTGTTGTTCCGCAATGGTGAAAAGGCCGTCCGACTCAATACCGAGTACCAATGCTGGCTGTTCAATTTGTGCGAGAGCTTCCTGGACGGTGGATGCCCGGTTCCGCGAAACATCGTGCGTGTCTAGCTTGCGCGTTATGGCGATGTAGCAGTTTGCATCGAATCGTGTTACAAATTTGGTGCCTTGGTACCGCAAGTAGGATTGTGCTGAGAAGTAGTGATGTGTTGGTCTAGAACTCTTCTTCTCAACAACGGGCACCGGTATGGCAAACTCGGTGGCTCCGTTGAACTGCGGATCTTTGAATGTCGCTGGTCGATCCTCGCTGTCGGGTTCTGGCGACGATCTGGACGCAACGCCATTACGGGACGCAGGCCGCGAGTCACGGGATCCTTTGGCCCGCTTGTTCCCATCATTATGGATGCTCCAGTGCTCATTCTGGACACCATTCGTCTTCTGTCCATCGTTGATGGAGGGTTTCTTCGACAGGTCTGGAATGTTGCGACCAAAACGAGCCTCAAACGAGTCCCGACTTCGGTATGTGAGGAGCGCCGACATGCGGGCTGCACCCAAGCCGGCGGTAGGAGGATCGTCAAATGAGTAGTAGCCGTCTTCATATTTGGGATCCGAGTAAATCGCCTGCCGCTGAGCTTCACCCCAGCTGATGCCCCAGGCGCTGTGCGTCGCTGACGTGGCTATAGGAGCAATGCTCCGCACGTAATCCTTCCCATAATAGGCATACTCTAGGCTGAGCATTCCTCCCATAGACCCACCGACAACGCAGGCGATCTGGCGAACACCAAGGTGGTCGAGAACGATTTTATGTATCCTGTCACCTATCGTCAGTCTTATATACCAATTGCCTCACTCTGCTCTTTTCACTCACCTCACGTCATCTCTTATCGTGGTTAGTGGGAATTCTGGTCCGTATCTGCCTTGTTCCGGGTCACCGTCCTTGTTCGTCACTGGGCTGGCACTCCCGTAGGGACTGCCCAGACTGTTTAGACAGACAACGAAGAACCTTGTAACGTCAAAGGCCTGACCGGGCCCTCCCAACAAAGGCCCCCACCAATCAGCCACATCCGCACTTCCGCTCAGGGCATGGCATATAACAAGGACATTATTCCCGGCTTCGGAGAGTTGACCACGGACGGTATATGCGACGGGGACATTCTTGAGGACAACGCCTGATTCGAGGGTGAAGGAAGGGACAATGACGATTTCTTGGTCGGCGACGAGTTTGGCGAAAGGGTTCTCAGGTTGTCCTTTGGCACTCTCTACGGGATTTAGTAGCCGTTCAATCCTGGTCGTGGTGGAAGGGGATGCAAACACAGCAATGGGCAGTAGGGAAGGCAAGAAAAGTAGAGGGGATACTGACGGAGTCGCGGAGAGACTGCCTGAGCCTCTCCGTTAGTCTTTGAATCCTTGTCCGCCATGGTAATCGTCCAGGCTTGAGCTGACTGGAAGATGGCAAAATTTCTTTCTGATGCGCGGTGAAAAAGTACGGGATAATGGGTTTTTGGGGTTGACTATTGTCGAGGGGGTGGTAAGTAACGAGCTTAAGTGAGGTCCATTGACTCACAACTCGTGTCTCGGAGAGGCTCGTATGAATCCGGTGTGAGGACGGGGTGCAATTGTTGTGAGTCAAAAATGAAATTCAGTCGAGGGGAATTTGACCCACCGAGTTGATATTTCGGCAGTGGAAGTCAGCGCAGGCGATTTCACCGCTAGACGATGGGTGCCATTGGCGGGGCTGGTGGCATCATCACACACCAATCGTAATGGGGGGATGGAGGCCTCGGTTAAACCCCCAAATGGCAGGTTTTCCGAACTCGTCCCCCTGAAAAGAGCCAGAGCCAGAGAGCAAGCCGCAAGGCTGTGGACAAGGGACAACAGCAAAGCATCTTGAGTCCCCAGCAACTGACAACTGACAACCGACAACCAGTTTATATAAATCGAAATGCTTCCAAATCTAGTTGCGTATACCGCTCGCTATTCAAGTATACAAGAAATCACATGAATCCCTTTCAATGCCCTCAGAGATTTAGCTGGAACTTGGGATGCGTCCTTATCCTCTCGCCATACTTCAAGAAGACCCAGATCATAGGGGACATGGCCAGTGAGATGAATGCAAGAAGGCTGTTCCCCCACCCGAGCCCCAGTTTGTTGTACATATCTCGTCCAGCCAGGGGGAGGACTGCACCCCCAAGGCTACGGAGGACGGTATTGGCCGCCATCGCGCTCGCGGCATAAAGGGTGAATGCACTGGGATGAAGTCAGTAACGCCGATCAAAAGGCTTGGGGAATAAAACTGCATACTCAACCAGATAAATAGACAGCGACATGAAGGATGCGACCATGCCAGCGCCAAGTAAGACCGTCCCTATGATGGGAACTATCCAATGCACTTTGTACTGGGCTGTCCACCCGTACAAGAAGAGGCCAGCAGGTATAGTTACCGCACCCGGCCAAAGCAATGGCAGACGGTATTCAGGCTTCATTTCGCCATCTTTCGCCAGTTTCCTCAGCAGCTTGTCGGAAAATGATCCGAATATCAACAGTCCGATAAATTGGCCCAGTCCGATGCCTAAAAAGACAAGTCCAACATTACTAGGACTAATGCCGTACTGATCTTGAAAGATGAACGTCATGGTTGTGAACATCAAGTAAAGATATCCGTACACGACCGCCAGGTACAGAGAAAGGAAGAATATGATCGGGGACAGAAAGAGCATTTTGGTTGGACGGACCACACTCAGCATAAACAACTGCGAAGGAGTCCTGGAAGATTGAAGAGCAGACCGAAGCTTGTCATTGCCTGTTTCTTTTCGGAGTCGCCTGACTTTTCTCTCGAGGAGAATGGGCGGATATGTTTCTCTTTGAAAGATAAGTGCCATGGCGAACATGACTGCGGTCTGCTTCAAGTCAGTCCTGCTACGGGATTCACGCGCCACCGGGGGGGGAAGGGCATGCATACACAAATAGCGAGAAGATAGAAGTTCCACTGCCACCCGGCCGCTTCAGAGAGATATGATCCAACTACAGGACCCAGACTGTCCACAGTCAGCACCGTTACTTTATAGATAGTATGCGCCCGGGTAGTACACACCTTGGTCCAAACAGAATTGGAAAGGTCCAGACACTCATGACCTTTCCGCGCTGGTCTTGTCTAAAGGTATCTGCTATTGAACCAGATCCGACAGTCAAGGGACAAGAGCCTGCCAGACCGGCCAGGAATCGAAACACAATCAACATGGACAAGTTTGTCGACTTGCCACAGGCGAAAGTGAATATCCCGAAGAGGAATGTGTTGACATGATAGACCGGCAGTCGCCCGTACAATTCACTCATCGGAGCTCTGACGGTGGATCAGCCACAGATGTCTTGCAACAAGGGTATCAGGCTCGCGCAACAAGCCCCAGATCAATCGAAAAAGGAAACAAGCACTCACATAAACAGTGGACCAAAGGCATACCCGAGCACATAGACGGATACCGAGAACGACGCTAAGTCCTCACTGTTGGAGTGAAAGTCTTTCATCACCTGGGGTACACCCGGTGCAAACATGGACGAACCGAAAGGTCTGAGCAACCGTCAGTATCAAAGATGTAGTGCTTCCGGGCAGTCATTCTCTTGGTCACCGACGTCAAAATCGTTATCGAGGACAGCAGAGCCACGTTGGTCCATTTTCTCCGTGCAGGCCAGTTCATAGGGTTCTCTGGATCATTCGGACCGTCCCAATTGACCACGTCTGGATCGGTCGTCGTTTCTACCGTGGTGGTTATGACATCTTTCTCTTCAAGCACTGACAATGCCTTTTCAACGTCTCCGTCGTCCACATGGGAATTGTTGCCCCTCTCCAACGAGCTGGATACGCTTGGGGTAATGCGCTCAATGTCGGTGGGCTTCTCACTGGGCGCCATGGCGCTATCAACTTTCCTCCTAGCAAAACTGGCTGGTTCGAGATATGGTTTCCATCATTCCGGGTACGAAGCCTGCGGAATGGGAGGGGGAAAACGCGACGAGCAAGCGGCTCTCTTTAGTTATAGGTTCTTCTTGGGACGACCTTCCCATCATGGCAAAGTTCCCCATCCATGGACTTTGACCGAGGCGGACCGCTGCCCCGTGGAAAATTCATGCAGATTGCTGGCCGGGTTTGTGGGTGATCGAGGGCATCGTTCGTGCGCTCTTGGACCGGGTGTTGCGGCACAGGTTGCGGGGTCTCGTCTGTTGGGATGAATGGGCACAACGGATCTTGCCAGGGATCGTCCAATTCTTCCGTACGAGGAGATCAGGAGGGGGCGAGGGGCTCAGCGAGTCGGCGGATAGAGCCTTTTCCAGGCTTACAGTAGTGTGGGTTGGGCTGCGCAAAACTTCCGCTGGAAGGATCAGTGTGTAAACTGCGAGTCAGTGAGTAGTGAGTACTCGGGAGTGAGCGGTGTGCCAGCCACCACGGCTATTTACATTGGGCATCGTGGCATCCCCCAAAACGTCTATACCTAGGTCTATTTGCTCTGTTCACCTCGGTGTTACTCCAACTTGATCCTTGCCAGCTCCTCAATTTGACCTCCGTCTTGATAACAAGATTTCGAGATTGGCTCTGTTATCAAGCGCCTTATTTGCTATGCTAGATCCTGACCTTCTTGTTTCAATGTCAAAAGGCGAAAAAAATACACTTTCGCCGGTCAACTAGAAATGGACCATCCCAACATCCCCGGCATATCTGCATGGTTCTCATCAGGGATTCAGACGCCAATCTTCAAGTCCAGTATGGTGCCTTCAATCCCGTCAAGTTACTCAAGATCCCCTCGTGATCGCCCGTGTCTTCTTTCTTCCTTTGCCCACTCAGCTCCATCTGGATCGCCCGGTGCACATGGACGAGCCAGTCCACATAACTTTGGGCCTCGTTGTTGCGGTCTTCTACCAACATCCGAGCATATTCGAACTCCGAACCATCTAGTCCTTGTCTTGCGAGTGTGAAGCTTGCAGCCTTGCTCCCACGGACCGTGGACATGTACTGCAACAGGTTCCGCACTTGGGCATTCAGATGCGTCTCCAAGACCGGCAACTCGTTCAGCATGGGATCGAGGCTTTGCAGGCTGGTTTTGCCTTCTCCGAAGAGATCCTCCAGCAGGTTTGGCGACACTTGTGCGTGCAGCCAGAGCAACACATTCTGTCCGTCATCAACTAGATACACCCCGCCTTCCTCAACTCTGCCAAATGATGCCCGGACAGTAGGAGGAACCACTAATTGCATGGTCTCGGCGTTGGCGAAACAATCCTCGGCACTCAGGTTGTGGAGGGCGTATATCCGTGGATAAAGATACAGAGCTGTCTCTGTCACGCCGGAAGATCTCATCAGCCGAGCCGAATGGACCCTGCGATCGGTAGGCTCAACGCCTCCTGCATCAAATGTGTCAGTGCAAGAATCTCCCAATTTCGCTGATGCAACTATACCTTTGAATGCCCGACTCTTGATCAAGCCAAGCGTATAGATGGCAAACTCCTTCAGGTGCTCTGGAAGCACGAGCTGTCCCGGAGGATGCGAGCCGGAGAAGTTCTTCCGGTATCCCGCCAGGATATCAATCGTCTTCTCCGTGATACCGGCGCGAATGTCTTTCAAGGACTTCTCCGAGATTTTGGACGAAGCTTCTTTGGCAATGATGTTGACAACAGCGTCCTGATCGACCGTCCGCATGGTGTCGGCAGCGCCTTCGTTCACCGCAGCCACCACATTGATGCACCTGACTCTCCTCTGTCCGGTAGCAGAAGTGTAAAGGAGCGCTGCCTGGAAGTGGGCATCCAACTTGGCATCCAACTTGCCGTCGTAAGTGAACGTGACCCCAATGGCTTTGTCGGCGTCGACAGTCCCAATCTCCAGATCCGCTCCGAAGGAATGCTGGAGAAACGACCCATAGTAAGCAGACACCTGCAAGCCGTTTGAGCACCGCACCTTCATCAAAGCTTGGTACCCTGTCTCTCGGTGTAAAGAGTGCTCGATTTCGAGCCGCAGCTTGAGAGAATCTCGAGGAGCGACGAAATTTGGATAGAAGAACATCTCACCGCCCGTCAGTCGTGACATATGTCCTATTGTTGCGATGTCCATATATCCTCCACCTGCAGCGGCCAGGAAAAAGTCCACTCCGATACCTGCTGTCACCATTGCCCCAGCGGTCTTCTTCCAGCCCGGGTGCTCAGTAGTGAACAAACGGCGTTCCGCATCTGTGTCTCGGCCTTTGCCATCGTCCCTAAGATGCAACCTCCCGGGACCCCAAGTGGGCAATGTCGATAGTGAACAGATTATTTTGCCCCCGGTGGCAGTCAGGGCGGCCAGGGCGGCATTAAGCGCAGGCAGTAATGCAGGCTCTGGGTGCTTGATTGTGGAGAACATGGTAGGGATAGCTTTCAGGAGTGCTGTGATCACATCTTTCGATTCTTGGGGGTCGACAAACAATCCGTCTGCCAAAGGCACAAAAGGGTCTTCAAGGTCTGTCACCACCATCATTTGAGCGGTGTCCAGGCCAGGTGTAAGATTGTAGAATTGCACCTCCTTGTCATACGTGACAATACCGACCCTGGCCCCTGCTGGTAGTCCAATGGACAACGTATCCTCACCTGAAGACATCTCACCTTCGCGTGCATAGATGGCGTCCAGGATGCCCTGGCAAACAGCGTTGACAAACCCCTTATTGATAGCCTCCTGGGTGATGTCGATCATAAACAACCATCGCATAGGAACTGGCTCCTTTGTATAGTATTCTTTCGGCACGAGATATTCCACAGTTCCCATCATGAGTTCTGGCCGTTGTAACCGGTCAACCCTGACACCAGCCGCGTCCGTAGGTGCGAAGTACTCAGGTGCCACATCGTTGGGGAAGCTACACATGTTGCACACCAGTTTGTTTCCGCCAGATCTGAAGGTCATAAAGGGGTTGATGTATGTCCTGCATCTCCGACATCGCGGAGGGCCGAGTTCGCCAAAGTCTAATATAGGGATAGGCTGTTCGCCCTCTTGGAGGGAAGCGAACGGCTGCAGAACAAGACCTAGTGGAAGTCCCGTTGACGCAAGAGCCTCGGCCGTCGAAGGTATATTGTTGACCGTCAACCGCGCGAACTTGGGTGAAGAATTTCCCTGGTCGTGGGCGACGAAGGGAATAGCCGCGGGAGGTGGAAGATGCTTCTCCATGGTTGGGTAGACATTGAGCTGGTAATATTGTGTCGCAACGTCTCGTGATCTTGCCACACTCGGGATTTGCTCTGGGTCAACGCGTCCTTGTGCGGCCACAGCCTCCTCCCCCATGCGCAGTCTGTCTGCTGAGTTCACAAACGATGTCTCTGCTGGTTGTCCCGCGATCACCCCTGGCCCAGCGCTGGGGAACTGGGTTCCTCCAAAAGACCCTGCAGGTGCTGCAGCGCCCACTGGCGCCGTCGGTGCTGAGCCTATCTCGTGATATGCATGCCTCTCCTTCTTTCTGTGAGATCGTGCGGGCGCACCCGCCACTTCTAATCCTCCCATTTGTGCCGCCAGGCCATTCATGACATCTTGATGTTGAGGTATATGCCCCGCATCCTGTCCCAGAGAGGGCGCCAGTTGTGCATTGGCTTGGACATGCTGAGCGTTTGGGTCTCCACGATACTGCGGCCAGCCTGGCTGTGGGCTGACCGAGGGCTGGGAACTCGGAGGGTGTTGCTGGGTTTGCGGATTGGCATATCTGGGATCCTGATTCATTTGGTAGGGCATGCCATGACCGCTACCATATTGGGAGCCGTAGCCTGCCATTCTCAAAGCATCGACACAAATAACTTTAGGGAGTGGACGGACGCCGCTTCATAGTGATGGTGAAATGGGCGGGGTTAGCATCTGAAGAGGGTTGCACACTATCGAGCAGTAATGTCCAACAACCAAGTGGTGATTGCAAGTCGAGGATGTGATTGAGAACAGGAAGGACAAGTGGCATCAAACAGGAGTTGGACAAGAGACGTGATGCCACTAGAAGTGGGACATCGAGACGTGTTCTTTGACAACTTTTTTGGGAGACGCCAAACTCCAAAAGCCGGCTTACCTGCTATAAGAGAAAGTCTTGTGTGATGGCCGGTAACCGCCTTGTCACTTTCACAGATTTGCAACTCACTTTGTTCCTTACTTGCCAGGCTTGCCTACTAAAGCACTGATCTAATCCAATCCCCCCACGGTCAGGACTTCAAGCAGACCACAAATACTAGGTATTGCACATCTATAGTAACACATTTTGAATTGGGGAAAATAACTAAGCTGGCTCAATGAAAGCTCAAGTTGACCGTGGGCTGCTCCTGTCCATGATATACAACGCTTCCACATTCATACCCAGTGTGTCGTCCAGATATTGGCACAAGCATGGAAATTCTCAGTCGACCATACCAGTCCATTTTGGCTTCGAGGTCAGCGTCGCGCCCGTTTGCTTTCGCTTGAAACCCTTGATCCTCCTCTGCCTCCGCCGCTTCCATGGCCAGGACCCCCATAGTTACTCGGTTCATCACCCCGCCCGTGTTTTCTCGAGGATGGATTGTCATCCCTTGAAGGAGCAGATCTCGAATACCCAGTTCGCCGATCGTCTGCCTCTGGCGGGTGATTCTCTCTCCTAGTCGGCCTCTCATCCCGCCTCGAAACATCACCGAGTCCATATCGATCTTCCCCTCCATCACGGCCATTTCGCTCACTCCGATGTTCTCTATCTCCACGTGATTCATCATGCCGACTTGAATGTCGTGATGGTCTCCTCTCAGGTCCGCGCTCTTCGCTAAGTTCGCTTCTGCGATCCCTGTTGCTGTCGTGGCGTGATGACGGAGGTCGGGTGCCCACCGGCACTTCGTTAGGGTTCGAGGAAGCAAACAAATCGTGTGGTGGATAACCATTAGAACTTTGATTGTGGCCGGAAGCCGCTGGGCCACCGGGCGGTGGCGGCGGCGGCGGCGGCGGAGGGGGCATGTGCGGACCAAAGTTCGTACTACTCTGTCTCGCATTGCCTCGACCGCGGATCGAAGTACCAGCCTGGGCAAGGGTGTTGTTGACCGCGGCGAGAGGGTTGCGGTTGTTTCGTCCCCCGCGCATGTTCCCGTCTCCGGCCTGTGGACCGGATGGCGGACCTCTACTTGTGGGCGACGGCCCAGACGGAGCTCCAGGAGGAGCACTTCCTCTTGGACCTGCTGGTGGCTGAGTCGGTGGCGCAGGTTGTGCACCCTGGCTTGAGCGCGAGGTTTCCGAGACTGCTGAATCGATTTGGCTGAGGCGAGAAGGATGAACACCTGCCGCATCAGCAGCAGGAGTGGAAGGCGTAGATGAGGGCTCGGCATAGGAACTAGTCCGTCCATGTCGTCTCGAAGGTCCAGTAGGAGTTGGTCGATCGGTACTCGAGGATGGCGACACTTGCGTATTGAGTGGAGGAGCTCTCATCCTCGATCCTCCTGACGTTGGCCGACCACGAGGCCCAGAGGGCACATCAGACTCTTGACCACGATCCGGGGTCTGCGAGCTGGCCGATTGCTGCGTCGACTCTTGCTCCAACCTGCCGTGCTGCAAGTCAACGGGAGGGGGCTGTCTGAGGTCCCGTGGCTCTCTCTTGTACGAACTTGCTGCACTAGAACGAGACGAATTGACACCTGGCTCGATCGAAGTAGGTGTGTAAGAGATTTGCCGCGTGGCTGCAGTTTCTGGCCTGAGCCGATCGTCCGCGTCGCGACGGGGATACGCCCGCCGGTCGTCTTCTCTTCTTGGTGAACTCGGCCGTGATGATCGTGTCGACTTCTCTTGCCCAAGCGCCGTCGAACCCGGAAGCGATCTTCGGTCACTATTGCTGTCCCCGATCAACGAAGTGCGCGGCGGATTAACTATCGTCTGTGGAGGCTCCGAGACGATGTCCTTCTTCTGAGGAGGTTGTGGTTCTGGTCTAGAGGATTCCAGAGCTGATGGAGGTCTTGATCTTGGAGCGGCTCCACGACCTTCCCGCTCACGTTCTGTTGGGGGAGGACGAACGGGTGGACGATCTCTCTCATGCGCAGGAGGTCGATCGTATGGAGTTCTCCTGTCGTGCTCTCGACCGTACCCTCGCTCCTCACGGGTGCCATGGCTTGAGCCATCCGGGCGTTCATACCTCCGGGCATGTCGCTCGTAATCGTCAAAGCCAGGATCCGAACGGTCTGGTCGGTCCGGTCGGTCCAACCCTCGGTATCCTAACCTCGAATCTCGACTGGTTCGCACGTCAAGTGGCAGTCTCGGAGCGTCAACTTCCAGGCGACTCGACAGGCGTGGACTTTCTCGATGACCATTCCGGGATTCCACCAGCTCTGGTCGGTTCGGAAGATTCGCAGAAGGCCGTGATGGAGGAGGGGTAAGCCGCCTGGGAAGTTCATGGGGCTTGGACGTTTCTGCGCGCGGAGGCCTCGACTCTCGTTTTGCGTTTGCTGGAGGCTCGGTGCTTTGTCGAGATGGTGTCGAGGCGCCATTGGTGTTCCCTGGTCTGGAGCTTGTCCTAGAAGCTGGCGTATGGGGCCCGCTGGTAGCTTGGGGCTTCACAGTTTTGCTCGGTTCTTCACAATCTTTCTTTTCGGGAGCATCTTTCCCTTCTGACTTCGATGGTGCATCCGTCATTTCAGCATCCTTGACCTCAGAATCCCCTTCCTTTTTGGTTGCCATAATGCTGGCAGCTGAAGATTCTTGTGAGGAAGAAGTCTTCTGTTGCGGTGGATCACGCTCAGGCTCGCCGTTCCTTTCTGGCCCTTTGCGAAAGGCGTCCAACCCCACCCACACCTTCTCCCGCCTATGCAAGGCACCCAGCAGGGCTTGAGATGAAACTTTTAGATCTTCTTTGTCGGAATCGCGGAGCCTATCGACTGCCTTCTGCAATCCTGTGCCGTGCCAATTGACCGCAGGATAGACCCCTGATATCACGCGTAGGACAGAAATCGCGTTCCTGACGTGCATGTATTCTGGGGAAGTCAGGCATTTCTGAAGAGCCGTGTGGAGATTCCCATGCCATTTGTAGAGCACTCTTTGGAAACTCTCAAAATCGAGCAGAGAAACGACTTTTCCTGCTTCAACCTTCATAGCAAACCCAGGGAGATTTTTCTTAAGACCCCAGCCTTCCCGTTCATATATTGTCTTAGATGCATGCCAACGAGCAAGATCTTTCAGCACCTCGTTGAGGAATTTTCCCAGGTTGTCTGCTTCTTTTGATGTGCACATGAATATTAGCGAGATAAGTCGGGCAGGCTTGAAGAAAAGATCGTAAAAACCGAGCGTTCTGAAATTCGGCGTTCCAGCCCCGTGCAGAAATTTGACAAATTTGAAGCAGAAGTAGGCATCCAGCGGAGAAGACAGCATCCGCGGGAGGAAGCAATGCTCGATGAGCGTGGTGTTCAATGCCTTGTCCATCCTGGCTTTCCCGAGGAACCACTGCTCCTTCTCGCGCTGCAGTCGAGCTTTGCTCTCTGCAAAAGCTTTAAGATGCTCTTTATTTTCGGCGAGTAGCTTGTCGATGAGATCCTGTATTTCTCTCTTCGCGAGCTCCTTCTTCTTTGTTCCAGAAACACTGACATCGGTGCGGTCTGCCGAAATCGCTGCGATTTTCTTATGCTGTCTGGAGAGCTCGTCTTCATACGATTTGCCGGGGATGGTGATATCGTACAACGACAATTGCCAGAACGTCGCGTAGAACCCAGTTCCCACAATGTCCACAATGTCTTCGGGGAGGTGAGGCTGAATGGCAGTCATAAGCTCTTTCATCACGGGATGCCAACAATCATCTGTCGTTACATCTGACTGTGCAGGAGTCTTGCTAGCATCGAGTTCAAGCGCAGGGCCCATTGTGTCGCTTGCAGCTGGTGAGTCATTCATCAGATTTTCTGTTTCAACAGCCTCGCCATCCTCCTCTGAGCTGGCATTTATCTGTTCTGACATTTCAACATCACCATTCACCTCTTTGACTTCCTCGATTCGCTGGTCTTTTGCATTCTCTTTGTCGTACTCCTGAATTTGCCTGGAAATCAAGGGCCGGCTGATCCAGAATGCGATCTCAGGGCGAATTTCGTAGTCAATGAGCAGACTCACTACATCAGGAATCGTGGCCCGAAATTCTTCTGGGGAGAGGTTTGTTTTCAGAAGGTCAAGATACTGCACCATCACTCGATGGACCTCGTCGTAGGTGTTGCCGATTGCTTTAAGAGGCACTTGTCCTTCCTCAAAGACACAAGCTTGTCGTTGCTGTGCCATGGAAATCAAAAATTTAGCAGCCAAACCTGTGTCTTGAAGTGATTTCATCAGTCTCTCCGAGGTCTTCTTCGAGTCATGCCGTCGATCAAGCAGTTGAAGGATGGTCTGAGACTGCAAGAGAGGTCCGCCCCCCATCGCTTGTAATTGTGCATCGTTGTAACTCGTGTCAGTTGCAATTCCAGCCATGGAAAGTACAATCTGTTCCAGCATCTTGAGGTCCATTGTATTACCATGCTCAAGTTGTTCGGCAACGTACTGTAATATTGGACCAGGCTTCATCATGCCGTATCGTTTGTAAATCTTCCCCGCAAACACTGCAAGCGCTGAAAGCCAACGACTCGCGAAGATGCCGCCCTCTTGAGTACGGTTTCTTCCAGTCCTTGCCATCGAGCTTACAATAGCCCAGGTGAGAACATCATAACCTAGATCCGTGAAATACCGTGCACCTTCGACGAACACTTCGGCGATGCTGTCGTATACTTCGATCTGAGTTAGTGCAGTGGTAATCACGATATGTGGGTTGGCAAAGGCAATCTTAGCCAAGGCTCTCGCCATTGGGCGTACATTGGTGTTGGATATCCTTTTCAATATATCCTTGGTCTCAGCCCTGGCTTGATCAAACGCTGATTTGACGTCGGGGTTGCGAGAGGTTCTTCCAGACGACCATTCGAGGTACATCAGATAGCGGACATTCACCGGGAAAGTGCTGACTAGCTCAAAGACCTCGTTGACCACACCCGCATTTGATTTGGTCAAGCTCAGCGATGGTAGGAGAGTACGCTTGACCAGATCCAACCATCGAGATCGGGTAGACTCGCTTTTGTCAACCTGTAGATTGTGCTTTCCAATCCGGGCAATCTTAAGGAGAAGGCCTGAATCTTGTCCAATCTTGACGCCAACGAGGGGTAGCAAAGTGTCGCAAAGAGTAAAGACATCGTCGACAGTTTGACAGACTGGAATATTGTCGTTCCACTCATCCCAATAAAACCGATAATCAGTGCCGTCGAGGCTATCATTTTTGTCCAGCTGAGCCCATCGGAGTACCTTTCTCTCGGTCGGTTCCACAACTTTGACCTGTCCTTTCGGGACACCAGGGACATCGGTCTCATAGCTGGGTTTCTGGTTACGGAGACTTGGACGATCTTGTAGAGGTTGTACCATCCCGTACACTTTGCTCAAGGAGTGATGCAGTATCCGGTAGACATATTCTGGAAGGTCGGGAATGAGTGCCATCAGCCAAGGGAAGCGACCAAGGATAAAGAGAGCTTCCGGAAGTGCCCCAATGGCAAGCAGGCTCTTAAGTAAAAGAACTTTCTGGTCCGCAGGCTCGTTCTCTTTCGAGGTCACCTTATCTGCCTCTGGTTCTTTGGATGGGGTGTTGGCTCGTGTGGTTGACTCTTTCAGACGAGGTGGCGCAGGTAAGGTATCGTCTACCAGTGCCCCAGCCGCCGTGAGCGCATTCCTGGCACCTGCTCCAGGCCTGGCAGCCCGTTCTCGCTCTTGCTTTTCTCGTGTCTTTTGCTCTTTAAGCTCTTCCATTACATCGTCCGTTCTCCAGATATGGGGGTACAAGTCTTTGAGCGAGACAAACCCAATCTTGATGAGGAGAGCGGAGAGGTAGATGAGATTATCTGGAAGGACATCTGTTTCATCCCTTGCTGGCGACGATGAGTAGAAACGGAGTTTAAATCCCAGAAGCTGTGCGGCGTCTCGATTACCCGGTGGCGGCAATGTGCCAGTTTCGCGAATCCACTGGGCAAGTAGATCGTCGCCTGATGATGATGAAGCTCTTTCCAAAACTTCCTGTGGCACTTGTGATCTTCCGAGTAGATAGAAAGCTTCAAGGCCTCGCTCTCGAGCCACAGCCCAAAAAGCCTCATCACGAGTCCGAGTTTCCTCTGCAACAATCTGTTTTTGCTCTTCTGTGAGGTGCCAATCAGGAGAGCCAGGAAGTGCCCACTTTGGAAGGCCTGTCAGAGTTGAAATTTTCTTGGATGAGGTTGTTGATCGAGGCCACCATGGACTAGCGCGAAGGAATTTGACGAAGAACCGACACTGCTTCACTAGAACAGCACTGAAGACGTCCAGAACGACATCCAAACTTCGACCCACGTCTAGATCAAATGCACCGATCATAGCCTTGACTTTTTCTACCGTGTCCTCAACGGTTTCTGCAGTCGGGGCTTCGCTGCTGCTGGTAGTGAACAACTCAGTCATCAACTTTGCGAACCCTTCAGACTCTTCCCTCATAAGATTGAAATTGGCTTGTCTGTAGAGAAGATTGGTCTGCTTTCTGATGCCCATGCGATTGAATGTATTCCTGATCAGATCCAATTTTTCCAGCAAAGTCGCGTCGAGCTCATGTCGTAGTAAGTCGTGAGATATTTCAGTTGAAAGGACAAATGCAGAAAGGCGATCTAGCGGCATCATAGGATTGCCCTCGAAGACGACAGATATAGAATCCAGGAGGGCGGCTTGCAAGGCTGTGGGATGTGGTGTCGGCTGACTGTCTTCATCTGCAATCTCGCTGTTAAGCATTTGTTTGACGAGGTCACCTGCTTCTGATGGACTAAGCCTGCCGAAAACAACGGTCTGGACAAGCTCCTGCATCAAAGCGATGAGTTGTGTCCCATCTTCTTCCTGCACACTTTGCAGACCCTGCCGTAGGACATCTTCTCTTCCCCCAGTCTGCCATGACTCACAAACTGCGTTTGTCAAGTAGGTATAATTGTAAGGCTGAGGTTCAGGCGGGGCGGTAGATAAGGCAGCGCTGTCGTGAGGATCTTGCTGAGCTGTGAGCATCGTGCCGCTTGACGTGCTGGGCTCGCGTTCGGCTAATGGCGCCTTGGTCGCGGGAGGAGGTTTGTCTGCTTGATGATGGACTGGGCTAGACGCAGGGTTGCCGCCTCGACCTCCTCTGCTTGATCGCCGACCACCTCTTCCACGTTGTTGGCTATAGTCACGATCATTTCCTGACGTGTGATACGCCGTTGACTGGGCGAGACTGAGATTTCCCGGTCGATGAGGTGATGGACGAGAATGTGGCTGATCATCTGAATATGTTCGCTCCGGTCGCTTCCTCTTAGCGCCAGGCGGCAGGGGCATCACGTCCAGTCGTCAAAAACTGCGGCCCCGGCAAGGCTGTCTTCAAGAGGTCTGTCCTAGTAGTTTTCATGGAGGAGGCTGCGACATCCGGTTCAACAAACGGCGATCGGTTTGGATTCGACGAGCAGTACTGAACAGCTTAGGCTTCGCGTACAGCTGCAAAGTCGTCAAGTTGGGGGTTGTTCTAAGGAAAAGGATCGTCGCGTCGGAGGAAGGGGAAGGTGATGGGACTGTGTTGGCCTTTGATGCGTGAAGAGAGGGACAGTACGAAAGAAATCCGGTTATGGAAAAGCGTGAGATTACGGTGAATAATTTGCACTCATAGCGCAGTTTCAATAACTCTCGAACAACCTAAACGTCATTGCACCCTGACCACAGAAGAACTCCAGACAGCAGACTAGCCAGCATCATCATATAAAACCCTAGCTTAAGATCTTTCTTGTTCTTCAATCGGTAACGACGACATGGCTAAGATCTTTGCAACTGGAACTACTGGCTACATAGGGGGCGATGCTCTCTACCTCATCTCACAAAAACACCCAGAATGGGAACTCACATGCCTGGTTCGGAACAGTGACAAAGGCGCCAAAGTTGCTGCTGTCTATCCGAAAGTGAGGTTGGTCTACGGAGACTTGGACACTGTAGACCTGATTGAGGAGGAGGCTGCCAACTCCGACGTCGTCTATCACTTTGCCAACTGCGACCATGAGGGTTCGGCACGCGCTATTGCCAAAGGACTCGCACGGAGAAACCGTGAAGGCCCTGGTTACTGGATTCATACATCCGGAACACTAATTCTCGGCTGGGAAACAATTGACCTTGCCGACTTTGGTAACAGATTGGATAAAGTGTATGACGACTGGAACAACGTGGGCGAATTGATATCTCAACCCGACCACGCTGCTCACAGGAATGTAAGTACACTATGCTATCGCCCTTTTAATATCACATATGACCTAAAATGAGGTGCTGTGTGTCTGACGTATCAATCACCTGTGGTCTTTTTTATCTCTCTTCGGAGGTGCCGCAGGTCGCAGGACAAATCAAGCTGCCCCTCGGTGAAGCGAACATGTCCCCTCGACCATCTACTCTCCTGTTAGTCCTTTGCTGATAGAACATTTTCCAATCTATATAGGTCGATAAGATTGTTTTGGCTGCTTCATCGGACAAGGTAAAGACGGCGATCGTATGTCCTCCAACGATATGGGGTCGAGGTAGAGGCCCAGACAATACACGTTCGGTCCAAATATACACAGCGACTTCAAGCTTTCTAAAGCGCCAAAAGGCCTTCAAAGTCGGTAAGGGGGAAAATGTCTGGCACGAAATCCATGTTCAAGACTTGTCGAACCTCTACCTTCTCCTCGGCGAGGCTGCTGTCAATGGCGGCTCGCCGGCGACCTGGAATGATCAGGGTTATTATCTGGCTGAGAACGGTCCTTTCGTATGGGGAGATGTGATCCAAGAAATTGCAAATGTTGCTCATAAAAAGGGTCTACTGCCAGAAGCAACTGTGGAAAGCCTGAGTCCGACAGAAGCTGAAACATTTCTCCCCTATGCCAGGCTGCTGATGGGGACCAACTCAAGGGGGGTATCCATTCGAGGAAAGAAACTGCTGGGTTGGAAGCCTGCTATGCATGGAATTATGGAAGAAATTCCCGAGTGTGTGGAGAGCGAAGCCGAGCTCCTTGGTCTGATCAAGCGCCATGCAGCAAAAGTTGCAGGATAGATCGGTCCACCTCATTCATCCACTGCGAGGTGGAGTAAGAGGTGGTTGAGGTGGTTTGTTCTGGGCACTCACAAGGTCAGCCGTGATTGTTATCCCCCTCAAAGCCGGCCTTCAAGGGAATACATGTATGAACCCATCTCGGTCAATGTTCTTGCTGTCCCGTTTCCAATGAATCGATAGTGGATCGATAATGACATCGAATGGTTATCTGCATTGGATAGACCCAATAGTCTCATCGCTCTGCTGCCGTGGTGATAGGTTGATGTCACCTCCTTGGAAGAGGGTAGGGGGAAACCCCCTGACAGGATTGCTTTGGAGGCGGAGGGTTGTGCGGCAACGCCTCAACCGACTCAGCCTCGTTCGACATCAGACTGTTGTATCTCCAATGGCGGTTTGTTCCACAAGGGCAGCTCGCAAATTCAACCCGATTAGGACTATCGCATCGATTGTACGAGATACGGAGATATGACTTGAGACCTCCGCATCACGGACGCCATTGGCCACTGTAGTCAGGCTCCCGGGTTACCTGGCGTCGAATCGACTTCCCAAGACGGCAATGCGCAATCTCATGGCGTCTTGCATCTCAGCAGCACCAGGGTCACTAACCCAGCGACTACAGCCCAACTGTTGTCGATAGCGTATCAAAGATATGCCACTGCGCACACTGGCGTTCCTCCGACGCCCTTGTCTGCCTCGTCATCCACAAGGAGGGTCATGGGATGGTACATTGAGACCGCTATATATAAGAGCAATGGCACAGGACGATCGCTCCCACCTCACCGAGCAGCAATCGCAATCCCACAGCCTGAAGACCAATCTACACTGTACATACGCAAGACAGAATCTCAAATTTACTTACAATCCAAGCGCAGTCGAGTCTCAGAATCGTCCACGACCACCAC